ATACCGCCTATCGGGCTTGTCGCCCGTTTAGCTTCTGTACTGTCTAGATACCCCTTAGGTTGTTGTAATCGGTATATACCTAAAGCGGGGTATATACGTCCGCGAAGAAGTGTCTCTAGACTTTGAAGCTATAGACGACCGCGAGGAGCTCTTAGTCGTATGTTTCGTAATTCTGCTCTGCCGGCGACATCTTTCTTAATATAAAGGCGATAGGGTGCTACCGGTCGTTATAGAGCTACGTTAGGATCCCGTATAGGCCGTAGTCGGACGCGTCGGTTTCTAGTCGTAGGGGCTTCGCCGGGTCGTAGTAGCGGAGTATAAGGGCGGAAGTAAACATCTGTTTTAGCGCCTAGAACGCCGCCTCCCCGGCCTCCGTCTACTAGAATTCGCCTTTCTTTAGGAGGTTAGTTATTAGGGCTATTACCTTCGCGTACCCCGCTATAAAGCAGTAGTAGAAGTTAGCGAACCTAAGGAATAACTGCAGTTCCCTTAGGTTAGTCGGCGAGGGCTACTCGGTAATAGTAGCGACCTTCTTAGGGTCGGTGTATACGCCCTTACGGTTTACTCGGAATCTAAGGAATACTACCTCGCTTTGCGTAAAGGCGTACTTCTTTAGGTTAACGAACAATTCCGCCTATTCTAGCCTAGCGAGTACCCGGCGAACTGCCTCCTAGTGCTTTTCGATATTATCGTAGTAGGTATAGATAAGGATGTTATCTAGGTATACTACTAAGATATTATCGAGCAGCCCGGCGAGGGCCCGGTTAACGTACGCCTAGAATATAGCTAGGGCATTAGTTAGCCCGAAGGGTATTACCTTATACTCGAAGTGTCCGTATCGCGTTCTGAAAGCGGTCTTCTATTCGTTGCCTTCGCGGATACGGATTCGGTAGTACGCGTCCTTAAGATCTAGAGAGGTAAAGTACTTAGCGCTAGTAAGGCGCGTAAGGCTTTCGTCGATAAGGGGAAGAGGGCATCGGTCCTTAATAGTAATTAAATTCAAGGCGTAGTAGTCGACGTATAATCGCAAGGTCCCGTCCTTCTTTAGTACGAATAGTAGCGGAGCCCCGGCGGGGCTAGTACTATATACAATCTGTCCCTACTCTAACTCCTTATAGAGGTATTCCTAGAGGACTTCTAGCTCCCGCTAGGAGAGATAGTAGAGGGATCCGAAGGGCGGTTCCTTACTATCTATTAGTTCGATAGTATAGTCGGTTGCCTTATAGGCCGGAAGGATCGCCGCGGAGTCGTTGTCGAATATATAGCGATATCCTTCTAATGTAGCGGGGAGGGAGACTTGTTTTGCCTCGCCTTAGTTAATCGCGTAAATCTAGAAGGTCGAGCCCTAACCTCCCCGGGGGTTCGCTAGGCGTAACTACCCTACTATATAGATAGGGGAGGAGTCTTTCTTCGATTCGCGCTTCAACCTCTTTAGGGAGACCCTCTCGAGGCTAGAGATTATTAGTCCCTATCGCTATATACTAGGACCGTTCTAGATATCGATGCCTAGGGTCTTTAAGGAATACCGGCTAAGGAGGATAGAAGGTCCGTCCTAGTCGATACTATAGGCGAGAATCTTTATAGTTCGGGTGTCTATACTAGAGTCGCTGAGTTTCAACTAGAACTCGTAGGCGCTATAGTAGTAGGTTTCGTAGGTCGATAGCTATCTAAGTAACGGGAGTTAGGCCTCGATTCGGGGTAGGCCTATTTCTACCGCTACCTTCTAGCTAATCGTAGTTACCTAGGCGTACGTGTCGAGGGCGACCTATATAGGTTTCGTACCTTCGCTAGTAATAATAGTTCCTATTATTTTAATAATATCCCTAGATTCAATAGGTCGGGGCCCCGTCGTATCCTAAGTGTTCGCGACGAGCCTAATTAGTTTTTTAGCTAGATAGGGGTCCGGTTAGGATTACCGCGCTTTAACGGGCAGTCTAGGCGGATGTAACCTATCTTGCCGCACTCGTAGCACTTTAGTCCTAAGTGATCCCCTTTGTCTAGAGCGGCTTTCGTAGCCGCGCCCGATTTCGGGGCTTTAGCCGCGTTAGTACGCGGTTCCCTAGTATCTCCCCGGCGATCTCGATCTTTGGATTCGCGAGAAAACGCTGAGGCTGCATTGCTCAAAGATAGAGTCTTGGCTGGAGGCGAGGAGGTAAAATGCACTGCAATGCCAGTACCTCAGGTAGGTAGGGAGGCGTGTACAGCTGACGCGCACTCGTTCTGAGGTAAGCCGCGCGCGTCGGTTCTTGGCATGCACTCGAAAATAAAACACTGCACTCGTTTTCAAATCTACTATATTTTGTAGCGTAGTCTTGTAAAATATCGATAAAGGTAAGTTTCTAACATTTATATACTATGTTAGTACTAATAATATAGTAGTAGGATCGGGATAGTAGGTTTAGAGAAGTCGACAAAGTAAGTTCCCTTTAACCGTTACCCTATTGTTATAGTAACATTAGCTATCTAGTATTTAAAGAAGTCGACTAAGTTCCCTTTTACCGTTATCCTATCGTTATTATAACGTTAGTTCTTAAGTAAGGCGACTATTATTAACTATATTATCGAAATTTTTCTAACTTTCCTTTAACTATTACCCTACTGTTATCGTAACGTTAGCTATCTAGTAGGAGAGATCAATAATAGAGTCAATACTCGATAGTAGAGTCGGTATAGAAGATTTAGAGAAATTGATTAAGTTTCCTTTAACTATTACCCTACTGTTATTATAACGTTAGGTATCTAGTAAGAGAAACATTAATAATAGAGTTAATAGTCGACTCTTCTATACTAATTCTACTAAGTTTCCTTTAACTGTTACCCTACTGTTATCGTAACGTTAGGTATCTAGTAGGAGAAATATCGATAATAGAGTCGATAGTAGAGTTAGTATAGAAGATTTAAAGAAGTCGACTAAGTTTCCTTTAATTGTTACCCTACTGTTATCGTAACGTTAGCTATCTAGTAGGAGGAATATCGATAATAGAGTTAATAGTAGAGTTAGTATAAACAATTCAGAGAAGTTGACTAAGTTTTATTAAGTTGTTACCCTACTGTTATTGTAACGTTAGCTATCTAGTAGGAAAAATATCGATAGTAGAGTCAATAGTAGAGTCGAAAGTAGAGTTAGTATAGAAGATTTATAGAAGTTAACTAAGTTTCCTTAAATTATTACCCTACTGTTATCGTAACGTTAGCTATCTAGTAGGAAAATATCGATAGTAGAGTCGATAGTAGAGTCAAAGTAGAGTTAGTATAGAAGATTTATAGAAGTTAACCAAGTTGTAACACGCTAGGGCAGAGAAGCCCTAGCGAACCCCCGGCGAGGCGGGCGGGGCGTGCCGCGCGGGACGGGAAGCCCTCGCGGACCCCCGGCGATCCGGTATAGAAGGGATACCCTACCGATCGGAGACGTTCTGAATCAAGAGGGTTCCTAAGGGAGCCGGTTATCGGCTGCTGCCTAAGAGGAGGCAGTGCCGGTAGCGAGGAGTAGACAATAGAATAGCTTGTATATATAGCGAGGACCCTCCTCTAGGAAGGAAGGGCAGAGTTATTATACCTTAGTTAGCAAGCTATATATTGTTTATACCTTTTATACCTAGGACCTCTGTCGCGTATACCCTTACGCTTACAGAACTATTATATAATAACTCTCGTACCTTAACTATAAGGGAAAGGTCTGAACAATAGTAGGAGGACGTTCTACTAGATAGAACCCTAGCGACTCGCCGGGGAACCCCTCTATACTAGAATAGGCCTCTACTAAACAATCTTCCTCTACGGATATCGAAGTAGGACGAGTTTAGGAACTGCTCGACTAGGAGGAATCTATAGAAGCTCTTACTAGTATCTAGCTAGAAGACGCGAACGATTCCGAGCCGGAAATTATCGTCGAACGCAAGGAGCTAAGCGACCTTTAGAAAGACATCGCCCGCCTATAGGCGGAAAAGGAACGTCTGCTACTAATCTAAGAAGTAGCCGACCTCTAGAGTTACCGCGGTTACAAGCGGTATACTATAGAAACCGATATTGCCCCTCCTCCTAAACGCTCGGTAAAAGCCCCTAGCGAATACGAGGGGAGGTCCTTAAAAGAATACGGCGACTTCGTAATATCGTACGAAGTCGTATTCCTCTAGAATCTACGATCCTTCTAACGGGAAGCTAAGAAGTATACCTAGGCAATACAGTACCTCTCTAAGGGGTATACCCCGAGGGACCGCTAGTACGTATACTAGTAGCGGATAACCGAGGCCGAGTATAAGGATACGACTTAGGGTAACTTCAAGCAGTTCCTATTTAACCTCCTAGACGATCCTAACGCTCGACTGCTTTAGGCTTACCTAGACTACGCGTCCGCTAAACAACGTACTAACTAGTCTCTAAGAGAGTTCCTAATATACCTAGAGACTCTCGAGGTATAGCTAGAACGGTATACTCTAGAGCAATAGCTATACTAGTTCTTCGCCCGGTTGTATCCGGAGACCCGCCGACGGATCGTCGATTATAATTCTATCCCTAAAATACGGGACGAGTTAGTTAACCTAGCGACCTAGATCGAGAAGAACTACCCGAGGACCTAAGGCGGTAAAGGGCGGACTAGTAGCAACAAGCCAACGGAAATGTGTTATAAAAGGTATTCATCGTCTTTCCACCCTACAATGACCCGGCTCATCAGCATTATTAAGAAGGATGTTCATGGGGTTTTAGGTCTTGCCTCGCAAGCTCAAGGTACCTGCCTGGTTTGTAGGAATTGAGCGAAGACTCACAGGTGCCGATTCCGAGCCTTTTCTCTCATATGTGTGCTGCTCTACGCGGCCAACAACGCACCCTGCATAATCAAATGGCCCTGCATAGGAAATTTTTGGATATGTAGCAGTGTCAGCAGGATCGAGATGGGAAGAGGCGTCTACAGTGGAGGCCTGAAGATGGTGAGTACCTTATCCGAAATCAAGAGGAATATGCCGTCCGTACTGTTAAGAAGAGGTAGAGTGCATTGAATGTTATTGTGAAATGTGAAATGTGAGCTGCTGGGCTCAATTGGGATAAACACCGATACGCCCAAGTGATGAGAAGTTCGTTTTAAGCCTTGGTCTTCCTCTTTTTCGCCTTCTCTTTGGTAACCTTGACCTCACCGCTCTTGCTCTTCCTCTTTGTAGTTTTCTCAGCAACGATAGCCTGTCCCTCTGCTCCAGCATTGACAGTAGCGAGAACAGTCTCCTCGACAATCTCTCCATTGCCCGGCTCGGTGCCGTTTTGGATCGCCTTCACGACCTCCTCAGCCGTAGCCCCAGCGCTGACCTGCTCGATACTCTTCTTTTCCTTCGCCGCCACACCCTCTACAGGCTTGACATCAGGCATGTCGAAGTCGTATCCCATTTCCTTCAATTTCTCTGCTTTCTCCTTCCTCCTCTCACTCTCCCTGGTAATCCTCTTCTCCCAGCCCTCCCGATCGGTCCCCTTTCTCAATCTGCTCCCCTCAATCCTGTTTCTCGGTCTCGCTTTCCCGTTTCCCTTGACCGCTTTCGTACCTTTCCACATGCCCTCTTTGACTTGCTCAGCTGGCACACGCTTGCATTGCAAGATATGTCCAAACATGAGATATTTGTCCATAGTCTTGACGACAATATCCGCCACAGCAGCTGCTGCAAACTCGATGAACGCGTAATGCTGACTCTTTCCCGTTTTCTTATTTCTTGCGAGGCGGAGATTCGTGACATCGCCGAACTGTGTCAAGTAGGCGCGGAGTTGTTTTTCGTAGAAGCCGTGTGGGAGGCGGGAGATGTAGATGACGCCTGGTGTGGCTTCGGGGTCTGAAGAAGCGCCATTGATGTTCTTGGGCTTGATGCGCGAGATTTTCAGTTCGCGCGCGATGGCTTTTTCGGTTTTAGGAAGAGCTGGGAGGCTTTCGATGGGGATGCCGTCTTGGTCGCGGTCAATGTCGTCTTCTCCCTCGCTTTCATCGGAAGAGAAGCCGGCAAGGAGAGCGGCAGTCTGGTCTGGAGTGAGTTCTGCGCCGCCGTCGGACTCGGAGTCGTCGTTGGTGGCTTCTGCGACGACTGCTTCTGCTTCTGGCTTGGACTCGACGATGACCTCCTTCTCTTCGACCACCTTCTTGGAAGCCTTCTTACTACCTTTCTTTTCCTTCTCTTTGACTGTCTTCTCACTGACAACGACAGTCTTGTTCTCCGACTTGGCGGTCTTCAGAGCAGACTTCGCGGGCAGAGGTCGATCTGCGGACTTTTTCACCGTCGCAGGTGTTGTCTTAGCCTTCTTCGCAAGCGGCTCAACGTTGTCGCCCGACTTGCGCTTCTTCCCTTTGGTTTCGGCTGACATGATTACTGCTGTACTGTACAAAAAGTAATGTTGTCTGTGTAGAGTGCAGAATGAAGTTGGTGTTGGCGATTCCAATTTTCCAAACATTTTTGTGGAGCACCGGGGAAACTGCTGGGACTGAACTAATCTCCAACTTCACATGAAAGTAAACCGCTTCCAGACCCAAGAAACACTCCATCTTTTCCCAACATGGCAGACGAAAATCTCACTCACGACGAGTTGTGGGATGACTCGGCACTAGTCACCTCTTGGAACGATGCTTTCAATGAATACAAGGTCAGACAAGTTCAACCTCATCACCACGCTGAAACCATCGCTCACTCCTCATCACAGAAATACCACAGCCTTGCATCCCGAGGAGAAAAAGTCGAACAGCCCAAGCAGCCGCCCACAGAAAGCCTCAAAGAAGTCGCAGTCGAATCAAAAGCGGCCGCCTACTTAAACGGCACAACAACAACTACGACGCAACCATCATCAAACGCACCAATCAACTTCACGACAGAAGCAACACCTACAGCAACGACAACGACAGCCACCCCACATACTGCCGCAGGTCCCATATTGCCGAATCTCCCACAAACTCTTCTCAATGGCTGTAAGAGTCTTATTTCGTTGCATCTCACCCAGATGCCATCTGTCATAGCTAACGAACATGAAACAGCCCAGAACGAAGATCTCAAGAACATCATGATGTCCTGGTATTATGCTGGATATTATACCGGTCTGTATGAGGGACAGCAGAAGGCTTGGGCGAGTATTCAGGAACAACAACTGGCACAGCAGCAGGAAGAACAATGACAACGACCACTGGAACAGGGACGGGAACAGGAACAACATTAACAGCAACAAGTGCGTGCTGCTGCGGAGGGTTAAGCATGAATTTGAACTCATGAGCTGGCTTCGTCGATCGGGAAGGGATGAGGTATGCACCTATGAAGAAGCAACGCACGCACGAGACGGACGTCATGTTTCGGCATGCATGGTAGGACCTCTTATGTCGAGTGGGAGGACCGTCAGGCTACATCACTGATGCTCGCGGGGTTGATCTGCAACGTGGTAAGGTTCATCTATTATTCCGTGTCCTGAAGGAGTTCAGGGATGAAACCTCACAGATGTTCCTACAGGCTTTTGTTCTATCAATTGGGCAGCGGCTCTATACAATCAGTATCTCGTACGGAGCAAGGGTCGTCAATGACACAATGGCGCAAGAGCTTCTAGTCGCAAGTGCGAGCGGTGGCAAATGTGGACATGGATCGAAAAAGTGCGCCTGTGAAGGAATTTAGGTTAGAAGGGACATGCATGCATGGAACATGACAGCATCTCTCTCTTACTCAACGTTAACATTCCGTTGATGGTTTGCATTGAAGATCGTAAAGCTACATCTTTCTCATCGTCTCGTGATTTGGTTCGTTTTCTTTTCGTTCCTTCATTGGCCGATTATGCATATAAAATAGCCACATGATCTTCACCCGCGCTCCAGGCCCCCCTCCACGTTCGAGAAAGACAGTCGAACGCTTATGGCATATTACGCCGCCTTTCACGCGAAGCCAGGATGTAGTACTGCATTGACTGCATCGGTGCAGCACGATCATGGAAGTCACCAGTCGACGTCTTCTCGATCAATATCATCTTCTTCAGTTGGAGGGCTGGATGACCTGCTGCTCCACGGCGGCTCTGCACCAGGACATACGTATGAAATGCCTCCTTTACCGCTGTGAACCCATTGTGGACATTCGTGCTCCGCCCGGTCCAGCATAGCGTTCGAAACTTGACGGTCGTCATTCTATTCCACCACCAAAGCCGCCGATGGCACGAATCCTGCTTCCTTCAAAGTCATGCCGAAGTCTTCGTACTTCCATGTCTTTTTGGGCCAAGATTGTGTGAAGCTGGTAGCTGTTGTGCCATTCTCCTGCTTGATTGCCTCTGCAACCTCGAACAGCGTCGTGTCCGCAGGCATGGTCTTCATAATATTACCATTTCCAGTCTGGAGTCTTAGACGGGCTTCGCTGTGGTTTGCGGCTTTGGCAGGAGCTGCAGCTGCAAGACCACCTGGAGCGGCAGTGGCAGCGCCTGGGTTGTATGCAGCGGGATTGTCTCGCATCGCCTTCTCCTGGTCAATCTTGGCCTTGCGAGCGGCTTTGTCAGCCTCGATCTTGTCCTTGATACGCTTCTTCGCGGCGATGTCCTCGGCCTTCTCCTTTCGCTTGTTAGCAGCCTCCTGTATTTGCTGCTTGCGCGCCAACTGCTCCTTCGCGTCGTCGCTCTCCTTGGTGTGCTTTCGTCGAATCTCTTCGTTGCGCTTTTGCTCCTTCTTCAACTCTAGCTCTGCTTTTGCTTTCTTCTCTGCCGCCTTCGCTCTGAGCTCTGCTAGTCTCGCTTGCTTCTCCTCTTCGGTCAGTGGCGCAATCTCCTCGGTGGACTCCGCGAAATCGGTATGTCCCGACTTTTCGGCGTGGAATTGGGCTTGTGCCATGGAGCGGAACTTTTTCTGGCACTCGTTGCAGATCATTGATTTGGGTACCTCGCCTGCTGCCAGCTGAGGCTGCTCCGCGTCTTCTGCCTCATCAGTCTTGAGCTGCTCGAGGGAGCGGTCGGCGTTCTTGTCCAGCCAATCGATCGCGCCTTGAAGATTGCCCCCCTTCTTAAGAGCCATCTCGCTCTTCTCCTTGTCGAAGCCCATGTCGACCAAGCTGTCGAGATCACCCATGGCGGCAGAGGTGTTGAGCGTGGATGTGGAGGTGGGGAGGTGGTATTGACTGAGAGTCGGGCGATAGTATTGGCTGTGAGCTTGGAGCTGTACGCGTTGCTATTGTAGCTGGAAATAGATCCTCGGCGGTGTGTTGAAGTAAGCAAGGCGGTTGTCTGCGGACTACAGGCAGTGAGTATATGTAGGGTAGGCAGAAGTGTCTCGGCATGTGAAGCGAGGCGAGCTTGCAAGTGACGACACCAAGCACAGACGACACCTACCTAACGACCGGGTTCGAGAAGCGTACTCACCTTCCACGCCAACTTGTTCCGCTCTACTGTCACTAGCACTACCAAACAACACCCCACAACCACCTGAAGAACACCTTCGCTCCACAACGTCTCCTTGACCAATACGATACGCACACACACACCGCACTCCCTACGAGCAGTGCCTGCGACAATCCTCCGCGCGTCGAGCCAAGCACTCGCCAGCCCCTCGTCCCAAGGCACTTCACCTCCCAGCCAACCTGCCATACCACCGCTTCACCTGCACTCGCCGCAACCATGTCGGTGGACTTGACGCCTCAGGAGCTGGGCTTCAAGCGTGTGTAGACTCGAACATCATCACCCAGTGCTGCCCCTCCCGCTGACAATGCGCTTCAGGCCCCTTCAATCACGAAGTCAGCCAAGTCCTTCGGCTCCACAACCCCAATAGCGATCCAGTGGCCTTTAAGGTGAAGACCACTGCGCCGAAGCAGTATGTGTGGCTAGTGGTAGTCAAGGTGATGGGCGGACACTGATAGGGCTGTAGATACTGCGTGCGACCCAACTCTGGTCGCATTGACCCTGGCGGGGATGTCGAGGTCCAAGTCCTGCTGCAGTCCATGAGGGAAGATCCACCCCTCGATGCACGGTGCCGCGACAAGTTTCTTGTGCAATCTGTTGCCATTGGCGCCCATGTCGAAGTTGCCAATGTCGCCTCAGTCTGGACCAACATCGAGCAAACTGCCAAGTCCTCCATACAAGAGAAGAAGATCCGCGTCTCTTTTCTGCCTGCCGATGGTAGCGCTGGGGTGGGTGCTGCCGCGTCTCCCTCGCCGGCCACGAATGGCGCCTCGCATCTCCAAGAAGAGCCTCCAGCCTACTCATCACCATCCCCAGCTGCCGTCACTCCTGCACGCAACTTCGCGTCGTCAAGCTCCACATTCGAGAAGAGTGCACCACCCATGGAAGATCTCAACCAGCCCCAATCGACTCTTCACTCGACAACTGCCGCCGTGTCCAATGTGACTGGTGTTAGCCAGGCGGAACTCGAGCGACAACTGGCCGCTGCGAACCAGACCATCTCGGAGCTACGGACGAAGGCAGCAGAAGCGACTGGCCTCAGGCAGCGCAACATTGGAGGAGATGGTGCTACTGCAACGAAAGGAGGTCCAACTCCGATCACTCAAGCTGCGCCGGGTGGTGTACCCGTGCAGATTGTGGCGGCAATCGCTCTATTGAGCTTCTTGATTGCCTACCTGTTCTTTTAGTTGCCCTTCTAGGGTGGCGATCCAGACAGAGAAAAGACCGATGACGAGAATTGGCAATGGCGAACACGAGTCCAATACTAGAGGACCGGCCGGGAAGTGGACACAGGCAACAAGCGATGGACACTCGACGGCGAAAACTTGACAGCCGGCGTTCGCAGCATACATGGGCACCTGGGCCAAGGAGGGTCGGGTGATACCTTACTACGCCGAGTGGCGTAGACCCCTGAGGGTGCATGTTTGCAAACTGCGATGGAACGAGAGAAGGATGGTCTGGGCGTGCAGATACTTGGTGATTACCTTATGTTTTGATTAGAGAATGCTTTTCCCCCCGCCTCTGCAAATGTCGATACTGCGAGAAATGTTTACAACTACAGACTGCATCTTTCTCTTTCTCCGCGATTGGCGATTGTTGGTCCTCGACTTGTCTTGTGATTTTATATCACGCCTGGTGTGAGTATGGTGCAGTTTGCGACTGGCGTGTCGAAGCCGAAAGTCCAAGCTCTAGATTTATCACGTGATTAGCATGCCAAAAATAGGTTTAGCTTCTTCTCTTCCTAACCGCATCTCCTTCGGCTCCTCCCTTTCTTTCCTAATTATCGCACGACTGAAAATCCGCGTCAGATTCGCCCTGCTGGCAGCCAGGACTGGTCCATTTCTGGACCGCAACCATGGTTTTAGTACCTTTGAGTTTGTCACAGAGCGCGCGTCTCTCGACGCGTTTGTTGTGACAGTGAGTAAAGAACGCATAGCTGTATTTGTATGGTATAGATCAAGACTCTCTGTGTTTTCGAGGGAGCTTCGCTGTACACAAGACTGTGTTGTTCGTGGCAACGATGGTCTTCGACGGGGCCGGTACCAAAGCTTCAGATGCAGTCTCTGCATCTTCAGCACTCCCGTCTCGAACGCTAGTACTCGCAACCTCCTGAATTTCTCCTGAGGTTGATTGGTGCGTCAGGTTCATGAGCAATATTTTACTCGATGGTAGGGGCATGAGCAATATTGTTGTTTATGACATGTCGAAGACCTTGGGTATGTTCTTCTGATCGTCGCATCATAGAAATGATACACAGAAGCTGACTATATTAGGTAGGATTGAAATGCTAGTTGTGGCCTCCGACCCTTTCGCGATCAGTACTATGGCTCACGCACTGTATGATATTTTGCCCTTCCTGGACAAAACAAGAGCATCCTCCTTCTTTGCACTCTCTTCTCTCTTCATACCGCAGACTCCAATTTGCGCAAGCCTCAAAGCTATCTTCAACGCACTTTCGGAATCGACGTATTGTCGGGGACGACGCGTCTTTCTAGATCAGCCTTGGCGCCGCCCAAGACACGTCAAGCATGCTCCCAAGGGTCGCCGATGACAGACCTATCTCCAATTGCACCCGCTGTCCAGGGCGAAGAGTACCCGCCGCCTCAGGCTCTCTGGCGCCTAAAATCCGCTTCTGCTGCGATGTAGCTCGATCCGCAGGCTCAATCCTTTCGATACTGAGTGCACGACAAGGCAAACCACACGTGCAAAATTTCTTCTCCCACATTGGAACAGAACACTACTGTTATGATCTGTAGGGTATGACATGGGTTATGACAAGAATACAATTGCCAAACAAAGCCACAGAATAAGGCGGACAAAGGTGATACAGGGCTTGATGATGAGATGACATGGTTGAAGAGATACATTATGTATGCTCAAGATGAGCAATGAATACTTCTGATGAACAAGAATGTGTACTTATACAGCATTTTGAGGAAGAGTAGAATGGTTAGTCAAATCATTTGCAAGACTTCTCCACTCCCACTTCACCATTCACAACACAAACCACACTCCACATCTATCGACTTCTTCTCCTATATTGGAACAGAGCACTACGCCAAGCGAATCAGGCCCCAGATGCTTACGCCGACCGATTTCGACCTCGAGAAGGATGACAGAGCCGACCCTTTCTATTGGATTTGCTTTACTACAACCTGATCTCAAGTCACGTTCTGTGCACCGTGAAGAACCGCAAAAAAGCCGCAAAAGTACATAGCCTAAAAAGAAGAATCCTGACAGATGGCGTTCCGCGCATGTTTGGGATGAGATGAGGGGAGAACAGGCGAGGCTGTTCTCTCACCTCACATCTCAAGCACACGGACGAGACGAGACGAAAACCCGTTGGACAAGGAAGTTCCATGCAAATACGACAAGAGCACAACCACAATATGCTCATTTACACACTCTCGATCGAGCGGTGAGAAGCTGGCCATTCCGCGGCACGTACCCCTTTTTCGAAAGGTTAAGTACGTCCAGCCGCATCGTAAAAGAATTGGCTGGTCTTTCCCCTCTAAAGGAATGGCTGTTGTGGTTTCCGTGCACTTTTTCGTCAACACTCTAGATACCCTCTTTTTGGAGCGTCGAGGTTGGAGAAGAAGAATATCAGGAGGAGGAAGGCGAATTCTTGCGCACTTGCAATGTTTATGTGTCTTGGTGACGAGACGGGCTGACTGGGGAAGGTGATGGCGAGTGTACTGACCACGTTGTTGGCATTGTGGCTTTGTATACAGGTGGGATGTACATCTTTGCGTTTCTGTTCCATGGAGCATACTCTTTTCGATTGGTTCAGTCACTTGAGCCGTTTTCGCCTGTCTGACCCTCCACGCTGTTCAATACCGCATATTCTCAATCGCCTCGGTTGAGTGCGCGTTCCCTAAAATCCCCACTCACCGAACTCCTCGATCCTCTGCATTCGGAATCTACCATGTGCCGAGCAATCCGCATCCGCAGCACTGTCGTGCGGTGGAAGATCATGTGTGATTTACTATGAAACGTTCCAGGTTTGCCACTTCTTCTTGGGCTGCCGCATCACTCCTCACCACTCGAGTCTGATGATTGATCAACTTCCTTCGGCCTATTAGCAGGCTGTCTGCCCGAGAGTGAAGCCGCTTCTGATGTTTAGTAGATCCCGAAGCCAGCAGATACAGCCCGGGCTAAGATGAGATCTGCTCCTCGTGCTCCAATTCGGCTAGAATAGCATCCTTCATAGCAATAAATCGGCAAAGGCGTTCACTATGCATGCAGGACACCTAGCAGATGGCATACATCTGTAGGTTCTGGCACAACGTGAGCAGCAGCAACAACAAGCTGCTACTTCATCTGATCACTTATTTGCTTCGTGTATACCAATCCATCTCACGCTCCCTTCAAATCATATCGTGCCTTCTGCAACTCCTCCACGTCAAGCGGCGCAAGCTGCTGTCTCGCAAACATAGTCAACCCCATAATAATAGCAGGTAAACTCTCCCTCCACGCATCCTCTACTCTTCCCTGCCTCCAACTCAGCCCAGCAGCCAACACCAGAAGGCCTGCCAATCCCATGTTCAGTACCACCAAATATTTCTTTAAAGGACCCTTCTCCGCTTCAAGCTTATACACAGCTTTCTTCCCCTTCCGATCCGGCCTCTCGATGATAGGTAGGAAGTGTAGAATGTATGCCGTGCACGCGAGACTGGAAACTCCCCCGAGAGCGATGATTCGCTGGCGCGCTGTGGAGGCGATGATGAAGGTATAGCAGAAAACGAGCACGGCGAGCAGTGGTATGCTGAGGAAGGCTTTGCGATAGAGTTCGTTCTTGGCGGTGTCTTCGGCCAATAAGTCTGCGATCAACTTCTCCTGGTGCTCTTCATCGAGTTCTTCGGGCTCGTCGACGTCGTCGTCATCGGTGGGATAGCGGAAGGTCTTTCGGAGGCGTGCGGCTGCCATTTAGTGAGGGTGTTGGTGAAGACTGTGCGGAAGTCGAAGGTGGGTGTGTTTGTTGTCGTTTTCTAGCGGTTTCTCAGGCGTTGTTGGCGATACAATCGCAGAGTGGTGTTGACGCGACTGTCATTCTCTCGTGATATTGCACCTCACTTTGGTCGCCTCGTCATCAGACTGTTGCCTGAGTGCGTGCTACATGTACTTCTACTTTGAAGGATGTACGCGTGCAGTAGGGTCCGCGAGTCTATTCACATGACGCTTGGACACTTTCTGAGTGAATCTCGGTCTTATATCGCTCTCTCTCTCTCCTCTCCCTCTCCTCTATCGCTCTCTCCTCTCCATCGACATTAGCCGTGCTGGCTACATCAATGACCGCTTTCCTAAGGCTTTCATAGAGTTTTGGGATACCTGGCCATGCTGGCCGGCCACTCAAGTCTTGGCCGGCGGGCAGCCGCAGAAAGGTTGACGACGTGCTCATTACCGGTATTGCCATTGTTTTGTATATAAGCAACAACAATCACAATCACATTATCCACACCCGCTGCTCACCCATAGGATTGTAATGAGCTCCTTACCATCTCGCCAGGCCACTTCCGACATGACGGCTCCCGACAACAGTGTAAGTGAGGTAGCACAATTCACCCGGTCAATCATGAGCGCGGCATTATGCAGAAGACAATGCTTATTATGCTTAGCCTGATCGCCTTCTCGAAAGCCTTCAAGACCTCCTCCGTGGCCCAGGTGGTGCTATAGCAATCATCAAGAATGGCGAAACCTTCCTCCGTCACACATATGGCTTCGCAGATCTTGGACGTCGCATACCTCTCACGCCGCAAATGCACATGCCGATCTGTTCCATATCCAAGCATATGTTCTGCCTGGTCCTCGCCTCGCTCAAAAGCGAACCAACTCCACTCATGACCAAATCTGTCGGCGACATTTGGGATCAAGCTTCTGCAGAGCTCCAGAAGGTTCTCCCTCACCTGGTTACCCAAGGCCTGACTTTCGCAGACCTCTACAACATGCAATCGGGCATCCGGGACTACTGGGCGATGACCACACTTTGGGGAGCACATCCTGAGGGCCCGTTCAGTATTCTGCTGGATGCCCCACAAACCGTAGCACGGACGAAATCATTCCATTTTCAGCCTGGTACGGAGTGGTCGTACTCGAATGTCAACTTTCACATCCTTGGTCAAATCATTGAGGCGGTCGCTGGACAGTCTCTCGGGCAGTTGTTGGACGAGAGAGTCTTCAAACCCGCGGGCATGAAATCTGCTGCTCTGTGTCCAAATACATATGGCCATCCACTGCCTGTTGTGGGATATGAAGGTGATGAGAAGCACGGCTATACCCCCGCTGTCAATCGTATTGAATGGGCTGGAGATGCAGGAATCGTCGCTAGTCTGGATGACATGATTGCGTATGAGAAGTGGCTCGAACGAACTTATGCCGAGGCTGGAAGTCTGTACAGCACCATCGTAGCGCCTCAAACGTATCGTGACGGCACTGCTGCAGGCTACGGCTTCGGACTTGCTCATGGCGAAACTGCAGGAGCAGCCTGGACGAGTCACGGAGGCGCACTGAGAGGCTTTCGCCTGCACCGTATTCACGTCCCAGAAGAGCATCTATCTGTTGTAGTCCTCTTCAACCACGAAGCAGATTCCGCTGCACCTGCTGACGCGATCATCAAGCGCTTACTCCAATGGCAAGAACCAGAAAAAGCCCTCTCCACCCCAGCGCCAGAGTGGCAAGGGAACTTTTTGGATACGGAGACTCAGCTTCTGGTCCACGTGGAGAATATCGAGGATGGCCAAGTGAGCATCACGTACCACATGGCCACCGAAAAAGTGCCACTCACCAGTGCAATCCATGCCGAGTCGAAGAGTATCATCGCAAACATCGCCGGCGACGAACTACACGTCGAACGCCAACGAGAACACCGAACCTTAAACGCCAGGCGCATCAAGAGCCCCACCACAACTAACTCAACAAACGAGTATATCGGAGATTACCAATGTGCAGAAGTCGATAGCAGCTTCCACTGCTCTCCCGGTTCAGGCAACTTGTTATACGGATCCTTCGATGGCTTTCTCGGTCAAGGCCCTGCACATCTCATGCAATACATTGGCGAAGACGTTTGGACATTGTCCAATCCTCGTGGCATGGATGCTCCAGCTCCTGGCAACTGGACTATAGTTTTCCAGCGTGACGAGAACGGAAAAATTTCCGGAGTCACTATTGGTTGTTGGTTAGCGAGGCTGATTCAGTTCGCAAAAGTGTTGTGAGTTGAAGGACCTGAGGCCTGAGGCTGAGATGAGCTAGCTGTGGAATACAGTATGTACCAGGTACCGCACGGCTATCGAGGTCTGAGATATGTCATAGCGAAGTTCATTAATTCCCAAGAACCTACACGGCCGAGACGGTCACTCGACCAGATACTACAGACCTATGCTCGCGACCATGTCCGAGATCCGGTTACCGAGACTTAAGCTACTTACCTGTAGGTAGGCACCACGGCACCACTCTGCTAGACGCGGGGAATTGAAGAAAGCTGCAGCTTTGACTGCTTCTGCTGCTGAAGACGTCTAGTAATTATGGCAGCAGACATCCATGTCTTGGTAGATGTAGGTAAGAAGGTAGGTAGGTGCGTACCTAGGTACATGTAGTTTTCCCCAAATTTCACTTCTTCCGCCAAGGCTCACATAACCAGGTACGCTACATCACATGCGAGATATCCAGGTACTGGGTAGATCAATGAAAATTGAAATCGCCGAGTATAAGAAACGCCACTATGAGAGTGTATTAGAGTGGTGCAACCCGGACTTGGCGAAGAAAACCAGCTGGGAGAATGGTCGTTCCGATATATGTCCGTGCCCATTGGGAACGTAACGCGACTTGCACTGGCGCGAACGCCAATACGGCGGATTCGACATGACACGATGCACGAGACAGAGGTGAGAGGTATGAAAAAATAAGGGTGGTTTTCATTGCTTGGTTGCTTTTTCTCTTGCCTCTTAAAGCTGAGCGTTCGTCCGTGCCAGAGTTGGTGTGCTTTACCCAACGGATTCCCTATAACAACAAGAAGAACCACCATCACCACCACCAGCACCATAACCATGAAGTTCCTATCAACAGTCTTCCTCTGCGCCCTCACAAGTGGTCTTGTCGCCGCACAATGCGACCTCGCTACCAATGTCTGTGAATACACCAACCTGTACTTGTGCAAAAGACCCTCCAGTGGCACTAAATATGGCAACTGCGGTCAAACAGCTAAAAACAATTGCGAATATGGCTGTCCAAGAATGGTAAGTGGTGAATTGATGGAATCGATATACGTACGTACGTACATAAGCCGTTCATTACTAATGGCTTTGTTTCTTCTTCTTCACCTTCCAGTGTGACGTTGGTGTTTGGGATGCTCAGGCGAATAGCGATCGTGGCGGTTGTGATTGCTATTGTGCGAAGTAGAATCGATGCGATGGGGGTTAGGTCTGGCGCGAGATGGAGAATGCTTCGGGTGGGAAGATGGAGCTGTGCTGGGAAGACCGTCTGGAGAAGTAATATGTGTCAGGCTCCCTGTGATGGACCCAAAGTGGCGTTGCGCCGCCGAAAACCAACGAATTCAAGGCGTAATTCTTCATGCCTCCCTTCAGTGGCGGCCACGACGAGGTCTCGCGGACGACAATAGATCAAAGGCCTCTCCCTTCGAGATCATAGTGGTGTGCATATTGATGAGGCCGCATTCTGCACTCAGCGTATGAGGAGTGGAATGAGAGTGATTGTGTACTCAGATGAGCGGGTGATGTTCAAGGTGACGAGGTTGTCGTGGTCGTGGTCGTTCGAGAAAATATCGAGACGAAGCAGGAGACGGGCGGTGGAGGTAGCTCAGGTACAGGTAGGCAGGGGAGGCACGTTGATATTTCCTTGGCAAGGCCGTCAAACTTCCACTTCATTTTCTCCTTTTCTACGATACCATTGACTATTTCAACGACAGGCCAGCCAGGTCATCATCATCACCATCATCATTATCATCCGGAGAGCTTCTTGTCATCTGCGGGAAGCGACACTGCGTTGGCCAAGCTGCATGTAGCATCGTTACCGTGCCGCAGTAGCGCGGCATACTGCTCTGGAACCCATAATCGAAGAGCGTGTAGTGCTGGAGAGTAGTCATCGCATGCAGAAATATCGGACCCAGATACAAGTAATGGCTCCCCTCGGTCCTGCAGTGTCATGACTGCATCCTCCCATCTCATAGCGGCCTTCACGATCTCTGGTAAGTTCAGGCTATCCAGGCCACCGCGGAACTGGATCATACGCCTCTGCGCAGGACGATGGAGATGGTGGACGATCTGCGGCTCGCTACCATACATGCTCTCATAAAATGCGAGACTTCCGACTGCCAGGATCAAGCCGTTGGATGCATGGCGATCGCTTGTGAGACTGTCGTGAACGGCAGCAGTGGTCTTCTGCTTGAGCACGTCGCAGAGTCGGGGGCGAACGACTCCTGTCTCGAGGAGGTGCCCAGCTGTAAATAGTAGCCTGGCATAGTAGAGAGCTGGCTCCTGTTTTGCATAGGTTGCTAGGCATTCCTCCCAGATCGCCCCAGACTCTGCACTGATGCTTAACGCAGACCACCACAGAGGGCTGAAGACTACCAGCATATAGTCTTCTACTGACTTCAGCATTGCCTCGAGTTCGAACGAGTCACCAGTGCTTGCAACAGTGGACCAGGAAGACGCAGTCGAGGGATCCGTCCAAACAGAGCCTTGGCTGCTTGTACTGGAGCGCGAAGGTGCAGATATTTGCCGAGCAGCGTACGCTGTATATCCATTCGGCGAATGGCTTATTCCATCGACCCCATGCTGCTGAACGAGCTCCAATGGGTTCGGTGCTTCGACGCTCGTGGTGCTCCATTCGGCTTGTGCTGGGGTACTTTCTTGGACGAGATTCTGCACGATGGACTTCTTGGAAGCCTTCAAGTCCTTTGACCTTGCCTGGCGGTGCTGTCTCGCAGTGACATGGCTACGGACTGTCTGGCGAGCTCTTTTGGATAGGAACTCAGAGGGGTCCGTGAAGGTCAGAAAGCATGTTGGCGTCTCGTTTCCCTTCCGCTTCAAATTGTCGATCCTGCATTTGACTGCTGGATTGGTATTGGTATAGCTACATGGCCTGCTATGCATAGCTTACAGCCAACTGACCAACTGCAGACAAGTCGAGCTGTTTGCACATTCACGTACCATTGTTCTAGCGTTACTGGTACTGTACGTGCAAGTTGCCACAACAGAGCCCCGGAGTTAGGGACGGAGGAGCGCTTAAGCTATGGGCATCGCTGGAGAACAGTGCACTCCTGCAGCATGACAGAAGTGGAGCATTGGAACGTAAGATGTCTTAGAGATGGCTAAGCTGGTGCTACAATCGATCGGCCAACTACGATTGGTCTTCGACGCATCAGATTGTTCTTGGCACGCATATGCATGAGATTGATGAGATGGGTAACCCAGCTGTATACTTGTGCAGCTCAATCCAAACTTCTGGTCTACAATTGGGAGTACTCGACGACATATCTCGCCATGGAAGTCATACAAACGCCCATTGCGCGAATTGGCAGAGCGCACCAGAATCACTCGCAAAACAACGCCTCATTTGAACGTTTCGTAGCGTACGTTGCACGGTTGCATCAAGCTCGATCGTGGTACTACGGAGGCATTGCTGGAGCGTCTCTAGCACATAAAGTCGTCCGAACTTTACTATGGGACTTGTTAGCGGAAGATACCTTGCTTTTTCAAGCTGCCATCTTCGTCTCTGGAACATTCAGTAATACCTGCGGTATCCCCAAGGAACAACTGGTTCACATGGCGCCTGCTCTGGCAGTGATGCGAGGGAGTTCCATGAGAGCGTTGAGAGAAGCAGCCTTCACCACGGAGCAAACGAGCTACAAAACTGCTGCCATAGCTCTTCTAGCCGGGTGGGAGAAGAGATTCGGAGATACGGAGAGCGCCGATGTGCACATGCAAGCCTGGCGTGCACTTCCTCTTCCCGAGCACGCGCTGGACGAAGAATACGTCTTGGCGTTACTCGATGTGACGTTCCAAGTCTTCCAGGACAGTCTCATCGAGCACGTAGCCTTTGAGGACGACGAGAACGAGACTCCCTCCTCCTCCTCCTCATCCTTCCTAGCTCCTCCCATCCGCGAAGCCTCACCAACCCTCCCAGCAGGTTTCTCAGGCTACTTCCACCCGTGGCCAGAATCCCAAAGTCTCCGCGCGCTCCTCTCTCAACTCACACAATATAATTTCACAACCCCCACCTCCGTCTCCCAAATCCGACAACTCTGCATAGAATTTCTCGCCTGGTCACCCTCCCATTCCCAAAATCTGACTCCTGTCCCCGAATACGAATCCCAATTCCACCCTCTCGAGCTCAAAATTCTCTATCACATTCGAGCTGCCTGCGTCTCCATTTCCGCAATGTACTTGCGCTTGGCGTCCGATTATCATCACGTCCAATGGATCGCCGACGTCGAAGAAGCTGTGCATGCGCATACAATGTCTTGTCATCATTTACCCACGAACGCATTGATGATGCCTCATCCTCCTCATCCTCATGGTGGTAATGACACCGCTAATATATCCCCTCCTCACCACGACCACATCCCCATAGCATTATGGTCTCGATGGATCATGTGTGTAGCAGCACGCGATCCCGCATCGGATGATTTATTGCGTGAATTAATTTCGCGGGCAGAGGGAGGGGGAGGGGGAGGGGGAAGGGGAGGGGCAGAGGGAGGGGGAGGTGGAAGGGGAAGTGGGATACGAAAATGGAAAGATTTGGAAAATTTGTTCAAGAAGAGATTTCTTTTACCCGAGTTTTTGGTCGAGAGGAGTCGAGAGTTGTATGGGATTTTGTTTGTTGATGATGGTGGTGGTGTCGTAGAATCGTAGATTTTTTCTTTTTTCTTTTTTCTTGGAAAAATTCCTTCTTTTGAGGGGGTTGTTTTCTTCTTGTATAGGTGAGGTAGGCACAGGTACGAGAGCCGGATTTTTGTCCCAAAATTCTAGAAAGAAGGGGCGGGCGTTCTAACTTGAGAATTTAGAGATAAGAGAGCTCCCGCCGAGGTATGGTATAAATGGTTCGTGTAGCTGTCTACCTTAGGTAAGAGATCTGATCAGTAAAGGGATTCTACGCGCTGGGGCTGGAGACTTGCAATGCGGTTGTATCGACAGGTATTGGGTGGGGGGGCTGTTGCACAAGTGCCGTCCTGACGCCCGGATGCTGAGTGAGACGAAGTATCAGGGGCACTGCGTCACTCATCATGTTACATTACGTGCCATTGAGGCGCACACGGTCCTTGAGTAACGAGATGTAGGTGGAATAATGTTCTCAAGTCAACAAGAAGAATTGCATTCATTTCGGATTGTAGGACCCAGAGTGGTATCAATCGCTAGTAAGTAGGTAGGTACAAGTCAGAAGACTTGGTCATGCTGGTTGAGAAAGCCGCCCCAATCGACGCTGTCTATGCAAACCCTGAGCACCTGGAGAGTCAAATGAGAACAGAGAGACATGAATCATGACATGCGTCCCGGAGCAGGGGAAATGTAAGGAGTGCTTTTCTGCCGCACCCATCCCACGCGTAGATCCTGTTGCCCGTACGCGTGCGATGAGAGAGCGAGTGTCAACCGACGTTCATGCTCACGCTTCAGCTGCGCCGTCGGCGTCGGCAGTCTTGGTGCCCACGCCGTCGACACGCTTCTCCGCTATTTGCTCTTCGGCTTCCTTCTTCATTGCGGAGAAGTCGAGGTTCGCAGTAGGAGTCTTTTCGGTAATGAGGGACTTCAACCACTTGTTCTCCATCTCGAGCTGCTGAACCTTAGCTTCATAGGAGGCAAGCTTGTCGCTCATTTCCCGTGTCTGCTTCTCCAAGGCTTGCTCACGTTGCTTCTTCTTGATACGGAAGCGGGCAGACGCGGCAGTGTTGCGCCGACGCTTGTCCTCCTCAGCAGCCATTCGAGATTGCTCTTCGAGGTCAGCAGAAGATGAAGCCAAGGCGACAGAAGCCTTGCGCTTGTCACCTGTCATGGGCGACTGGGCGAATGGCTGGGCTTGGAAGTTGCCATGCACGAGCGATGGTGACGGCATGACGGAGGACGGAGAGGTGACATTGGCAGGGAAGGTCTGGAAGTCATTAAACTGGTACTTTTGTCCTGCACAAGCAATCATGTTAGCATGTGCATGTAGGCTCGAAAGGAGACTTCAATGACGAGGTGTAATCCACTCACCATCCTTGGTATTGTCCGGCTCGAAGGAAGTAGGGTCTCCGAAGCCCGCAGCGTCTAGGTCGAGGAAGTCAACATTAGCGATGTCGAAAGCATCGTCGAAGGTGAAGTCGTTCTGGATATGACCCGGTGCTGGCAACTCGTTCAGGCCCTGCAGATACTGGGACACGTTGGGAGCCGTGCGGCCTGTGAAATTCTGCGACATGGCGGATGACAGGCAGTGATGTTGGTGGCAGTGAGGTTGCCGACCGACGGGTTGTATACCAAGAGCTGGTTGGTATTGTTGGCGCGGCTGTCTTTGACGCGCGCGGTTCTTTGTCCAATGGTATATGCGTGGCGCTCGTGGCAGACTGAATTAGATGAGCAACGGCCTCGGACAATGACTATTCGCGGCCCGTCCTCTCCCTCTCTCTCCCTCTCTCACTCTCTTCCTCGGTCTCCTTGTTCCCACGCTATCCGGTGTCGTTGTCGTCGTCGCAGCCTGTGACGACGAGGACCATCCACAGGCGGGTGTGGTATGGGTTCTGCGTGTGTAGGGTGAGTCTGGCGGTCGTCGCTGGGTGTACGGCGTGAGGGGTGAGGTGCGAGGGAGTGGGGTGTGGGTGTGGGAGGTGGATGTGGGTGTGTGGTTGTTGTGATGAGAGGGAGAGGGTGCAAAGGTGGGTGTTCAGTGCTAAGATTCGGTGGGGCAGCGCGCAGAATCATCAATGAAAAGTGGGCAGCCTGTTCACTTGCCTTGTTGCCGGCGGCAAATTCCACCCTTAGTCATTCGTTCCCTTCCCTTCCCTATTACCTCCTAGCCCCGGCTGCAGCTGAAAGATGATGAAAAGATCAATAATCAAGGCCAACCACCAAGGAATCTGTGAATCTGTCAACGGTGACACTTGATATTATCATTATGTTGCACAGCGTCTCACATGATGTGTTCACCCTGCCTTATTCTACTGATCAGTGAACCAGCCTGTACATGTAAGGAGGTATGCTGAACGATGGCTTCATCAATGGACTCAACTCTGCTCTCAAAGGCACCCGATAATAATACGCCACTTAAGTCCATCACTTCAACCACTTTCCGAAAAGACCCACTCCTCGGAAGTAGAAGCTCGACTCCTCACCGCAGATTCAACCTCCGTATTTGTTCGAGGTACCTTCTTTGTGCAGGCTGACCTCAGGTACGTTCATGCAAGCAGACGTCCAGGTCCGTACCTCCTAGGAGGTAGCCCGACTCAGGATGCTGTGCCATCTTCCTCGTACAACTCGTCGGAGCCATACCTCCGGCTCTACTCGTCGAGGTAGCTAAGGTACGCATGATGATAATTCCACGGGGAGGTACACGCACGCCTGAGTGACCAGATACCGATATACGCCCTCATCGTATAAGGTACGCACCTGCACGCGGTCTAGAGCGCCTCATCCACGCCCTCCGACGTGCCTTTGCAGCGACTACCACTCTCTCTCTCACTCACTCAGCATCCGCAGCTAGGGATAGCCGGGAAGTAGTACCAGGGGAAGCCCGTCTTGTCCTGCAGCACAAGCATGACATTTGCCTGAATGTCAAGGTCACATCATGTTGTTCTTATTATACTCTCTCTCTGTCTCTCTCTTTCAAGCGACTTTGTCCCAGGCAAAGTTGGCACCTGGCAGATCTCGCACTCTCAAACGCGCAACAAATTCTCGTATATCAATCAGCAAGATTCTGGAGGGACACGTAAACCGAGCCTTTGTGAGGGCATGCCTGCCAGTCGACTGACTTTGACACCGATTGCGGTATCTCGAAGCGCAGATTTCACGACGTTACTACTTGCTTCCTACCTCATGCATAGGTAGCATACAGCCAGTGCATCGCTTACAAGCACAATCCTGAGCTCTTGATTACCAGCATAGCAGCGCAGAGTCAGACTCCAGAGTTCCCGGTATGGATTTCAAAGCGTGGGGGGAATACCTAGGTACTTTTCCACCACTAGATGCTCACCATTAGCCGGCCAGCCGCCGCGGTCTGCGGATGGTCGGCAAATTCATGATTTGCTCTCTAGTTCCCCCGAGAAAAAGGAAGAAAAAAAAATCTACCTCCTATATAGGAGCATCCACGCGGAGGCTTTCCGGCCGTTTGCACTCCTCGTATCAGGGTATAAATAAATGACAAACCTTTTGAAGGTGCGTCGAAAAAGCAATCCCGGATGATGGCGGCCTCGCTGGGACAACTCACAGTAAGGTGACCTTCGTCACTATGTAGCGAAATAATCCGCTAGGATACTCACCTGAGGTCCTGAGCTGGCTTAGGCTTGACCGTATAGTACTTTATGATCGAACCTGACCTGATCAACAAGACATACCAAATTCCCTTGCAGTCAGCGAGGTATTGGCGAAGATATATATCTCTCAACTCTGGCCAATTATAACCCCAGTCAAAACTACGGCCGCTAGTGGAAGTCAGCGACGAGAAGGACGATCAGGCCCCGTCTACTCTGTCGATATGTCGATAGTTACTTTGTCGATAGTTTCTACCTACCTCAGGCTTATTATTGTTTTTATGTTTCAGGTATGTTCGAGGTAGCTATCCTGAAGGACGCGGGCATTGTACGTTTACCGCTGCTTAGGTACTACTCACTTCACGCCCGTCCTGTCGCCAAGAAGAGACATGTCTTTTGTTATTAAGAAATACCTCTATCTAAGAGAGACTTCGACCGACCCGGAGCACCTAGACGATTGCCGTACGACTCTATAAGTAACATCTACCCGAAAAGAAGATTTTTGGCAGCGATATATTACTTCTCCGCGTGCCGCCGACTTGATCCCAGAGGACGTTATCCTCCGTGGAATACTACAATGATTTCTCGAGCGTATTCGTTAGGTTCTGCCAAAGCACGGTGTTTAGCGCTGACATGCATTTTTTTGCGCGGAATAACGAGTAGGTAGGAGGCATGTAGTGCCATAGATGCGTTGGAAGGCTTTCTATCCTGTGCCTCCGCCGGCGAAGGGCGACTTCTGGGCTTTTCCGAGAATTCAAGGCGTTATAACTTATTCGGACTGAAATGGCATCCATCTAGACAGCGACTTCTTGGGCAAGAATTTCTAGGAGACACTGCTTTTAAGACTGAGTATGCGGACGGCTGATGACATATGCGGTATCATAGTCCAGAAGCAGAAGGTAAGCCTCGTATCGAGTATAGGTCAGTTCCTAGTCCTACCTACTCTTGCTCTACAGCATCTACTTTGGTCTGCTCTGCTACATGAACTCAGCTATAGCGACCTATACATCAAGAGACGTGTTTCAAGAGACAACAGCTTCAGCCTTTCAGGTTCTAAGCAGCACCAATTTCGGTCCTCCGGTACAGCTCCAGCCGAGCACTATACACGACTCCGCGTCGTACCCCAGTCCCCAGATATTATCAAATCTAACATGCGCCATGCGGATGGCTCCTCACTAGCTTGGAAGCGAGGCACATGTTAGATTGTGGGAGAGAGAGAGAGAGAGAGACTGTGTTGGCAGTATACGACGAGGTCATTGCAAACAGGTAGGAATATGCCTTCTTCCTCTTCTGCTTCTTCTTTTCCCAAATGCATGAAACCTTACAAGATTCCAATCTTCTCCTCCCACTATGCATCTTCTGAGTAGTAGCAGAACGCTACTCCTCCTCCTAACAACACTAACACTCCCCACCGCCCACGCCTCTTCCTCCTCTTCCAACACAACCACCGAACCACTCCTCCTCGCCAACCTCACCTACGGCAACTTCCTAGGCTCCTACTCCCCAGAATACAACATCACCTACTGGCAAAAAATCCCCTACGCCGCTCCACCCGTCGGTCCCCTACGTTTCCGCGCTCCACAACCTCCTCTCCCCGAAAATTCCAATGGCAGTACCACAATATACAACAGCACCCAACCCTACGACCTCTGTCCACAACGCACCGTAAACGGCAGCGAAGACTGTCTCTATTTAGGTCTCTATTCCCGTCCCTGGACACCTTCTTCTTGCTCATCCTCCTCAACACCCCTACGCCCCGTAGTCGTAACCTTCCACGGCGGAGCTTTTATTCAAGGTGGAGGAAGTTTTACTTTACCGCCTTCTGCATTTCCCATTCTCAACGTCAGTTCTTCTTCTTCTTCGGAGGAGGAGGGTGCTGTTGGTGGAAAGGAATATTCACCAGACATCATCTTCATCTATCCCATCTATCGTCTCAACGCCTTTGGTTTTCTCCCCGGAAAAGAAATCTCTGAAGATCCTGAATCGGATTTAAATGTGGGATTACTGGATCAACGGGCCGTGTTGCAGTGGGTGAGAGATTACATCGAAGTATTTGGAGGGGATAAAGAGCAAGTGACGGTATGGGGCCAGAGTGCAGGTGGAGGAAGTGTGATTGCGCAAGTTTTGGGAAATGGGGCTTCGACGGTTGAAGAAGAAGAAAACGAAAAGGAGGGAAAGAGAAGAGAAAAATTATTCCAAAGAGCATTAGCAGGAAGTCCCTTTTGGCCCAAAACTTATCACTACGATGCTCCCGAAGCACAAGAATTATATGATCGATTTGCCGAATTGGCGGGTTGTGGTAAAAATGGTAATGCTTCCACAACTACAACTACGACTACAAGTCTACAATGTCTCAAACAAGCCCCCGTCCAAACTCTCCGCGAAGCAAGTCTAGCAGTGAGTGCCAGTCACACATACAACACATCCTCCTACAGCTGGGCCCCCGTCATCGACAAAAAATTCCTCCTGCAACCTCTCAGCAGCGCATCCTCATCCTCATCCTCTCCAAACCTCCAACTCAACATAAATTCCGCCTGGAGCATGTACAACCTCCACGAAGGCGAAAACTTCCTCCCCCAAGGCCTTTCCAATTCCACAGGCGATTCTTATGGTTTCAACTCCTCTCTAGCATCCTTCAACCAATGGCTCCAAGGATACTTGCCCGGTTTGACGGAAATTGAACGGACCAAAGTGAAAGAGGAATTGTATCCGGAAGTGGGTATGGCGGAGGAGTTGGTGGGAGGTTATAATACGTCGTATACGCGAGCGGGGCTGATTTATCGGGATACGGTGTTGACGTGTCCGGGGTTGTGGATGGTGGAGGCGAGTGGTGGTGGAGGGGGAGGGGGAGGGGGACAGGGGGCGTATTTGGGGGAATATACGATTGATCCGGCGAAGCATGGGAGTGATACGGGTTATGTAAGTTTTTTTTGGTCTCTCTGTCTCTTTGTCTGTTTGTCTGTTTGTCTTGTGATCTGGGGCAGAACAACAACAACACTTGGGACGGAGAAACACCCCCCGAAACGAGATACTAATTCGATTCTTCACAGTGGAATAGAGTCAACGATCTCCAACAGACGGATAGATTAATTTACGAGGGCTACGCAGGCGCTTTCGCTTCGTTTTTCCAGACTGGTGATCCCAATGCATACAAATTGACGGGTGAAGACCAAGCTGGTGTGCCCGATCTGCGGGAGACGGGGATGCAATTTGTGATTCGGAACTCGAGTTTGGTGACGGGCGGGACGGACCTGTTACGATCCAGATGTGACTTCTGGCGGAGCGTTGGGGAAAGGATTCCGATATAAAGAAAAAGCAACAAAGGTGGTCTTTTTTGGATAAAAAAGCAAGCACAAAGAAGCCAAGCTTTTGTTTGGATTTCTCTCTCTACTTCTCTCTCATCGTCATGAACCGTCGTCGGATCCATCGATCTCATCATTTTCCAGTCGTACTAGTAATACAGACGCCAGATCCCTCGGCCATGCTTCCCGAGCACTTTGCGTAGCTCCACGGGCAGCCCATGCCTGGCTTGCCTGATGATCGAGGAGCTGGTGCTGGTGCTGCCGAATGTGTCCCGTGGACTCTATCTGCGTGTCTTCACAACCGGCAAATGTGGCCTCGCAATCAGGGTCTCTCGGCCAGAGGTCCTGCGAGAGAACAGTGCTATCCTGACCCATGCGAGGCAGTATGCCTACTTCAATCTGCCAGAGCATATTCCAAACGGTTCGAGAATTCTCGAAATGGGCAGCGCTCATGAAGAGGGATGTCAGTCTGATTTCGATACACCCTCGTCTGCACTGCACGAGTTCTTCCGTCGTGTCGACAAGGGTCGTCTATAGCCTTGCGCTTCCACGATCATTTGCACTCCTGCTCACGCGCCCTGATCGGACTCTGCTCTCCGAAGCACTGTTATCACCGATCCTGCCATTCGAGTGGCGGGCATCTCGTGGCTGTGAGCGTGATAAGTTGAGGCCCATACTCATCCACCACTCTTCAGGCACATCGTCGCGAGCAGCAAGGCGTTCGACAATTCTGCGCATCGAATCCAGGTCCTGCACGTCGCCACTCATCAGTGCTTCAGACACTTCGCGCTCAGAGCGGGCGGCAGGAGGCGAGACGGGATGTGCCTGTGGACCGTCTCTCGACACCTCCGCTTGCCAGGCGTCGGCGGGATCGTCCGTGCCATCGTCTGAGAGGGGTCCATCTACAGGTCGAGCTTGATATTGAGGTGGAGGTGAACGGGTCCTTGTCGCAGTGAGCGCACTTGCATGTACGGATCCCAGCGCGTCAGCGGTAAAGCGACGGAAGTAGTCACTGATCTGACCCCTCGTCTCATGGACAGCGTCTCGAATTTCCTGCCCATACTGCTCAGGCGCGGGTGGAGCAGGTTCCGCGGCACTCTCGCTTTGTCGAGCACGTCGTTCGCGCAATTGTCGTTCGCGCAGGCGTCGAGTGGTGTGGAGCATGTCCTGGTAGTGACTGCGGTCCTCGGTAGAACTGTATCGCGTCGATAATACGCGCGTCCTGCCTTCCTCGGACTCTAGCGCTTCTTCGATCAACCGAAAGCCGATATCGACTCTCGCAGGCTCGGTGGCCAACGCAAATCGGTTCCCGTCCTGTTCTCGGACGCTGTGGTGATGCGCGATCCGTTGTCGGCCTTCCGGCGTGCGCATCTCGTGGTAATAGACATTTTCTGCAAATCGTTCCGAGGTGAGAGCCTCCTCTTCGGTGCAAATCTGATCTTCCTCGCTGTCCTCGCAGTCTTCGCCGGAATTCTCGGGGTTCTCCGTGCTATCTCTACTCGGCTCTGTGAGTTGTGTACTACTGCTGGAATCATTGAATGATCGGCTCGCAGCGGCACTTGCAAAACTACTTTCCGCACTGGGAAGCGATTCATCGGGAGTAATGGTGGTGCGCATAATCTCCCAGCCGTCTTCGGAGGCCGGACTGCGAATGCGGTCTCCCAGACCATTGATGGGAGAGTCCGGTCGCCATGCATTGCTCAGAGGATGCGCTCGGCGGATCGTGGGTCGGTTGACCGTGATCGTATCAGAGTCCGACGTGAACAAGCTGTCCTCTGCCGATTGCTCGTGCGGCGGGGTTGGAAGCGTGCTGCGCCGTGTGTCCTCTCCATCTCCGGGCTGTGGTGGGTCATGTCGGTGCATAGGCTCGGGTGAGCGTAGTATGCGCAGAGGTTCGCCAGGATTCAGCACGATTGTATGCATGGGTTGAGGAGGATCATCATCTCGGTTGGCGGGAGGTGTTGGCGACCTTCGCAACGCGCGGTTCTCATCGGACTCGGTATCTTCGGTGATTTCCACCATGGGAAGGCCCCTATGGCCATTCCAGCTACCGGTGAGAGTAGGCTGACGAAGCTGGCGTGGATGCTGTCGCTGACGCTCGGCGCCGAGCTCCATATACTCATGATATCTGCGCCTCGACCTGCCAGTACTGGCGTCCTCTTCCCAATAGTTGCGAGACTCAGGCACAGGAGGCGGCGGCAGAGAGCGGCCACTGCGAATTGCGTCGCGGGTGTCGCGCTCATTTTGAGCAGCCTGGCGACCGCCGGCAGCCTCGAGGAGCGTGGATATGGACGGCACACCTCTTGTGTCACCGCGAAAGCCTACCGAAGGCGGAGGCGACCGCTCGAATCGAGGTGGCAGACGCGACGGCTCGCGGTGCAGAGTGGCGCGATGTGTCCTGCGGCCATGCACTGAAGGGCGCCTCCGGATGCTCGAGCGCAAACATGCTGTCGGGTCCTGCTTGGTCGCCTTCCCGGCGCACTTCTTCTCGTCTGGATCGCGCCAGATTCTTGAAGTCGCGATGGAGTGTCAGCGTGGAGTTCGAATCGTCTCGCAGCGTTTGTGGGTTTGCAGATTGGCTGGGTAAGTAGTGGCTCATGCGCGCGCGCGCAAGCCGGTCGCGAGCAGAACGCGTGCGCGACTAGGCACGAGCGCATTGAGGATTTGTGTTTTCGGGGGCAGACCTACGGAAGACCCATCGTGGAGAAGAGAGACGGCGAGGATAAGAGCGCGGCGACGGCGACGGCGGCGGGGCGGAAGAGGCGGTGACGATGGATGGTATGATAGGCAGTAAGAGATGCTGAAGGCGACTGGCGCGAGGCCTGCAGGCGACCAGATGGGGCGGAGTGGAGCGGAGTAGAGGGGGTAGAGGGTGGAGAGTGGAGAGTAGAGTGGCGATGCTGTGGGGCAGCGATGGACGGGATGGGTATTGGTCCTATTGGATGGGTGAGGTTGTCGCGTTTGTCTTGTCGTGGCCGACGAGGTTCTGCCTTTCGTCTGTCAGTGTTGACTTGCCACCACCCGCCGTAAAGCCACTGCCACCTGCCACACCTGCCACAAAAAAGTCACCGGGACGGGCGGGACAAGCGCTTCTTCCCGCACGCGCCAAGACCCAATATGCTTCCATCGCACCAACAGACTTCCCTCTCGTCCACTCTGTGTCTGTCCAACAGCCACGCCAATAGATGTACCGCAATGGCAGCCGTCCTCGAAGGGTACTACGACTAAACTCGTCAGCATCGCCCGTGGCATACCATAGTGGTTCCGACACTGCACTGCTACTCCTCGAGATCCGGCACTTCACTATGCCACCATGCTGCGCCAAACAACAGCATCGCCGCTATTGTTCGGCCTGAGCAGCCGGACAGAAACACTCCAGTCACTGAAAATAGGGATATACTATGCTGTCAAGGCCTGGAGCCGTCTTCGCCTTGGCATCTGGGCACACGCAGACACCGCTGGTGGAGAAAGATATCCAGAGCCCGTGGGATACAAGTGAGTAAATGGGTGCCGAGGACGAAGGCCACTGGTCAAGGACATGTGGTCACTGTTACTTTAGTGAGGTTCTGCTATCAATGCGGGACGAGAAGAGTGTGATTTTTCAGCACACGGAGCACACTTCAGCGCTGCAGAATATACTGATGATAAATTCAAGTACCTTATACCTGCCATGCCTACCTATGTACATAGCAATAGCCTGAAGTGCAGTGCGAAGTGAGACACATGACCGCATAGCTGATGACTTCAAGTTAGTCAGATGAAAGCTTGTGTGCTTGGTCAGGGAAAATTCCGTCCGTCTTACAAAAGCTCATCATCACTGTGCATGACAAACCGACGACTCCCGGACCCGAATCTGACCCGACTCACTACATATATGCACAGAAAACTTCACCTCCATACTGATCCCATATCAAAAGCCCCATCTTCTCCACATATCATTCTCACCATCAATCACCATGTCCCAACCCACTGGCACAGTGGTCCACAAGCACGCCGACGCAGATGGACACTTCCGCCGCAAAGCCAGTTCATTCCGCGACACGATTTCCAAAGATCCCCAGTCCAAGTACCCGGCTGAGTCCGGTCGATATGCTTTGTACATGAACTATGGGTGTCCCTGGGCGCACCGAACGTCCATTGTTCGAGCTCTGAAGGGTCTGGAAGATCATATTCAGATGATTGCGACCGATTTTGATCTGACGAGTGAAGGTTGGACTTTTACTGGTGAGCTTCTATCAATATATCTTATGATCTTCTGTGGAAGAGAAAAGAAATTCGATGCTGATGTACCTTATCAGGCAACCACGGCTCCGATATCAAAGATCCTCTGTTCGGCTTCACAAAAATCAAAGAATTGTACCTCAAGGTAAATCCAGAATACACGGGAAGATTCACTGTACCATGTCTATTCGACAAAAAGACACAAACAATCGTCAACAACGAATCGAGCGAAATCATCCGAATGCTATATACCGAATTCGACGATTTGCTTCCACACGAGCTCAAAGAAGAGACCAAAAAAGAAGGAGGACTCTACCCCGAGCATTTGCGAAAAGATATCGACGAGATGAATGACTGGGGTGAGTGATAGAAGAATACCATTCCAACACATCTTCTTTTCTAACATACAAAACACAGTCTACAACACAATCAACAACGGCGTCTACAAATGCGGTTTCGCCCGATCCCAAGAAGCCTACAACGCCAACATCTACCCACTCTTCCAATCCCTTGATCGGGTAGAAGCCCATCTCTCCTCATCCGATCATCAACCCTTCCTCTTCGGCTCCCACATCACAGAAGCCGACGTCCGCCTCTTCACCACCCTCATCCGATTCGACGCAGCGTACCACACCATTTTCAACACCAACCTCAAAAGCATCCGACATGATTATCCCAACATTCACCTCTGGCTTCGCAGACTCTATTGGGATGATACCGACTTGACCAAAGGAGTCTTTCGGCGATTTACCAATTTTGATGCGTATAAATATGGGTACGCGAGGATGACTTATCGCATGATTAGTGGGGGAAGCGATGAGGGTTTGGAGAGTGCGGTGATTCCAGCGGGTCCGGCTTTCAATATTGAGCCGTTGCAGGAGCATGAAAAGCTGTAAGGTAGTGAAATGCAGTCGCAATATGAATTTGATACCCCTCCCTCCCTCCCTCTCATTCCCAAATATCATGGTGATTTCTTTCTCTCTTGGCGATAGAAACCGAAGATGTTTCGCGCTTCTCACACTAAGAGAGATTTCTTCCGCGCGCAATTGCTGAAAACGCTCGTGCAGTCTTCTCCTCAAAGAAAAAGAAAAGTCCAAATCTCCTTCCCCTTATCGAACACCTCACACCATTCTCAACCACAAAACAACACACTCTAGGTAGACAAGGTAGCATCCACCACCACCACACCCATCCCATCCCATCCCATCCAATTCAACCTCCCCCTCCACCCCCTTCACCCCCCTCCCTCCTCAAAATCTCCACCACACCGGCCAAATCCTCCCCCGACCTAACAAGCGCATCCCCCTCAACCATACTCTGCCAAACCCTCAAACACTCCGCCTCAACCCTCTCCCAACCATTGCCCAACAAACCCAGCAACCCCGCGACCTGCGCGACCCACAACAAACTCACCGCCCTCCTCGCTCGAGCGCTCAATCTCAGCAATTTGACTCCTTCGATTTGGAAACTGAAATTATACAGAAGAGAATCTGCTTGTCCGGGGATTTCCGGGCAGAGCATGTCTAGGAGGAGTTTGAGAGGTGGGCCGTGCGTGTCCTGGGGGAGGAGCAGGCGCGCGTGGATTGCGGAGGTTAGGAGGTGGCGGGCGCGGGGGAGGAGGAGGAGGGAGGAAAGGGGGGAAAGGGGGAGGGGAGGAGGATGAGGAGGGGGCAAGGGGGGGAGGATGGGATAGTGGGAGGGGAAGGTTGGTGGTTGTGGTGCTTTTGTTGCTTCTTTTTCTTCTTCTTTTTCTTCTTCTTCTTCTTCTTTTTTGAAGGATGGGGGTTGTGGTGATGGAGCATTATTGATGGTGTTGCTACTGCTGCTACTGCTGCTGAAGAATGATTTGTTGGATGAGTTGGCCATGGTGCAGCTGCTATTGGTCTGAGAAGGAGGAGGAACAGCAAGCGATCGGGTTTCGGGAGAAGATGTGCTCATATTGCCTTCTTCGACTTGCTGTTCAGGTGCAGTAGTAGAACTTTCCGCGAAACTTGGACTCATTATGTCCAAAGTTCGAGCTTGTCCTTGCTCCAATAACTTTGCGTGAAGGGTAGTGACACAAATACTAGCGATTCCAACAAAATTCGTACACGGTAGATATCAGTATTGCGATCCTCAGCCCTTCGTGTAAGGAGAGTACGATTCGATGCGCGCAGATCAAGTCTAGGTAGTCTCCCTGAAGCGACCGACCTATACAATTGAAACGCTGTATTCAAATAAAAGCAGCAGGCCAACACTTACTTGCACTTTGCCCCCCTCTCAGAAAAAACTTCCCGTGAAGACAGCTTTTTCAAAGGAAAAAAAATGTTGAAAGGCTATTCCGTGAAGAAGTTATATAGGTATGATTACTCTGTGATTGTTTGAGAAGAAAAACGAAAACGCCCCCCCCCCCCCCCCCTTTCTTTCTTTTCAAAGAGAGAGCAACCAAAGACCTCCTCGAGTGCTAGATGATGATGAGGTGTTTAGCTACATGTACCTGCTATCGCAAACAATAACAACTTGCCTGTCTCGAACGCTTGTCTTGTGCTGCTTTCAAGAATGGTGAGATACATGTACCTCTTTATTTGTTCCATTCATGGCAGCGACATCGAAGCCTCTAGTTCACTCCAGGTGAAACACGGAGCAGTTCCAGCGAGGGAAGAAAAAAAAGGAGAACTCGATCCTGTGCACAAACACATTGTACTGGTATATGTATATGTGCTTTGTCATACATAACAAGTGACAATACGTTTGACATACAGAAAAAACACTCGCTTGCTACATCAAATCATCTCTGGGTATCACTTCGTTATTGCGCAACCGGGCAAGCATGGCATCTATCAAAGAAAACCCGTAGATTAGTAAATGATGATGATGATATTACACTCATACACTCACGTATGGCAGTTGGCGGAGGAGGGAGGGGGGGAAGGGGTCGGGTTTTTGTTAACGTCAAATAAACCAGTGGGACAAAACTCACCATTTTGTTCCTGTATGTCTTCACAATGTCTGTCGACTTCAGGACCGCCTGCAAGCTTTCTCCTCCCCTTGACAGGCTTTGCGGGATTGCCAGCCACGACGGTGTAGGGCTTCACATCCTAGAAATAACAAAGAAAGAAAGCCAGGTTAGAAAGAGAGAGATAGGGAGAGACGGTCGGGAAGCTTACTCTAGTCACTACCGATCCGGCACCCACGACAGCACCCTTTCCAATGGTTCGGAACGGCAGAATGATGCAGTCTGCATGAATGACCACATCGTCTTCGACTCGGATCGGTCCCGCCTCGAATCGTGGTCCCCGTTTCAACGGGTCTCGGTCCGATTTCTGTTGCCTAATATTGATGTCCATGCTCGTAGTAATACAGTAGAACTTGACATTGGGTCCAATGATGGTTCGATCACCGATATAAATAATGCTGGCATCCTGCAGCGTGCAGTTCTGTTGTATGTGGACATCGTTTCCCAGATGAATGTTATATCCGAATTCACACGTGACGGGTGCCTCCACCACGGTATGCGAACCCACGGTGCCTTTGGGCCCGTTCCACAAGCCGTTCCCCCATGCTCGCGCTGCCGGGTCGTAGACGTCCTGAAAGTTCCTCGACTGCACATTGCCTGGAGCGATCGATGAACCTTTGCGGGAATCGTTGTACGTCTCGACAGCTCGCAGACAAGACAATCGTTCCTCTTTCAGATCGGGATCGTGAAAATGTAAGTACGGCTCGCCACGAAGCATCTTCGCCCGTTCCGAATCAGGCACTTCCGGATTCGAATGAGACATAGGGTATGACCGGTGCGATCCACTGCCGCCCGAGAAGACACTTTCATGTGAACTCAAGATAGTGCGAGCCACGGGAGCAAGAGGTGGATAGATGGGAGGCGGTGGTGCGTGCCACGGTTCACTGGGTGGCAAGTAAGGATATTGTATTGGCGGCGGTGGGGGCGGATATCGATGGGCATGTGGCGGTGGCCTGGGCACGTCGGGGGATGTACGAGGTGCCGTGGAAGGCCCCTCGCGCAAGTCATGCCAGGGAGCGTAGCCTTCGCGGGCAGACGTCGGACGGAGTCCACCGGCGGGAGTAGGACCGGTGTAGCGAGGTGTATGTATATCATGGACTCTCGGCAGTGACAGTGCATAGCGTTCGCCGCCTGGCGGTAGCGGACGCGGCGGAGGATCATGATAGGGGGCAGGCTCAAAGCCATAGTGCTGGTCATGGATAGGCGCATAGCCTTCATTGGTCTTGGACTGGAGAGGGACCACGCTCCTGGTAGGTCCAGTCTTGCTCCCACCTACGGGCTTCGGTCCGTAGCCTTCGCATTCGAACGAGCCTCGTGCACAGTTCTGGCAGTACGGCTTCCCTTCGTCGCACTTCTTCTTCCGCTTGCGACACGTATGACAGCCGGTCTTGGTGCGATTGCTGAAGTTCCGCTTCCGCTTGCTCCTGTCATCCACACTCTGGCCCTGCTCCGAACCGTGAGGGTGCGATCTTTGCCGAGCCTGGGCCTCTTCTGGCGACCCGCTACTACCGGGACGGGTTTGCGCGTGACCAGAGAACTGCTGCACTTGCGCCACTTGCGCAGCGAGAGCAGCTTCCGTTTCCGGTCTCGGTGCTGGAGGCGCTGGCCCGGGAGGACCTCGTGCAGGCGAGTCGACTCTCACATAAGGGCCCGTCGTGCTCTCTTCGAGCTCGCCATGGCCATCACGGAAGCCACGAGACTCACGGACGTCATCGCGGTGGTCGTCGTCATGGGCACGTCGTTCCAACGAGTCGGCACCGGCATTCGGCTGCTGTCGGCGACTGTCTTCACGAAGTTCCTCCGCAGACGACGATGGGGCACGCTTGCGCTTATTCGATGCAGCCTTGTGAGTGTCGGTTGATGAAGAAGCAGCAGCAGCAGTAGCAGCAGCAGCAGCAGCCTCGTGTGGAGCCGTGCCTTGTTGCTCTGTTGGTCGCCAACTGTGTGCTTGATACGGACCAGTAAGAGAGGTCGTGGCACGCTCGCTGGTGACGTTGTCGTTGTTGTTATGGTTGTGGTTATGGTTATTGTTGTTGTGGTTGTGGCTGTGGTTGTTATTGTTGTGGTTGGTGATTTGCTCTACAGGTGGTGGTAGTATAATGGGCCTAGCCGCAGCAGCTTCCGGTCGATGCGAGCCCGATCGATGTGCATCGCCATTGACTGCAGTGAAGCTGGTCGGAGGCGCATCGCGGGTAGGCAGTCCATTCGACCGATGGTCTGATGACGGCGTCCTGTTCAGGATGCCCACGTCGTCTCGCATTGGAGAGTCTTGCCGCCAGTCCACTTCCAGTTGGTCGGGCCGCGGTAACCGGATACAAGTCATGTAGCATGGAGCAATCAGTCGCAAAGGTGCTTGTGCGAGGTATCAGTCACCGAGTTCGTCACCGCAAGTTCAATTGCGCCTATTAAAAAACACAATCCGCCTCCAGACGCGCTGCTTGTTGGTTCCACGGTGATGCGCGAGTGGCGCTTAATGTCGGCTAATATATGCAACTGGTCGGAGTGGTGATGGCGCTCGCTGGTCATCGCGCGCTCGAGAACAGGAATGGGAGAGAACGGCGAGGCCGGCGGCGACGTTTCTCCAGAGGGCTGCCTCGCGCGCGCACTGGGGGGGCTGCCCGGGGGAGGGGGAGGGGGAGGGGGGAGGGGGGTGAAGGTGGAGGAGGCAGGACTCGAGATGCCGGCGGTGGTGATGAGGCGGTGGTCAATGCCGCGAAGACTCCGGTTCAAACGCGATAGCACGCCCACTCCTCTCTCTCTCGGTCTCTCTGTGTCTCTCGGTCTCTCGGTCTCTCTGCTCTCTCTCTCTCTCTGCTCTCTCTCTCTCGCTGTGGCCTCGAATTCCAAGAGGAGGCGGGCCGGTGTGTCCAAGCCTTTCGGCGCGGTCGGTCTGCAGCCAATCCGTTCACACGCGCAGGGTGCGACGCAAGGAGCGACTCCCGGGCATGTTGTGGTGGACAGGAACAGCGGAACAGCAGAGGAGAGATGACGAGAAAGTGGGCGGGCAGCACATATTGCACCTACCGCTGCCGCTTGTGCGTAGTTCTACGGCGTACGGCGGCTAGGTCAAGAAAGCCGAGCACGCTCCCAGCGTCTAAACTAACTTCGCAGGTAGGGCCGTGGCGCGAGGCGATGCCACCCGCCCCAGGCCCTGCTTGGCCCGCAGCCGGCGTATAGAGCGACGGGAGCCTGAGTGCGACCTTACTGGATCAGGAGCTCTGGCGCCTGCGGTATAGCGCGCGTTCCGCGGCCGTGGCCGTTCGTGACGAGTCTATGCAACTATGTGTGAGTCTGACGACCTCCTGCATGTGTGGCCATGCCCGCCATGCACACATCACGCCCACGCCCACGCCCATCCCAAAACCGGCCGTCATGGAGGCAGCCAATGGGCGCGGCGCCGTCTGCCGGCTCTGTTGCTGCCGCTGCTGCTGCTGCTGCTGCAGGATCGGTGACCCAGAACAGATCGGACTTCGTGCAAACCAGCGCAACAGGCCAACAGCCAGCGACGGGAAGAATCTAGTGGGATGGATGACTGCACTAGCAGGCGTGATCTCATAACAATGTCGACCGTGACAAGGGTACCGGACAGGGCGCCATGTGCTGCTCACACGCAGAGTCACAATTCGAAGTCCAGAGCTGATGCGACAGGCATCCTCGCAGCCCAGGCCAGCACTGGCACCGGTGGGAGGATGAATGGGAATGCTCACGTTGCCGCCAGAGCAATTTGCATTACACTCCTCGGCGTCAAGCCAGCGAATGACAGTGCCCGAGCTCGCGCGTCGAGCATTCCCGCCTCCGCTAGGTATGGTGAGAAAATTGCACAGTACCTCCCCCGAATTACCCCGTTGCTGCTGAATCCTGGATTCATTTCCAACATCTCGATTGCAATCATCGATGGAGTCATCATCACCCGACCTCAGTCGATCATCCACTATGGTATGGCCCGTATGCGCTGCCACAGTGGAATGCGTAAGGAGGTAGGTATGCCGAAGTCCGAAGAGAGCTAAATGATTAGCAATCCTGGATCGACCAGTCACACTGTTGCGACCGAGTGTGCCAGAACGAACCGTCCGTCTCGCTTCCATGCTGCCGGTAGACGCAACGCCCGGTCAGGCCGAGCAAACCGAGCAGTGAAACCAGATCAGCCGTCAGCCTGCACAAAATGCCGAAATGCGAAACCAAGCGGCAGGAGTCGTAGTGCATTAAAATAAGTTCATTGACCAGCCAGTGAAGCATTGCAAGTTCAACAGAGTTGCTGCATGGCACACAGGAGGGACGAAGCCTGCGCAGTGAGCACTCACTCCCTGGTCGACGATGAGCCTCCCCACGGATGCGAGTCCGCGACTCGGCGAGATGTACTCACATGTGCTTTGCAACCCTGCGAAAGCGAAGCAAACTTCCCACAACGACTTCGAGGTTCAGCTACCCGGACGTGGGATGCGCTGCTTGGGCAGCGTCGTGTTGGTAAATTGCTTTTCACTGCAACTAGTATTGATAGTTATACAAGGTAGGTAGGTACATGTAGTGGAGGTAGCGAACTGGCGGTATTGTGATGATCACGAGCGGGAAAATGGGTGGACGTCTACAGTACAGTACCAGAGCACGGTGGCGGCACGAGAACGCGGGCCAACCGGTCCGAAGTGCACACAAGTGAGACAGCTTGGAGCGCTGCGACAGTGATCATGTTGGAGGCTTGGAGCTGACATGTTATAAGCGAGCAAGCGCGTATTCCTCTCACATAGGTACATCGTTTAGCAGCTTGCGATTTGTGTTGGTATCACGCGACACGGGTTGGGGTCGCAAGAAGCTCCGGAGCGCAGTGGTTGGTGCCCAGAGCCAGTCACATCGACTGTGATGATGAGATGACAGATTGAGACAGATTAACAGAGAGATGTGATGTTGGAGACATGGAAGCGCAGGCTGCAAGCGAGAAGGAGCCAGCAGCCAGCAACTTTGGAAGACGTGACGAGATCAAAAGGGAAAATGCTTCGAATAAAAAATTGTCCGACCCAGCCGACGCGGACGGGAACTCAAAGCACGTCCCACCCACACACACCTCGAGGTCCACCTACCTGACGGCGGGGGACGGGAGGTACCTTCTCCCATCCACGAGTAGATGCCAAAGAAGTCGTGGCACTGCGGGAAACTCGCTTAGCCCTCCGCAATGAATGCAGCATCGTGAACGCGGATCACAACCACCACCACCACCACTACCACCACTACCGCTGATGGTCCACGGCGAACAGCCACACACGACCACCCACTATGCCGCTCAAACCACCATCAACAGCCCTTCTTGCGCTGCCCCCGCGATTCCTCTGTCCCTCGCTACCACGCCAATTCATCCGAACCATACGCTCAATAGCACCTCCCAAAAAGCTCCACAAATTTAATCATGGGAAAAGCCTGCCCACCCTCCAGGCCACCGCCAAAGCCGCCTTCGAGCGCAGAGAACACAACTTTCCGCTGCGGACAGGGGCGATAGCAATCAAGAAAGGCATGACAGGAATCTACGATCCAACAACTGCGAAACGGGAACCTTGCACAGTGCTCCAGCTGGACCGATGTCAGGTCGTCAGTCACAAACGACGAGAAATACATGGCTATTGGGCAGTACAAGTCGGCTTCGGTACCAAAGAAGCGCGAAACGTGACGCGGCCGGAGAGGGGGCATTTTGCCGCGCAAGGTGTTCCTATCAAGAAGGAATTGGCAGAATTTCGCGTCAAAAATGAACAAGGGCTTCCGGCGGTCGGGTCTGTGATCTCAGCCGATCTGTTTCAAGAAGGGCAGTTTGTCGACGCTCGAGGCGTGACGCGCGGTATGGGTTTTGCGGGTGGTATGAAAAGATGGGGTTTCAGCGGTCAGCCTGCTTCGCACGGTACCAGTTTGACACATCGTGCGATGGGTTCTGCAGGTGCGTCTCAGGGATCCGGTTCGAGAGTCTTACCTGGTAAGAAGATGGCCGGAAGAATGGGGGCGGAGAATTGTACGGTGCAGAATTTGAGGGTCATGAAGGTGGACCGAGAAAACGGGATTGTGGTGGTGCAGGGTGCGGTTCCTGGGCCACGGAATTCCATTGTCACGATACAGGATGCGATCAAGAAGCCTTGGCCAGAGGTTGAGCCAGATGTGGGCATCACTGCGTGGGTCCGATCTGGAGAGAGCCCAACGCCCGTGGAGGCATAATCTTGCGTGGGGTGGAGGAGATGCTCATGACACCACCAGTCCACGAACCTTGTGAGAACAAGGGCAGTCGACCAGCCAAAAAAGATGTTCAGCAACGCAAAAATACAGTCCGCATGCAGGTTTCGCGGAATATCGGATGTCGACAGGGGTTCGACTCAGGCGACAGCCGCGATGAAGCAGAACGCGCTTATGGCTGCGCTTGTATATATATGGCGAAGCAAGGCGGAGTCTACGCCGATGAGAGATGGGTTCCTTTTGAGGTACGTACCACCACCAGCCCTCGGGACAGTATTCAGGTCGAGGGCAAGGAAATGGAATCTAGAGTAAAGTACTCCGCACGGACGGAGTCGAAACGGGTGTAGGGTCGATGTGGCAATGTACAACCAATCGAGTCGAATGGCGTACAGTAAGGAAGGTACTATATCGCCGCGCAGCATAAATATATGAATGTGTCCACTTCGCCTTCGCACTCTACTCTGTTTGATGCTGCAGTGGAATCTGTACGAGATTTCAAGTCTTGAGCCTAGGCAAGCTGTGCCGATACAAAGTTGCCTTTTCATTCCTGTGTCGAGATGCATGTCTGCATGCAAGAAGCATCATTCGCTGTCACTGTCTTATTATGAGCCAGCACTGGGAGTGGGTCTTTTCTGAACCCCGATCTAGCTCATATGTCCATCGTATCATCATCGTCCTGGTAGTAACTACTACTACCACCTAGAGCATCCTGATCATCATCTCCTTCTGCCTCTCTCTGTGAATCTTCCCGAGAGGCGTTGAGTCTCCTATATCACACTCCACGTCAGTAAATCGTCTTGTCTTTCTCCCACTCCCTCTCTCTCTCCAACCACGATATCATTTCCCCCAAAATAAAGACACAACAAGAAAAAAACAGAATCTCACCTCAACCCATCCACAACCCCACCCACAAACCCTCTAATCTCCGCAACCTCCATAGCACCCACACCATTAACTTTCAAACCCGCACCAGCCTCCAGCGCTTTAAACCCTTTGCGCAATTTACTCATTCTCACCTCTCGCAAATCCCGCAACAGTCTCCGCGTGACATCCGGTTCCGCAAAATCTTCACTCGCGTGCGTCAACAGCAAAAATCCCAGCTCGTTCCAATGATAGGGTAGAGCGTCTGGTTGCGCTCGTTTGGTATTGCTGTCGGGGAGAAAAGGAGGACTTCTTGTTTGCCAGGTGGAGGAGGGGGGGTCGAGGTAGAGAAGATTGGGGGGTTCGTTGCTCGAGTTGGAGGTTTGGGCGGTGGGTGGTGCTGGTGGGAGGTCGGGGCCGGGAGCGAGGGCGCCGGCGAGAATGGGGTCGGTTTCGAGATCGAGGAGGGATTGGAGAGAGGTGGGGGAGAGCCAGGGTGGAGGGGAGATGTTTGCGCGTTTTTGGCGTTTGAGGAGGAGGGCGAGCCAGAGGGGGAGTTGGGTTGGAAATGGGGGGTTGAGGCGGTCTGTCGGGCCCTGGAGAGAGAAGGGAGAGAGTTAAAGAGGGATATACGCATTCGTTATTGAGCGTCTTTTATGTCGTGGCTAGGGAGATTTTCACTCACGCCTAGCAGCTCGAGCCCTTCGAGTCTTTGGCGGGGAATTACTGTGACCAGTTCCATTTCGCAGAGGAAGCCTACTTCGTTGGGCGTGAGGCCTGGTGGGAGTGGGAGGGCCATTGTGTGTCTTGGTGCATATCTGTATCTCCTGAGCAGAGGAGTAGCACAAGGAGATGGAGGTAGTGTTGGCGGTGGTGGTTTTGTCGAGGTCGAGTCGTCCCGGCGGGAAACTTTCCCCTCGGGTGGGACGCGTTCAAAGCGCGCGACGTGTACACCAATTAAAGCTCGCTAGCTAAGAAACTCAATCACGTCGTCTTTCACTTCCATCGCTACATGTACCTTAACAGTGTCCTATACCAGACACTGCAACATCAAATGGCGACTGCAGTGACTCTGCTTCTCGCGCCGCTGGCCATATGGTTTCAAGCTGTCAATAATGCAGTCAAGGAGCCATATCTGGTATGTACTTTCAACCTGACGATGGGCTACAAACCAGGTAAGTCAATTTTCTCACATACTGTGTGCAGGACGAAGTCTTCCATATTCCCCAAGCACAGCACTACTGCGCAGGGAGATGGGATATCTGGGATCCCAAGCTCACGACTCCGCCGGGCTTATACTTGATCTCATACATTGCAAAGCCCCTTTTGGGCTGCGGCGTCACGTCGCTGAGGGCCATTAATGCGATATGTTTGGTGGCCCTACTCCTGATGCTCACAGCCACGTACAAGGTCAGGAGAAGCGCGAATCATCCGAAGATGGGATCTCGTGTGAGGCTGCTGGCTTATCACAGTTCTCTCAATATTGCCCTTTTCCCGCCACTATTCTTCTTCTCGGCACTCTACTACACAGACATCGCCTCGACATTATCATGGGTGATCTTCTACTGGTACTTTCTGCGAACCTTGTCCCGCGATGGCTTTTCTCTTGTGGAATCGACAGTGCAGGTCGTATTGGGGGTTGTCAGTCTGTCTTTTCGACAGACGAATATCTTCTGGGTCGGTGTTGCTCCGGCTGCACTCACATTAGTGATGGAGTTGGATCAAGGACTGAGCGTGGTCAAGCAATCGATGTATAGGCGCGCTGAAGGCTTTGGCGACTCAACATGGAGTGTGGCCAAGACCAGCTGGAAGATGAGCGTGCTCTATGATCCTCCCGTTGGCGATGCGTACATTGAAGGTTAGTTAATCGTGAACAGCAAAAATGGCGGAGAAAAGTGTGGCTGACGTGCTTCACAGACTACATCCGGACAGTGGTATCGATCTTTGCCTGCGGTCTCAAAGCTGCCACACAACCCAAGCGCATTCTCCGTATCGTCCTCGTTCTATCGCCATACCTCACTTTAATCACCATATTCCTCAGCTTCATCATCTGGAACGGTGGTGTAGTCCTCGGCGACAAGTCTAACCACGTCGCAACCGTCAACCTTCCACAAATGCTCTACATCTGGCCCTTCATCACCTTCTTCTCCTGGCCACTCCTCCTCCCGCGCTTCCTCATGGCCGCCTTGGCGCTCCTCTCCCGCATCGGACAACTCGCGCACCTGGAACCCCTCCTCCTCTTCAAAAGACGCAATTTCCTCCCTCGACCCCATCTCATCCTGCTCTTCACCCTCCTCGCCCTCGCCATCATCCACTTCAACACCATCATCCACCCATTCATGCTTGCCGACAACCGCCACTACGTCTTTTACATTTTCAAACGCCTACTCCGCCCGTCTTGGATCCGATACTTGGCCGCGCCAATCTACATTTTCACTGCTTGGGCCTGCATTGGATCTTGCGGAGAAAATCCTCCACAATTCAATATGAAAATCACCAAAGAAGAAGAAGAAGAAGAAACCAAAAGACAGGATTCATCATCTCGCTCTGCTGCATCTACCACCACCACCACCACCACCAATGATGATAATAAAAACAACAACAACAAAATCCCCAACGGTCTCCAAACCCCCGCAAAAATCTCTTTCACACTCATCCTGCTCTGCACCACCGCTCTCACACTATGCAGTGCACCCTTAGTCGAGCCCAGATATTGCATTATCCCCTTTGTAATGTGGAGGATGCATTTACCCCTATATCATAATCATCACGATGATGATGAACAACGAACGACGACGAGAAGTGAGACAAGACAAATCGGGACGATGTCTCCTTCCTTCTTCAAAACACACACATACAATTATGATTATCGTCTCATATTAGAAACCATCTGGTTTCTGCTGATTAACACTGTAACGGGATATATTTTCCTCAATTGGACCTTTGAGTGGTCGAGTGAGAAGGGAAAGGCGCAGAGATTTATGTGGTGAGCTTCAGTTAGTGCAGAGGGAGCGTGGTGTTGTTGTTTGTTTAGGTATGTACGGGGATGATAAAAAAAGAGTCTGGACATGTGACTGTGTACCTAGGTAGGTATCTGTATAGACAAAATGAAAAACAAAAACGTACCTCCTGACTTTTCGCTCCCAACAGAATCGAATTAAATGAAATTTTCATTCGTGAGAATCATTTCTTTTTTCTCTCTCTTTTGTTATTAGAGCATGACTACCTACTCTGTACTGCACGCGTCTTCTGTCGATATCTCTTCTTCTGTGCAAACTAAAAAAAAACAACTGGTTCATGCCTCTTTCGTATTACTATTGCTAGCTAAGGTGGCTAACCAGTGCTTCGAGTGCGCGAAAAAAGTTATTCGCCTCTACCGAAAACACACGCTCCTGGTATCTATCTCGAGACTCGATGGTATTCCTTCTCACGCCTGCCCCTTGAACACAGTTCCTGTGAAGGAAGGTTTCATCTGAGTGTTGTTGTGCTGTTACCCGTATTTCCTTTTACAGTTTTCCCTGGCGCAGTGTTGTCTCCTCCGTACAGAGTTCCGCTCCAGCACATATTGCATGTCGCTCAAGCTTTTGTGCAGGACAAGCCCATCAAACTGATGATTTGTTGGATCAGACTTCGTAGGAGACCATGTCCAGCTTATGTTTGTATGCCAATTCCGTCCACTTTTTAATGCAGGCGTGCACTTCCTCCTCAGAATCATGCTCGTAGTACGAGGTGAAGTCGGTTCGGAACGTGGCTCGCAATGGCATAGTCGCGTGATCTCGTCCGCAATGGCGTCTAGCCTGACATGCAGGACAACGCAGCTTGGCCGCCAACCGGGAAGAGAGGCAATAGAGTATCGCAAGGGCCTCTGCTGGCAAATGAAGCCCAAGGGCCTCTGCTGGCGACTGGATTGCAGAAAACGTCGGTTCGATTTCATGGACGCCAATGTCTAACATAAGTCGGTAGAGGTCCGAATTGGATGGCAGGCGCTTGTATGCTAGTTCCTGATCCTTCACGTCTGGCCAGAGGTAGCTTCGGGGCTGAAATTGCAAGGCTTTCAGCAGAGCGACGTCCATGATGGCGTTGCGAAAAGCTTTGGTGTCGTATCTGTCGCCGAACACGTAGAGTTGGATGATGACCTCCCAGGGCCAAGTCACTGGGTTGGAAGGATCATCCTCATCATCACTGTGGACAAGATTGACTTCGTACCGGCACTGCTTGGGCTCATGGGGTAGTGGCTGCCAGAAAATTCGCTGCGTGTACAGCCAGCCGATGAAGCACTGAATTCTATTAGCAACATTCTTGCTGCAGTGTTGGCTCATCGGGTGCTGTTCGTCGTGGCCAATATCACAGATACGCGCACTTAAGCATACCTCGAGCACCCATTCCGCTACATCACTGCTCAACTCGATGAGGTGTTCTCTTCCTTCTTTGAAAGTCTCTCTCCTGAATGCGGATTCGAAGTATGCAGATTTGGCGCAGAGCAGACCTCGCGGGACTCGAAAGATCGAGTCATTGTCCTCGATACGAATAATGAGCATCTGCGGGTTGTAAAGATCGCTGCAAATTAAAGGTTAGTCCAGTTTGCGCCGACCTGGCTCTTCTTTTATAGCCGACTGACCTCATGTGGATGTCTGCCATGATTTCGATGGGGGTTGTGGGTAGTAGACAGTGCTGGTGTCGTTGTTGTGGACGGTGATGTGCGATGGATTTGAGAGCGAGAGAAATCAGTGCGAGGATTTAGGCAGTCGCCAAGGCATGCAGGCGGAAAAGGGGCCTCACAACTTCACTTCACAGCTCTATCCACACCTCACTACCACTGAAATGGCGGAAGCAGGAATCCCTGCGGTAGATCGAATGCGGCTGACAGCTGGCGTACTTTCGATGCTGCGGGCTGTACGTTCGTGGGCTTTGCGACAGTCTTGCACGAGAGTGATCAATGTCCAACCTCTTCAATACACGTAAAGCTTTCCTCGTTTATGGTCATATCGTCGCCGTGAGATATACAGGCTGCCTGTGTCGTTGCCAACTCCATTGCTCAGTCCCGTTATGCATACATACCCTCGATCGTCCCCAGTGAGTCCTCTAAGTAAGCTTCTGCTTGATGAAGAAGGCGCGCAAATAGCTCAACTGCCACGCGCAGGTTACACCCAACACCGCAATCTGTACCAATGTCCACCTCACCACCCTCGAGTTGACATTCTCACTCTGATCTCTAAACTCAGCTTCCCTCTCACGCTGGAAAATCTGTTCTCGTCGAACATCTTGCAATCTAGCATTCAGATCCTTGACCTTTTGCGCTACCTCTCCCAACTTCTCCTTGTCGCTGCGTTCGATTTGTGAAGTCTCGCCGATGGCCATGTCCAGCTCAAATTTGACAGCTCCGACATGTTCTCCGTGCCGATCGGGAGCGTTAACCTTGTCAAGGTTGGTGGGTGTAAAGCAGAGACGGTGTTGGCCCGAGTCGGCGGCTGTGAAGGTGAATTTGCCGTCGGAGCGGCCACGCTGGGAAACGATGCGATGCTCGTTGTCGAAGACTTCGTCGACGCTGATGAAGACGCCCTAAGGATGGTGTGAGAGGTGCACAAAAAGAGGGTGGAACGGGGAGACTAGTAATACCATGTCTGGGACGGTCTCGTACTGCATCGAGTTGGGGCGATATTGAGTCGCCTTGTAGTGGCCTATTCAGGCGTCTCAGCATACATATAGGCAACTCTCCCGATCAATGCTGCCGTCTCTAGTCTGCCATACTCACCAACGACCAATGTGTCCTTTGGAAGTTCCTCGAAGAAGCATTTTTGCGTTGGGCCCTCGATGAAGAAGTAGAGGGCTTCGGCACAGCTCATGAAGAGCGCAAGACTGCTGAAGATGGACCTCATGGCGGCAATGTGCAAGAAGGAGAGTGGGTGAGGTGGTTGTGATGTCGCGAAAGTCTCAATGTGACGCTGTCGGGACGGGATGTCATTCACGATTTGAGAGTTCCAACTGGCGTTCTGGACACGCGAGCCATATCGCGCAGGGGTGAAGTCGGGGTCCAGCGTTTGCCCAGACACTAGAGCCGGAACGTGATGGCGGCGGCGGCCCGGTCCTGCCTCCATCCTGCGGTTGGCGGCGTCCCCATCCTCCCACCGCCATCCTCCAACAAAATGCATCTTCACACGACAAACACTGCTATATCAAACACCTCTCGACCGATCGGGAACCATGGATCCCTTCGGCCCTACGGCGTCGATTTCAAGCACTCCGCCGCGCAATCACGGCATTATAGTCATGTCGGTCAGGTATAAGTAAGGTGCATATGTCTTCTCCTCTTCGCATCCCTCATCCCATTTTACTTCACTTCCCAGACAGATATGGCCGACTCGGATTTTGCCACCAACGACTCTGCCGGTCAGAAGCCGATATACAACCTCTTTAGGTCCAATTTCACGCGTCAACACGAATACGGAGAGCTCATCGCCCACGATGCGATTGGCAAGCTCTTTCCAGACAAGCACATTACTCCTGTTCCTGACCACGACGCCAAACTTTTCGAATACGCAGAGGCAGGCCACGCAAAGGCGAAACTTCTCCGCGATGAAGACGACTACCTTGCCTTACGCAGCTACTCTTCTCCTGTTACTCGTATGGAGGCCGGAGACGGTAAGCTCGATGAGGTGATCCTATTTGGTCTGTACGAGTATGAGCACCGAGGCAACTCCTTCAGAATATTCTGTGCCCAATGGTACACACAGTATTCTTATGGAACCATGGAAAAGATGAACTTCATTCTCACGCCGAAGAGCGACGTGGACGCCCAGTCTCACTCTGATATTGCCGACCAACTGATCATATCGGCTGGAAAGTGGACCGCTCAGCTTCACGATGAAGTTTATGTCTTTGACCAAAGTCAATGGTCAAAGGACAAGGCACTGTGGGCTGCAGTCCAGACCTCATCGTGGGACGATGTGATACTTGACCCAGACATGAAAGCCAACATCATCAGGGATGTCACGGCGTTCTTCGACAGTCGTGCCGTTTACGAAGAGTACAATGTGCCCTGGAAGCGTGGTCTCATCCTACACGGCACACCTGGATGTGGTAAAACCATTACCATCAAAGCTTTGATGAAATCTCTTCAAAGTAGAAACGTCGTGTCTCTTTACGTCAAGACCCTGAAAGGCTGTTCAGGAGAGCAGTCTTCGATCCGTCAGATTTTTGCCAAAGCTCGGATCATGGCACCGTGCATGCTCATCTTCGAAGATCTGGATTCTATGATCAACGACAAGGTCCGAAGTTACTTTTTGAACGAGGTCGATGGTGTTCAACAGAATGACGGAATACTCATGATCGGAAGCTCCAACCATCTGGATAGGCTTGATCCTGCCATCAGCAAGCGTCCAAGTCGCTTTGATCGCAAATATCATTATCCATTGCCCAGCGAGGCGTCACGGATTGCATATTGCAACTATTGGCGCCAGAAATTGGAGAAGAACGGCCACAACGAATTTCATGACGATATCGCCAGCGTTCTTGCCCAACTCACTGAAGGATTTAGCTTCGCTTATCTCAAGGAGCTTTTCGTACAGACTCTGCTCGCCATCGTTGGTGGTCTCGCGGACAGAGATGATGATAATGAAGATGAAGACTGTGACCATTTCTCCGGAGCTGCGAAGGACTCTGAGCCATTAGAGGCTCATAGAACTGCTGCAGTTGAGGATCCTCCATACGAGACAAAAGAAAATGCTCGTTCCAGAGAGATTACATCTGCCAGACAGATGCCCGAGGTGATTATACCAAAACACCTTCAGAAGAATACTTTGATGCGAGTATTGCATAAGCAAGCTAAGGTCTTGTGGCGAGAAATGGACAACACTACCGACTAGATCCGTGAGAAACCAAAGGCTGGGATAAGCGCCAAAACTGCAAGAGGCGAGCAGTGAAAGCGCAGACATGTAATTCGCTTCACATCTCATCAGCAGTCCCGACAAACAGGCATTGCATGCGGCTCATGGACCCTTCACAACAAGACATTCACACTGTTGTTCGTATGGACTCTCCCATGGGCCGCAAGGTGGCGACCAGGTGGCATGCTCATCACCCAATACAATACAATACAGGGAACCACGGCATTCTCGGCATTATCATCACAGTCATCAGAGCTTCCGCGGGATGTATAATGTCTTGGCGCAAGGAAGCAGAATATCATCTATATGGTCATTATGTGTAGACAGAGTAATAATCACAATTCCAGCTTCTTCTTCCCATACTCGTCAGTCTCACTCTCCACAGGTCGAACTTCCACCCCAACCAAGACCTTGGCGCCATGCATCTCGACATCTTCCGCCGTCTTGACCCCAGCCTCCAACGCAGTCAACTCGGCGCCAACCCCCTCGGTCCTAAACTTCCTAAACTTCCACACACTCACCCTCTTCTCAAACAACTCATCCAACTCCTCCAAACTCCTACGACTCATTTCCGGCAAAAAGAACGCCACCCACACAGCCGCAACAATCGCAAAACTCCCCCACACAAATCCAATTTTCCCCCCTAATCCCGCATACCCTGCATCCTGCAAATACGGACTAACATATTGAATCAACAAATTCACCACAAACCCCCCAAACGTCGCAATCGTCATCGTCCGTTCCCTCAACGCAGTCGTCGGAGCTTCCGCGCACGTAATCCACACACAACCCGCCCAACCCACCGCATCAATGAAGTACCAAAAAAATATCGCCGCCAACGTCCCTTTTTTCACACCCTCCGTCTGCGGTGCAAACCCGGTTAAACCGCCCACGCAAAACAAACTCGCGGCTATACAGACCGAAGAGACAAACATGAGGGGTCTCCGACCGATTTTATCCGCGATGATGAAAGCGGACGCGTCGGCGAATAACATGACAATGTATAAATAAATTAACATTTGGTATTCGTTTCCGATGCCGATGGTTTGGAAGAGGACGATGCTGTATGTTGTCATGTAAGAATTTCCTTGCGTGGGTTGCAGAGCTTGCACGCCGAGTGCGATGAGGGTGCGCCGGAGATTGGGGCCGCGGAAACATTCGGTGTAGGAGGAAGTTTGATGGAGGGATTTTTGGAGGGAGACGCTTTGGGAGATTAGGGAGACTTCTTTTTCGATGACACTGGGTGGGTGGCCGCGGCGGAGGTATTGGAGGACCGCGAGGGCTTCTTGGTTGCGGTTTTGAGAAATTAGCCAGCGCGGGGATTCGGGGAGAATGAAACCTCCGATTGTCATTATGAGGGGGATGATGAATTGTAGGAGGATGATGAGTCGGTAGGCCCATTGGTCTGTGCGTTCGTTCATGGCCCAGTTGACGATTACGGCGATCAGGCCGCCGAAGAGGAGCATGAATTGGTAGGTGTTGACGAAGGAGCCTCGGAGAGAGGCTGGGGCGACTTCTCCTTGATAGATGGGGATGATGCTGGAAAAGAAAAATGCATCAGTCTCTTTGAACCTTTTGTCGATATGAAAGGGTATATCCACCCATCCCTCAAGAGGAAAAGTGCGAGAGAAAAAAGAGGGCCCCGAAAAGAAGAAGATTAGAAAAAAAGAAAAAGAAAAAAGAAAAAAGAAAAAAAAAAAAGAAAAAAACTCACTTGCAAATAATCCCCATACTCAAAGCATTAACAATCCTCCCCCCAACCAACTGCCAATAACTCCTCACACTCGTCGCCTGAATTAAAATCCCCACCAACCCAATCCCCGCCGCCGTCCAAAACGCCCGAATTCTACCCCACCGATTCCCCAAATACCCCGCCAGAAGCGCTCCACACGCGATCCCCGCCGTCGGAGTCCCCGACCCGACAGATTGCCACGAAGCGGGGATTTTCCAGGTTTGAAGTGCCACGTCGAAGACGCCGAAGTCGTGTTGGAATTGTGGCATGCCGAGGAGGCCGGACCAGTAGTTGAGGTCCAGGCCGTAGGACATGCCGGCGAGGGAGGCGTAGAGGACTGTGGTGAAGAGGGGGAGGGTGAGTTCGCGGGAGAGGTCGGTGCGGGCTTCGTGGAGCCAGTGGAAGACCATTTTTGCTTGCTTTTTTTGTTTTTCTTTTTTCTTTTGGATGGTGGTCGTGGTGGATGGGAAGTTTGAAAAGAGGAGAGTTTTTCACCGAGTGCTGCTACACACACAAGCACACTAGGTATGTAGTAGGGAGGGGAAGTGGAAGGATTGGAAGTTTGTAGCTTGGAGTTCAAAGCCCTTATAATACCCGAATATCTTGCTATCTTGTACTGTCTGCAATCGATATGATCAACGCGCAAGAGGCGGGTTGGGCATAGGCGAGTATCCTTGTCAGTCTAATGAGCCCTGCTTCTCCTACTATACATTTCATCAGCTACTGCCATGTGTGTGTGTATGCTTAGATTGTTAGCAGCCTGGCTTATACAGTCTTGTCTGAAATGGTCTTTGCTGGAGTATTGCTATCTCACGCACTCACAATATGCTTTCATGGCGAGTATTGACCTGTATGTCATTCAGTACGACAGACATGTTTTGCTCTTTTGCTGTAGTGAGATGCTATCTTGAAGCTTCGATATGCTTGGCCGCGGGCCAAGTCAAAAGTTGGGGTCGCTCGACTCCCTGCAAGATAGGGCATAGAGCTTATCTCAGTAGTACTCAGACTCGTTAGTAGTAGATTGATAGTACCTGGTAATTTCAAGCCCCTCCTTCTAGTGATCCATCATGCTGCGCAGTTTCTTGCATGGTTTCTTTCGGAGTCTCTTCCAGGTCTAGCATGTTGCACTACAATCTCGAATTCTTTCTTGCCATTTGTAAACCCTCGATGAGAGTCTGTAAGCCCGTGCCAGGTTTCCTCGTCTCAATGCTGGCAGTCCGTGGACTCATCAGGTATCCATTCACAGTCTCAATGGCAAATTGATATCCCCTTTCGCCGTCCACGCGACAAACAAAAGGGCTACAGGGTCTGGAGTATGCCAAGTCGGCAGAGGAAATCTTGCTGCTATCGAGCACTTTCCATGGCCCTCCAAATTTGACTCGTAAGGGAGGTTTGCCAGTACATGCTCGGTAGGTCGTCGTGTCCCAGAGGTCGAGAAGGCGTCCATATCGCGAGACTCTGCCAGCTGGCCAAGTCGTCCAATCAACGTGCGCATCTTCACTCGTAATCTTGGGAGCGTGCACTAGGTCGGCCTCATTGACCTCGCTGGCACTGTCGGCTTGCTCGGGGTGTAGGAAGAGACGTTTTGTAATGCCTTCTTGCAGCATGGTGGCACCAAGTGAACCCAAAAGTTCAACCAAACTGTCCACTGACGCATCTTCGGGAATGTCGATGCCGGGAAGTGGTGTCTGGGCGAGGATGTTGCCATGGTCGAACTTGCTTGGATGCATCGTCTGTAGAGTGACACCAGTATGTGTTCGTCCTTGAAGCAAAGCATGCTGAATGGGAGCAGGACCGCGAAGATCTGGCAAGAGTGAGGGATGGACATTCAAGCCGCCATACTGTGCAGCATTGAGGATTCGTGGTGGCACTAGAAGACCAAAGGATACGGCCACGACCAGGTCAAAGGGCGAGGGGGGAGACCAGCGTTGAAAAGAGTCGATTTGGTGGAGGGGGAGTTCTAGCGTCTGTGCCACGGCCTTGATCGGTACTGGAGGGAGTTGGGAGTCAGCTTTCTGTCAGCTCAGCTTGCTGGAGCCCAGCTCAAGTCTCTTCCCCTTCCATACCTTGTTGCACCTTTTTGAGACCTCTCCCGCTGCGCTTATCAGGCCTACATATCACATCGATGCTGCTGATGACTCCCGGCTGCTCCTTTTGTAGCCGATGCAAGGCACGCAATGAATAGTTGCTGAAGTCGTCCGAGCCACAGAACAAGATTCGTAATGGTTCAAAATGATGTCTGTGGGATATGGAGAATTTCCGTGGTGCATTCACGTTGTGGAAGACAGCCGTCGCGTGACTGACAGGCCGTAGCGACGACCTAGCAGCGCAGACGACGAGTGCTCGCATTACACTGCGATAACTGTTATAGAAGTAGTATTCATCACCTCCATGCTGCGGGAGAGGGCCGCTCTTCAAATTGATCTTCGTTTCCTGTTCCCGTTCCCGTTCCCGTTCCCGTTCCCCAGCTTTTTGTCTGGACACTCCCGTCCTTCCCGCTGCGCTGACTTTGCCCCTCCCCCTCCACTGCCTAGGTCCACTCCATCCAAGCGAATGAATGTCAAGATGGTAGAAGGTAGCTGTACATACCTGTACAGTACATACCTATGGACCATGTTGATGCCTCTCAGATCATCGGCCTTGTGGCGAAATGGCCAACTACCTACCTCCTACTGTACCTCCTCATTTTCATCCCCGGCTGTCACGACAGAGGTGCCGAAGTCGCGTCGGGAGTCACGCGACCAAACATGCCATCAGCTGACAGGCACCCTTGCCGTAGTCTACGAGATAAACACTAGGAGGTAGGAGTTGGGAGGTAGCAGATACAGGTACATACATGATGTACCTACCGTACCTCTCTGTACAGTACCTAGGAGGTAGGAGGTAGGAGAGGAGGTAGAGGTATGAGGTAGAGATGGAGAGATGGAGATGAACAACGGTTCGATCGCGACGCGCATCGGGGGCCAAATGGCATCGCGTCCGAGAGGCACGTCTGGTCCAGTCCCACTGTCCACTGAACGTCTTTTCCAGGCAAAAGGTGCATGTCTCACGCCCAAGCACAGCTCCAGCTTGGTTGGGGATGGGAGATAAGAGGCTCTAACTGGAGTGGGATTGGGAGTGGGAGCTTTACGCCATACAGTACCTTAGGAGGTAGGTTAGGTAGTTGGTAGGCTCTCTCTCTCATCCCTGGAAACCGAACTGAGCAAATACAGGTACGTCTACATCCTAGGTACAGCTACCTCCACTCCCTTACTGCCCTCGTGACGCATTCCCTTCGGAGGCCATGACTGGAACTCTTCTTTGTCCTTCTACCTGAGCGGAGGAAAGAGCAACCGAGAGCTACTTTTAACACCACCTTCATTCGAACCTCAATCATCCTTCCCTCCTCTTCTTGATCTTCAATCCCACACCCACCTGTTCACCACCCAACACCACCCCACCATCAGCAATCATCAAACAAGTCAATCAAGCCCTCTATCCACCAACACCTCCCATCACATTCAACAGTAAGCCTTGCACCCGACCGCCATTGAGGCTGTGAAGCACCTTCTGCTGCTGCTGCTGCTACATACACCTCACGCCAATGACTCCCACCAGCCTCAATGACCGCCTTCACCCAGCTTCATACCACAAACACTGACTCCTCTCCCAGTGACTCGCACCCAGAAGGCCAACAACCGTGACCACGTCGGCCTCGCCAATGGCACTGCTGCTCCAGAAGAGCATCTTCCACGCTACTTTGCCAAAGCTGGCCATGACGGCGTCAACCCGTCGAGCACCAAGAAGCAAGGTCAAGGCAGAGGCAATTGGTACGTCTTGATCTTGTGTCCTCTTCTATCCAGCACGACCTCGTCCGCCGCTCTTTCCTCTTCACTTTACTTCTTCACCTTCTTCTTCTTCTTCTGTCTCCCCTCCATCTGACGTCACTCCTCACACCACCATGCATTCGAGCTACAACTGACGTGTTTTGATATGTAGGGGCACTCCAGGCTATACCGAGCTCGATGATCTTCCATACAACCTCACCAAGCCCAAGCGTCGCTCCAACTCGACCTCCATGGCCGCCGGCCACAACCTCTTCAAGACCAAGTTCGAACAGGCCGACGAGGATGCCGTCGAGTACGACGAGGACATTCATGGTCCAGATCACGCCGAGCTGGAGAAGATGAGCACCACTAGCTCCGCTGGTACCATTGAAGAGGAGGATGAGGTCATGGAGTCCAAGTAGGCGGCTGCAATACTTGAAGCAAGACGCTGGCTCTGTATGGCTCAACCAGCCTGCGACCATCCATACTCGTGTGACCAAGTCTCTACGATGAAGTGGGGTGGTCTGCAACTTCCACAAAGGAATGACTACAACAACAAAGCAACCATGGCATGTATTAACAAACCTGCTTCTTCGCTGGCGAGGAGTGCTCTCATCCGGCAGCAAATAAAGCGGCTCTGGTCGAGCTTGCTGTCCAGCAGAGCACCAGATGTCAGGAATGAAACAAGTGTAACATTATCGTAAATGTAACGAACCGTAAAGCGTCTGCAATTCTCCAGTGCCCCAATTGACACATTTTGAATCCGCTTCAACATCAACAGGCGCCTGTTGGTATGTGTGAAAAGCCAGCTGCCCAGTCTCATGTTGTACACAGGCTGTATACACTATTGACAGACTGACGCAGATCAGCACAGCAGGAATTGCCATGGTCACTTTGCTTTGACAACATGATATGAACAAGGGTGAAGGTATACCCAAGAACGCACACCTGTCGCGCGAAAGCCTTCATTCGGGACGAAGCGAGATCCCACTCGAGCGCAGTCGCTACCATGTTTCTCCATGTGATCCACTCCCAACGCCTCGCTAATCATCCCACATGATGTTCTCCGCATAGATGCTCTTCCGCCCAGCCTGGACCGGCGTGTCTACGTGAGCGACTTCCCTTCTCGGTGTGCCCAATGAGTCACTGTAGTGCGCTGGTGTTCCCATCCCGTCCGAAGCGATGGAGCGATGAAAGCACTACTTGTCATGCCCATTCGCTGGAGAGGAGATGTCATTCTGCTGCTCGGAGATGGGCACAATGAGCTTGTTGTTCACAATGGGCAGTCGGCTTCGTGTGCTCTGCCTCGCAGCCTGTGCCATGAGAGCATCCATCACCACCAAGGCCGCCATGGCTTCCACAATGGGCACCGCTCGTGGAATCACACAGGGATCGTGTCTGCCCTTGGCTTCGAGCACGCCCTCCTCCTCGTCGTATGTGGTAGTTTGTTGAGCTTGACCAATCGTGGCCGGAGGCTTGAAGCCGACGGTGAAGAAGATGGGCATGCCATTGGTGATGCCGCCTTGAACGCCACCAGAATTGTTTGTCTTGGTTGTCAGCCTAGGCCGGGAGCTAATGGGTTGCGATGCTCCGGACACCGAAGGAGCCACGGCGGGAGCCTTGATGAAAGGATCGTTGTGTATCGAGCCTGGCATCTCGCAACCGCCAAGCCCCGAGCCAATCTCGAAGCTTTTCGTGGCAGGAATACTCAGCATCGCATGCGCCAGTTTGGCCTAGACGGCCGTTAGTCTCTTCGATCTTCAAGATCGTGCGCTCATGACCTGTTGAACCAATGAAGGCCTGTGGAAAAGGACTTCTTACTCACCTCCATTTTGTCAAAGCATGGCTCGCCCAGTCCAGAAGGACAATTGCGAATGACGCATGTGACAGTGCCGCCAATGCTGTCGTGCTTGTCTCGATACTCGGCGATCAGGTCTTCCATGCGTTTTGCGGCCTCCCCATTCGGACATCGCACAGGGAGGAAAGAGTCCACCTGCTCTCTCGTGATGCCCTCCAGTAGATTGAGGAACTCCGGGTTCGTCGAAGGGCTCGGGTGCGTCCTCGTGGAGGGAAAGAGATGCTCATCTCCAACACTGTTCGTGAATGCGACGATTTCAACGCCGTATGCGACTTTCAGGTACTTCTCGGCAATCGCTGCAGCAGCGACACGTCCAATGGTCTCACGTGCTGAGCTTCGTCCACCACCAGATGAGGCTTTCACGCCGTACTTCTCCAGGTAGGTCCAATCCGCGTGTGAAGGTCGAGGAAAGTCGTCCATGGGCCTCTGCGCCTTTGTGCCTGCCTGCTGCCCATTGAAGCTCGCGCCTTCCTTGCCGTAATCTTTTGGTCTCTGATCTTGGTTCATGACTCGCAGTCCAATGGGTGTGCCCAGCGTAATTCCAAACTCGGTGCCGCTCTGAATTTCAACCATGTCTTTCTCATCTCGCGGGGTCGTAAGAGCGGACTGGCCCGGTCGTCGTCGTGTCATTTGAGGTTGAATGTCTTTCTCCGTGAGCTCGAGCCCGGGAGGCACACCGTCCACGATGCAACCCACCGACTTTCCATGAGACTCGCCGTAGGTTGTCACCCGGAAGTACTGCCCAAAGGTCGACATGATTTCGATCGGTGTGTAGTCGAGTGTTGCGGTCGGTGTCAGTCCTGTATGCGTGCGTGTAGCACAACGGAAGAAGGTGTGTTCGGGGAAGCACTGTTCACAAGTGTCTGTTCTGTGACTCTCAAGGTGCTCTTTGTGGTGCCGAAAGGTGGTGTGACTACTGAAGTTCAATGCCAACGTGAACTCCTAGGTAGGTAAGACTCACCACGGAGCATTGGCATTTTTGTTTGCCCATGACGACACCTTTTACGAGTGGGACGACACGTGACGGGAACGTCGAGACGGCATGAGCTCGTTCTGGGAGGTAGGCGGCACATCCATGTACCTAACCTTAGATGTATTAGTTCTTGTTCCATGGTCTCACGCCAGCAATATCGGTCTTGGCATCAGAATGGGCCGCCAGCTCGCTTGCTTCCTCGGTACCTAACTTAGTGACCTTACCTATAGGCTATACCTCCCGTCAAGGTACTACATGTACATACACTACAGAGCTCTACTAACAACATCATCAGAAATCATCAGTCCCATTGGCTACAATTCTGGCCCTCGACCGGCCACAGGTCCAGCCCTACGCAGCGACAATGAGCAGTCTGACTTCCTGTTGTCTTCCTGCTACCAATCTATGCCCATCTTCACCTGTCGCACACCGCCGTCCAGCGTGCTCATCGCCAAGATCATGCATAGACTCCCTATGGCAGTCGTCAGATCGAGTCGGCATATGCATGTCCGTGGCGCTGGGCCATATCTCGCAGCCACACTCCTCTCACTGCGGCTGAGCCTCGCGTGCATTTGCGGCCTAAAGAACACTCGTTATTCGTGGTGGACATGGATATCACTTTTCAGCTGCTCGTCTCTCAACCAACGCTGCAAGCGAGACTCGAGCCTTCGCCATGAGCGCGCAAGGTTGTTTGTACGACCTGTCGCCATGTTGCATAAATATTGAATCGGATACAGCCCCGCCAACTTGGTTTCTGTATAAGGCAGGCACGATCCAGGCGCTCTATAAATCCATCGAGTACAACCACTCCGCTTGATGCACGTTGATTGTGTCCGCATTGTACAGAGGACGCAGCCTTGCAACAGCCTACGCCGCCGTCACGCTTGGACCGCATTCTTTATCGCCGACATGCACTTGCTGACTTTTTTCTTGCTCGGCACCATCTGTCGACATGCCCTGGCCTTCAATTATCCTGTCTGTTGTCGCGAGGCCAACAGCGCCGAACGACTCTTTGACTGGGACAACGGCACAAACACGTACGCTCCATTAAAGCAGCCGTATTCAACATGCGGACAGGTGTACAGCGCCAACATTCCCCCTGCAAGGCCCATATACATCACTTACGAGAGCTGTCGAGCGAATTGCCGCGGCTTCGACTTGACAAAAATCAAGGAGCTCAGCATATGGGCAGCTCCGTTCATCCAATTCATCATGTGAATTCCCATCAATACTTATACATGAGATGTCGCATGCTGATTGGTTGAACAGTCCTGCCATTATCTTCTCACTGTCTATACCACGCGGAGAGCTCTTCGTGCCAATATGGAACTTGCACGCATTGTCGAGCTCCGCCAGTGGGATCCCCGGAGCTGTCGGATATCTACTGGGAGATATTGCATATGGTTTGATCCTTGCGATTCTGACTGCTATCGACACGATCGTCTGGATTATCGTCATACTGATCTTGGCTGGCCCAATGATGGTGTCCGGCCTGACGGAAGCACTACTGGACATCAAGATCTTGCATGCAATATCATCTAACAAGCATGCACAGCTGAATGATGAGTTAAAGCTTAGCAACGAGTCGAAGCTCAAACTGATCCTGAGTGTGGTAGCCGGTAACTTAGTCCTACCAGATTTGATATCACCAAAGAGACATCATCGATGGAGCTCACTCAGTGGTATTGCAGCGGTGAGCGACGCTTGGACCAGCGAAGCGTTGGGTAGACTCTTGCCACAAGCTGCGCCAGCTCGTCGACTTGATAGACCAGATGCCTTGGAAGAGATATCGAGGTCACTGGGCAAACAGCAGGACGCAAGCATACGACAAGCACAGCTGCTATATCTTATGAGCGCACAAGGCGATTTCGGCGCTATCGTCGGTGCGCCGGTAGCTTTCTTCTTGGGAGGCTTCATATACAACATCGTCGACCTGCTGGGTAACCCAAACTACCAGGATCCCGCAGTGACGCTGGCCTTTGGGGTGCAGTGGATGATCGTTGTGCACGTTGCCATTGTCAGTGGATGCTTGTTTGCAAGCAACAATCCGAGCGCTGTCTGTATTCTCAATGGCTATCCAACACCTCCCGGGGCTACATCATCATCATCATCACGCACGATTTACGAGACCCGTTTTCAACCTGTATCGATGCTGCAGCGGGGCTCGAATAAATTGGGTTGGCTGCGTACCATTGCGGACCGAGGGGAGGACCAACGACTCGCACTTCACCGTGTCAAGAGGAACGTCCGAATACGAACCTATGAGTACTTTGCGCTCATCATAGTGCCCACTATGATATTGATCAGTCTACCATCAGCTGCCGGTGCGGTAGTAGCCTGGAGAACTCCTCCTGTAGGTTGGGGATGTCGCTCACTAACGCTCGTCTGCTATGCCGCTAGCCAACTGTTCGTTACCATCCTGCACGAGCTACGGGACCATGCCGAAAAGACGTCGCCTGTCTTCCCCCGGGGCCCAATGTCGAAGACTGGTTGGAAGAAGCTCCTGCTGAGCTACCTGCTGCGGATTTGTCATATGTGCGAGATATGCTACCGCTGGTCACTGCCAGTATTATACTGGACATTATGCTTGTTCACACTATTCACATCCCTTGGCGGTACGATACTGCAGGTCATGGGAGTTTACCGGAACTGTCTTTGCTACATCAACACCCCGATGTGGACTCGTCTGGATCAAGCGTTCGTGCAGGTTGCGTCTGATACATATCGGCAGAGACATGCGAGTCAGAATTGGATCAAGATGGGGTTTGTGGCGATTGGATCCATGACATTTTTATCATACTGTGGCTGGTGGTACCAGAAACTCATCCGAGCGGAATATCGAAAACAAGTCGAGAATCTATATCGATAAGTCGACGGCAGATCAAGGCCATCGCGGCATCTCGTGCCGCAGCGTGGTCGCACAACACGCCTCGGACTATGTACTCACCCCCTGGTCAGCTCGGTGCAAACTCCTTGAGGAATCCAGTCTTGCACTAGCTTGCTTGTCAGGAGAACCTATCACCGAGAGGTATTCGCGCAAGATCTACAGCTTTTGAGAGTCTTTGGTAAGCACTTTGCCACCCATGATATTTACTGCCTGGAGCAGGAGCAGCAGGAGGAGGAGCAGACAACAATTCGCCTGTGTGACTGGTCGGCCAGCTCAGACAGCAGCCGGGAGTGAGTTCTTGGAGTATCTAGAAAGTCGTGGTGAAGATGCAGTCCATTAATACCAGACCAACATCGTGGTATTCGTTGTTTTCTTTTTGACTATTTTCACGAACTTGAGGCTTGAGCCTAGGTCGAAGATGTGATAAGCATGGCATGAAGTTGGTAATATGGAGGACCAGGGAGCGGCCAACCTAGATCTCACCCATGTACATGTACGACGTGAACTTATTGGGCGGGGTCGATGACCAGGCGAGGCGTGAGAGAAACTGGGAATAGGTACCTAGGTAAGTATTGTTATTAAGGCACCTTGTTGTCGCTCGGGACGCAGGACCGTCTTGCCGCCAAGATCGGCCTCAAGTGGATCAGGATTACAGGACCCACCACGCGATAGGTTAAGGTGTGGGCAACAATCACAGCAACGAGTGCCTGAGGCTACAGTATGTATGGCTTCATACAATGAACAATGTCTTTTCCGACTCTTTCGGATCAGCCATCGGCCCTTTCACACGACCATGTGTATAGAGTACCCCACTCCGCCCCGCCCCGCTCCGCTCCGTCGACGTGCGCGGTACGAAGGGCCGACGATACGATGGCACGCCCCCATGCCATGTATGATGTGCTAGTAGGAGGTAGCCTAGTAGGTACAGTAGTAGGTATACCGCACAATGAATACACTCGGCCCTGCCCGGTATTTTGATACTGCGACAGACTTCACTTGGGTCCTTTTAGCTTGACCGCCCGCTTGGCACTGCCTCCTCCTCTCCATCTGCCATAACTGTACTCTCTGCCATACTCCTCCTGGATTTCCCTCCCATGATTTGATACACTCTCACTCTGGTCTCCAACACACCATCGCTCGTACTGTATACACTGCTCAACCTCGTCCCAGACTCCACCATCATGGCGCCCAGATACAAGGACTTTGACGTCGAACAGGTCTTGTCCCAGCTCACGACCCAGGAAAAGATCTCTCTCCTGTCGGGAACCGACTTCTGGCATTTGGCGGGTATATCACGACTTGGCATCCCGGCGATCAGGACATCAGATGGACCCAATGGTGTGCGCGGCACGAAGTTCTTCAACGGTGTTCCTGCAGCTTGTTTGCCTTGTGGTATTACTCATAGACACCCTGTCCAGACCTCGTCGGATATGATGGCACGCAGCTGACTCTATCAGGCACTGCCCTCGGAGCGACATGGGATGTCGATATGCTCAAACAAGCCGGCGAGCTCATGGGCCATGAAGCCATTGCGAAAGGTGCTTCTGTTCTGTTGGGGCCTACTGTGAACATGCAGCGCTCACCACTCGGCGGACGAGGTTTCGAGTCGTATTCGGAAGATCCAGTGCTGGCTGGTAACCTCGCTGCAGCCTCAATCGCCGGCATACAGTCGACAGGCGTGGCTGCGACTCTCAAGCACTTTGTGTGTAATGATTTGGAAGACAAACGCATGGCAAGCAACAGTATAGTGTCCGAACGAGCACTTCGTGAAGTCTATCTGATGCCATTTCAAATTGCTCAGCGAGATGCAAAGCCCTGGGCCATCATGACTTCATATAACCTGGTCAATGGTCTCCACGCCAGTGAGAATCCCAAATTGATTCAGAACATCCTAAGGGAAGAATGGGGCTTCGATGGCCTGGTCATGTCGGATTGGTTCGGTGTGTACTCCACAACAGAGGCCATCAAAGCGGGTCTCGATCTGGAAATGCCGGGGCCGGGAACAATGCGAGGCAACCAGATCAACCTCGCTCTCGTCTGCGGTAAACTGCTACCACACCATCTCGACGCAAGAGTCACAGAGGTGCTGAAATTCATCAAGAAGCTGTTACCACTCAACATTGAAGAAGGTGCAGAGGAGTCGACGGTCAATACACCCGAGACTGCAGCTCTCCTGAGATCGATCGCTGCCAACAGCTTGGTGTTATTGAAGAATGAAGAACAGCTGCTCCCATTCAAGAAAGACAAGACAACTGCTGTCATTGGGCCCAATGCCGAATTTGCTGCCTTTTCTGGTGGCGGATCTGCGTCACTTTTACCCTACTACGCGGTCACACCCCTGGCCGGCATCAAGTCCAAGGTGCCAGATGTGCAGTACGAGCTGGGAGTCGCAGCGTGGAAGCGCTTGCCACTCATTTCTCACTCTGTGAAGACAGCAGATGGTCAAGAGGGACTATATGCTAAGTTTTACTTCGAACCTCCGTCTGAGAAGGACAGAAAATGTTTCGATGAGCTTCTGATCACCGACACGAACATCTCACTCTTCGATTACAAACATCCACAGCTCAAATCGCACCTCGTGTACGTCGATATCGATACTACATTCACTCCCGAGGAGAGCGCAGAATATGAGTTTAGCTGCTCTGCGGCCGGCACCGCTCAAGTGTTTGTGGATGACAAGCTTGTGGTAGACAACAAGACAAAGCAGACACCAGGAGACTCGTTCTTCGGAGCTGGAACCCAAGAAGAGATTGGTTCCATCAAGCTCGAAGCCGGCAAGACATATGCCATTCACGTCGAATTCGGCTCGCTCCCGACGATCACATACCACAAAGAAGGCGTCACGGCGTTTGGCGCGGGAGGAGTACGTCTGGGAATGTATCGCAAGATCGACCAAAAAGTCGAAATCCAGCGAGCTGTAGAGCTGGCGAAGAAAGTAGATCAAGTAGTCCTCGTCGCTGGACTCAACTCCGACTGGGAATCCGAAGGCTATGATCGCAGCCACATGGACTTACCCCCTGGATCCGACGACCTGATCACAGCCGTCCTCGCCGCCAACCCCAACACGGCCGTAATCATCCAATCCGGCACACCCGTCACCATGCCCTGGGCTGACCAGGCCAAAGCTTTAGTCCAAGCCTGGTACGGAGGCAACGAGACGGGCAACGCCATTGCAGATGTCATTTTCGGCGACATCAACCCCAGCGGAAAATTGAGCTTGAGTTTCCCCAAACGCAACGAAGACAACCCGGCTTTTTTAAACTACACCACGACCGACGACAATCGCGTCCTCTACGGCGAAGACGTTTATGTCGGATACAAATTTTACGAAAAAACTTCCAAGGAGGTCCTTTTTCCTTTTGGTCACGGTCTCAGCTATACGACGTTTTCCATGAAAGACCTCACCATCACATCCGACGGCGACGACGACAACAACAACAACAACAAAACCATCCTTCTCACCCTCTCCATCACCAACACCGGCCCCCTCGCAGGCGCCGAAGTCATCCAAGTCTACATTTCCCCCCCACCAACACAAACCAGCACTTCCTCCCAAAAACAACAACGACGAGGTCCTCTCAAAGAACTCGTAGGATTCACCAAAATTTTCTTACAAGCAGCAGAGACGCAGATTGCCAAAATTCAAATTTCGAAAAAATATGCTACGAGTTATTATTCCGAAGCGAGATGTGCGTGGGTGGCGGAACAAGGGAAATATCGAGTTTGGGTCGGGAATTCGAGTTCCATGTCGTTGCAGGGCAGTGGGGAGTTTTTGGAGGGAGAGGTTGAGGTGGAGAGGGAGGTGGTTTGGAGGGGGTTGTGAGTAGGATGGATCTATCTTGATTATCGAGGTAGAGGAGGTGAAGGTGAGGTGGGGTGAGGTGAGGTGAGGTACTTGGTCGAACATGTGTGTGTGTGGATACATGTATTGCATCGAATTTAGAGAGAGCACCTCAGTAAAGAACTGCCAACAGAAATTACATGTGACGTTATGTAATGAGTTGATCATCTATCGCAAATCGGGTATTCTTTTTCTTTTCGCGCACGATATTCCAAAAAAAAAGAAGAGAAAAATCGTCATCACATGCTTTTTTTCTGGTTGAAGAGAGAGGGAGAAATCCCGCCACCGCCTGGATACAGATTTTGTATCACCCAAGAAACGCCAATTTCAATTCCATCCCGCTCGCTCGCTCGCTCGCTCAAACGCAATTGCAAAAATGTGAAGAATGAACCACCGCGTCTTTCTCTTTCTCTTTCTCTCTCCGCCTACATAGCAGTCAACTGTCTCTTCCTCCTCTCCTCCGCAAAAACCTCTCTGCTAATCGCCAACACCCTCTCAAACCCCTCCCGTCCCTTCTTCGCATTCTCCTTGAACCTCTCCACACTAATATCCTCAATTGCGCTCTTAATCTTCTGCCACCCGCCACACAGCGCCACAATCCTCGCCTCCTGCTCAAACACCGTCTTGGCGTGATTCTTCGGATCGGGTCGATACACCACCTTCTCATGCACCGTCAACAGGTCACTCCACGTCATGTTCTGACTGCACATGGTCACTTTTTGCGCCGCGGGATCCACGTAGGAGACTTCGTAGACTTGGGAGGTCTCGCCGCTGCCGAAGAAGGTTTTGAGCCATTGCGGAGTCGCTTGGCGACAGGTGATGAGGCGTTCGGTGCGGAGGATTCCTGTGCTGCGGTCGAGCGAGCGCGAGAGCGTGTCGACGGCGATCACGTGCGTGGATTGGTCGTTCCAAGGGCAGTATTTCCGCCAGTTGCACGTGCTGACTTCGTCCCAGGAGTAGGCGTAGGAGTGAGTTGTGCTGAAGATTTTCATGGTGAGTGTGGTGTTGAACGCGTAGGTGTTGTTTGATGTGTCTGTGTGTGTGTGCACGTGGGTTTCGGACTGTGTTGTTTTCCGCGCTGTTTCGTGATTTTCGGCCAAGCAAAAGGCAAAGAAGGTGCTCGGCTCGTTCGGCCGGTGGTAAGGCTGATGCTGAGGATGCTGATGCTGATGATATGTCGGTATGCTATGTGTCGTATACGGTCGTAGATCGTGCAGAGGAGGAGAGTCGCGGGGACGGCGAGGTGGTGTGGGTCGGAGGGTGGTAGAGTCGGGTGGTGAAGGCAGAAGTAAAAGTACAACAAAAAGAAGGAGAAAGGTCCAGAATCCACCTCAGATGCTCCAGCTGATCTGATTCGGCCGAATAATTCTCTTCGGGCTGGGTCTCCACTTTTCGGCTGTGCGGAACGCCGCGCGGTTGGCTTGCATGTGAAATTGTGAATCGGACCCTTCTCTCCGGCAGTTGGCATCCTCCGTCCCTTGTTAAAAAGAGGTATTTTACATGCGCAAATCCATCACATAGGTACAAGTCCAACTCTACCTTGACGACTTCCATGGCAATGAACGAATGAATCCAAATGAATCGATGAATGGCTGCGGCAAGGGCAAGTTTGACAAAGAGAGAGCGAGAGAAACGCCCCTTTCTCTTTCATACGACTGTATCGCCATTCTACCTTCTACGGAGGGCTGAAACCTTCATGCTGTTGACGAGACTTCATCTGCCGTGGTTGTTTGACACGCATCACTCATAGTAGTCATTCGAATACGTTCCAGCTTGTGCTTGCGTCGCTGCCCACTCCTCACTAGACAAGCTCTGTTTCTTCTTCTTCGCCAGAGCGATCTTGTCTTTGTGCCAATCGCAGGCCCACTGACACGGCGGGTCTTCCTTCTCACCAAAGTAATCCGCTATCAGTTTATGCCGGCACACAGTCACACTTTCGCAATACTTGACCAGTGCCTGCACACTCTTCGATCGGTTGGCCTGCGCTTTTAGTGCCATCTCGCCCTTGCCACGCTGCTTCTCCATTTCTCGTTGCATCGTGAAGCTCAACCTTTCGCGGTCTTCGCGGCTGTAGTAGAGCATGCATATCGAAGCTTTGCCATCTCGGCCAGCTCGACCTGATTCTTGGTAGAATCCTTCAAAGGACTTTGGAATCTGCCAGTGGACTACAAAGCGAACGTTTTCCTTGTCAATCCCCATACCGAAGGCGGTAGTCGCCACAATCACATCATAACCATCCTTGTTCTTCACCCAGCCATCCAGGTGATCCTCCTTCTGCTCGATTGTCAGACCAGCATGATACGCTTTGGCGCCTATGCCATCATGTTGGAGGCGGGCGGCCAGCTGCTCAGTGTCCTTGCGGTACCAGGTGTAAATGATGCCTGACACGTTGGTCGGCCGTTCATTTCGCTGAGACAGCTCCTGCGAGCGGGCCACATTGTTCGTACGGCGCTCATGTGCCGATCGAATCCAAGCGAGAAAGTTGTCATAGCGATCTTCCTCTTCATTGGTAAAGCGGACCTCGAAATGTAAGTTCGGTCGACTGGTGGTCATGGCAAAGCTCTGGAGCCTGGACTGATCCAGCCCCAACGTCCTGATCACATCTTCCCTTACAGCCTGAGGAGCTGTGGCAGTGCAGCATATCATGGGAACATCCGGAAATTCCTGCTTGAACCAGCTGAGCTCTTTGAAGCTGGGTCGAAAGTCGTGTCCCCATTCCGATATGCAGTGAGCTTCATCCACTGCGATTCTGGCTAGTTCTCTCTGTTGATACACTGTCTTGAGGCTGTTTCGGAAGTGGTCAAGCTGACAATACTCAGGGGTAACGTATAATAAACGGATTAGAGGATGGCCACTTTTGAGATCGGCCATGATAGCCTGTTTGGTGGTTTGCGAAGTCGTGCTGTTAATGGTATCTACCTTGATATTCGCAGCTCGGAGACCTGCCATCTGATTGTTCATCAATGCAAGCAGTGGTGAAATGACTATCGTGATTCCGAAGTCCACCACTGCTGGGAGCTGGTAGCACAGCGACTTGCCGAAACCAGTGGCTGCTTGGAGGAAGATATCATGGCCATCCAGAGCAGCCGTCACGACCTCGCGTTGGACTGGTCTGACAGAGTCAGATTAGGCAATGTCCAATGTAAGCTCCAGCATACCTGAACGTATTCCTGCCGAAGACCTTTCGCAGGGTGAAGTCGATGTCGACTTTCTGACCCAGCTTTCGCCCTGGCACACCCGGCATTGCTGCTGCGTTCAACTGCCCTGCCTGGTGATCTCGCTTCTCTACAGATAGCAGATCAGATTCGTGAAGTTCCGCCAGCTCATACTGATTGCCGATGGTCTTCGCGTCTGGTTGGAAGTCGAATGCCTGTCCCCGATGCGATGATGTCGAGCAGAAGGTGGCAGACGTGAATGCATAGTACGCGCCAAGAAAATTTAAAAAAACGCGATTGGGCAGGATCAGCCCGCTCAAGCAGTTCGTCCACGAGGAAAAGATCGTATCACCCGAAAAGGATGGAAGAAGGCAAGAAGCATTGAAAGGAATAGAGGCAATATGTATTTGGTACTTGAAAGTACAAACTACATGTACCTGATCTTACTTTCATACGACTGCGAAATGAAGGCATAGGTACATAAGGTATGCTCGAGTCCAAGATAAAACGGTTACTTCATAAGATACATATCTCTTTGTAGCCGTGTCGATATGAGTGATGCCTCTATGTACGAAAATGGCTGATTTCGATATGCATGTGACCGAAGAGCTTCCGAGGTAGAACATCACTGAGATGGACTCTTTCACTGCCATCCTGCGTGTGGAGCCCTCTGATTCTGCTGCTTGACAGACAGAAACCTCCCAAGTCCAAGCAGTGCCGTTCACAGCGTCATCCTGTGCATCCTGTGCTAGAATCGTCTAGTCCGTATCAGTCGGATCCCAATCCGTGACCAGATACTCATCCAACCCATCCATCCTCTCCATATCTTGCCCGCTAATCTCAAACCCTCCGACTTGTGCATTCTCCTCTATACGGCTCTGATTCACGCTCTTCGGCAACGGCACATAGCCATGTTGTAAACTCCATCTCACCAGTAGTTGTCCACTCGTGCAACCATATTTCTTCGCCAACTCCACGATTGCGGGATGTTTCATGCGTAAAGCTCGAGCAAGAGGGGCATAAGCTTCTACTACAATGTCATGTTTCTGACAAAATTGGGTGAGAGCTGTGCGAGTATTGAACGGGTGAACTTCGATTTGGTTGACAGAGGGGAGGATGCGTGGGGAGTAGGCGAGCAGTTCCATAATCTGATGCTAGCCTGTCAGCCAAAGTGGGAAGTAGCAAAGTCAGAGGGCGAGAGAGGAGGGTGGAATGGGATACATGTAGAGAAGACATCGGACGTACGTGTTTCTCTCCATAATTCGAAACACCTCCAATCCTCACTTCCCCAGCGTCGATAGCATCCTCTACAGCCCTCCAACTTTCCAATCGATCCCTCTTGCCGCCGTAGGGACTATGCAGCAAAAAGAGATCGATATACCCCAATCCGCACTCTTTTACAGATTTCGTGATACTCTTCCTCGCGCGATCATAGTCGCTGTTACTCGCCAACTTGGTCGTGTAATGGATGTCTTCTCTCTTCACTTCTGGATGCTGTTTTAGCCAACTCTGAATGGCTGAGCCCACCTCTTTTTCGTTGTGGTACATTTGAGCAGAGTCGACTGCGCGGTAGCCTGCATCGAGGGCGTATTTTACTGCCTCAGAGGCCTCTTTACCATTCATTAGGTAGACCCCTAGGTGGATTCGAGGCATTGATCGGCCATTGTTGAGGGCGATGCGCGAGGCGAGGGAGAAGGATTCAGACGCCATCGTGGAGATGATGGACGTGTGGTGTAGGAAGCTTGTGGATACGGGCGGTGCAGTGGAGAGGGAGATGAATAAGGTAAGGTATCTCAGGTGAGGTAGTAATGGAACCTGGAAGTCAGTGGCAGTATGAAGAGACTACCTCCTACCTGTACCTCCTACGAGCAACTTGGAGTGGCCATTACAGTATGACGTTGCTCTGCTCTTGCAGCTGGTGATGTCGTGCGTGCTCATGTCGTATGTGTGAGTCTGTGAGATACATGTATGTCGCGGGCACTTGCTCCCGCGCGATATTGGACAGTGCTCTCACGAAGCCCATCGTGGTATTATCGACAGGCTGTGTATCTATAGAACTACCGACACGATACTTCCGCTCCGCTCCGCTTAGTCTACCCTCCCAACGGGGACCGAGGCTCGGTGGGAGGAATCCAAGGACCCTTTCCTTTGTTCAAAGTGGTTTCCCATCCCTCCTCTCCTCTCACCTCACCACCCCCACCCCCACACTCGCACATGGCCCCCATTGAAAAGGGCGAGACGGCGGCGGGCGTGGCGGAGATAGACGGATGAGTGCTTGTTGCCATGTCCAAGGACCAAATTGTGGTCTCGAATAAATGATGGCCACGATAAGGTAGGTAAGGTAACCTTCTCTCCCCCGACCACATCAGCTGTGCCGCCCGAACGAGTCTCTCTTCCGTCTCTGCACAACCTCCTACAATCCTCACTGCATGCAGAGACGCCTCCAGCTCGCTTGCATGACTTCACCGCCCAATTAGCCCAACGCCTTCCGCCTCACCTGCGCCCGCCCTAGCTTCCACGCAAGCACCGGACCCTAGAACGAAGTGAATCTGAGACGACGGTACGGCAGGGAATAGAAGGAGAAGTACAGTGCAGTACAGACAAACCGGCATGGGCTCGAACCCACCTCACGCCACCTATGGCAGCTACCATCACCTTCCCTCCTACAACCAACAAGGGCCTTACCTCCATGGCTCTGCTCCCTCTGCCGCCGCTCGTCCTATAGACTCGGCCATGGACAATCCTCCCTCTCACGTCGGCGTGTCAGATCCCAGCTTCGACATCCTCGACTGGCATCCTGCCTTCCTGTCCTGCCAGCGCTACTTTCTCGATCATGCGCAATTCGAGCCGGGCACGCAAGCAGTCTGCGCTCTCATCAATATCCGCCTTCCGTTCCAATGGCTCGCCACGCCCGTCACCTCGTCCACCCCGCCAGCGCATGGTGCTTCAAACCAACACACATTCAGTTTCAATGCCTACTCCCGTGGCGGCAGTAATGTCAACAGTCCCCGCTCACGCGAACAATCACGCGACCACGCTGGCGGCGGTGGTGGTGGTAGCAGCAATCATAGCAATGCAACGCAACTCCACGTCTCGCCCGTCCCTTACATTCGTCGCCTCGTCGTGACGGGCTTCGACAAGGCCGCAATTCTGCATGGTTTCTTTGGCGACGATTATCAACGCGGCATCCTACCTCACGTGGAATGTGAAAGGAGGAACTATCTCTTCGCTGCAAAACATGGTGGCTGGAGAAGTTGCAAGAAACAGTATGATGTGGGCTCAGGCTATGGGGAGGATGAGACGGTGCCTTTTATGAAACCTTTGGACGAGGCGACGGCGCAAGAATTGGCAGCTGCCGAGAAGCAGTGGAGTAAATGGTTGGCTATGGAAGACTGGATGGTCGGGCCACGCGCGCCTGGTGGAGAAGAGGGGAGGTCTTTCGAGGAGCAGGAGAGGAGCTTTGCAGGTAAGTTAACATTGAGTTTCTTGCCCTCACCATGTTCAGTATGCAAGGACTCTCTTCTGACACTAGGATCGACAGGAAGTCGAGGTCGAGACAGTACAAGTGGACTTCCCAATGGTGTTGCAGACGTTCCTCCGGACGGCATGCATGAGCGCTATCGTTTGAGGTAGGAAAGCGGACGTGACCCTCAGGCTGCATATTCAAGGAGATCTAGGTCTCCGCGGCGGGGGTCACAGGAGGCGGCCAGGATGAGTGCGCTGTCGACTTGGAGTAGGAGGGAGAGGAATGAACAAGGTATGCCGGCAGCAAATGTAGGTGCCTGGAAGCCTGGAGAAGGAGGGTGATCCTCATCACCATATCGGTGCGAGAGGCGCAGGATTCAGTTGGTGAGGTCTGGATAGCTCGTCCCCCATCCTCCGGTGTGGGGGACGAGAACATGTCCCAGGCGCGCGAGACTCAGAACGCGATGAGCTCGAATGGCTTGGGTGCTTTTCGTGTCTTGTAGGATATCATGACACCTAATTGGACGGTACTAACAGGACATACTTATGTAACATGATAATGAGCTAACTTATTCTACCCCGAACTCGTTCTGTCTTTCGGCCTGCTCATCTGTTGTAGCGACTTCAATGTTTGGAACGATTTGTAGTTACCTACTGTAGTAGGGGTAGCGTTTGCTGAGTGGTACTCTGCGTCTGGCAAGCACATGTGTGGTATAGGTTATTGCAGTGACTACCGTACCTTGCCGTCCGGTAGGCATATATGAAACCTCTGGAGTCTTGGCCACGTTGCTTAAATTGCACATATGATCTCTCCGTTATCCAAGCATCATCATACTCCTCTGCAAATACACCTCATGTATATTGCTGCCAGCCACAATTCGAGCCAGTATCGAGACTCGCCCGCTACATCGTGTGCCTTCTTTTCCTACTATTCTTGCGGTCTCTCTTCCTGAAGATGCATCTGCAATATCTGACCGTCATGGCCACTTCGTCCAACCCTGCAAGATCAACGACAGCAGGCCATCACCAGCTAGCATCGGACAAGGACGAGTAAGAGGCTTGCAGCTGCTAGTGATATATGCATTGCTTATCAGACATTCTTCTCCTGTTGCTCTGCCAATCAATCTATGCCCACGGCAGTTCTTATCTCGTCCTTTTCACCTTATCGCATCTACTAGAACTACGGGTCCAGCAGTACCTGCGGCCAGCGACGGGCAACTCGATGACTTCTTCTCACATGCCAATTGTTCACCTGCACAACGCCAACCAGGCAATGGACCCCGTCTGGGTCGGCTGATGGCTGCTGATGGAGAAGCAACAGCGCAGTCCACGTTCCCCGGTCCAGGGTCGGAAGTATAAGAGTCGAAAGGAGAGGCCTTGCGATGCTTGTAAGTTCATTACTGACAGTGTGCTCGTCTTCGAGAAAAAAAAACCTGCAACCTCTTGTTGACAATCGGTCAAAAGGCAGGCGCCGCAAAGTCTGCTGTATTCGTGAATCTGGCGACGATGCCTGCTCTCTATGTCGAATGCAATCGCAGATCTGCCGATATGACCAAGGGCCTACGCCAAGAAGACGTCGACCAGCGGCGTCGATGCCTACCTCCAGTGAAAGCGAAGTGACTACACCCGGTGCAATGTTACCGCAGACGTCAGCCTCGCCATCTGTAGAGAATCCGGAACGGACTCGTAGCGAATGGATCTCCCAATACGTTGGCCTATCTGGCGACCAAGACCCTCTTGTCTTGAGGCATGCGAACTTCAACAAATCCAACTACTACAAGAATGGAGACTGGGGTTGCTTGAGGTTACGAAGCGACGGCACGACTCCATCGTTATTCACTGTCGTGCCAGACAGCCATCTGGATGCCAGACCTCCCTACTATCCGCCCAGCTCCCTGCTCGATGCAGCATATCCATTACATCATGAGCTGTTATCGAGCTACTTCGAGGTGATTCACACTTCATTTCCACTGCTCGATCCCGCACGCTTCACCAAGGGAAACAAAATCGATTTGCCTCTCCTCGGCACCATGTATAGTCTCGCGCAGCCCTTCTGCTCGGCGGCTGCAGACCTGTCTTATGTTCCGATTAACTCCTTCGTGTTCCAGGCACTCCCGATCGAAGCTCGTGCACCGCGATTGGATACCGTGGAAGCTAGTCTTTTGTTCTTACATAGACATACTCAGATTCACCGCGCACCGACTACTCCTGGTCTTGATGCGGAGATTGGTGCTTTGGTAGGCATGTGTCACGACGCAGGTTTGAATGTCGACCCTACGCACTGGGATCTCTCTGCCAGCGACCGGAGTCGACGCAAGAGGATCTGGTGGGCTCTCTACATCTCCGACAAGTGGGCAGCGCTGGGGCTTGGTCGCCCATCATTCATCAGCGAGGACGCCTGCAACGTGCCATTGGTAACGCTTGCAGACATCCCTTCTGCCACTGTGAGCAAAGATGCCCTGCCCAAGACGAGTTCTCACATGTTTGTTGCCATGGCAGCTCTCACGCAGATTCTGGCTGCGATCTTGTCTACTTTCTACACGCTCAAAGCCGCTGAGCAGATGACTCGCGCAACGCCGTCTGAAGCGAGCAGCATCAAGGCTTTTTTTGAACGGCAACTTCTCGAATATCACACGAGATATCTGTCGCCATTGGAACGTATTGTCGACCTTTTTCTCGACCCTACTGGTGAGCCCATTCACCTTTTCCTCCTCGCATCCAAATACTTACTCCATTCAGGCACAGTCTTTCTTGCATTCTATACTGTGGAGATTGTCTTGTATCGAGCACTCCTGCGATGCGTATCACCAGCCGAGCCACTCTGTATACAAATCCGGCATCAATCAAAACAAGTCATGCTCGCAATATCCAAACTGCTCGAGAACCTGCAAGTGACTCGACTGCGAGCGTTTTGGTGGTCACCTATCTCACGCATCAATTTCGCGCTCGCTGGCGGCTTCATGTTTTCCATGTTGCTTTCATCGATCACGGACGAAGATATCGAGTACTGGTCATCTGAAATTACGAGATACCGCCGACTGCTAGATATGCAAAGTATGTCTTTTGACACAACCAAACTTGCCGCTGCTCGAATGAGCGCTCTGGCCAATGTTAGTGCAGGTGGACGACCGCACAGTGCAGGAAGTGGAAGTATCGACCCCAAGCAGGCGTTCTGTCGCGACTTTGGCGCTGAGCTCAATACACTATGAAATGTGCAGAATGTCTCGGAGGATTGGGTTTCTGATCCCCTCTGATATCGCTATGGCCTATGGACTTTTCGACTTACGCTCTGATGGGCAAAACCACAAGCCTCTGACTGACCGCCACTACTATCTCTACTTCACAGCCCTGACTGGCTGACATTGATTTCACAAGTCACAGCCCCAATTGGCTGCAACTATTGCACACCCTTCACCGCATCTGACGGGCTATAGTCACCATATTCACCTCGCTGCCCCTCTAGATATGGCTATGGCACGTGCCGAGTATAGGCCGGCTGTCTTGTGCAATGGAAGCGCCATGGCTCACGCCAGGGCTAAGGGCAGACCCCAAAATGTCTAGTCGCAGACCCCATTCCTGAGTCATTAAGTTATTATCGTACCCTACGATATTACCAATACCTTCCAGCGGCCAGCCTCACCTAGGACGTAGGAGGTAGCAGCTTTACTTCACATTGCACCCTGAAGGATACCCCTCTCGATTCTTAGCCCCCCTTGGGGGGTTGGGGGTGTTGTAATTTGGAAGCTATGGACCAAAAGAGTGTGATTGAGTGTGTACAATCTGTTTGACTACTGCCTTGAGAAGGCAGTGTCTGCATCTATTTATGCTGTCAATACTATTATGCTGTCAATGCTATTATAATAGTTCTCTGCCTATCTCTAATAGTAGAGATTGATAGCCCTATAGCAGAGATTGATAGCTCTATAGCACTATTAAGGTAGCTCTATAGCACTACTCATGCCCGATATCGCCCTATATGAATCCATCACATCTGTCACTTTGATAGTGTTGATATATCTCTTATCCCTCGGCCTGACCCGGCCTTGGCCTCCTGTTATCCAGGGATCACAACAGGGGGGGGGGGGCAATCTAGTCGGTGCCCCCGAGGTATTTGCTTTCTACATACTACCTACGAAGAAAAAGCGAAAAAGCGGAAGCCTTCCGAGGGAGACGGCGAGGGAGGCGCGTTGTTTTTCAGGGGGTGGGATTACAGCGGAAGGGTGCGGTAATAACTTGATGACTCAGGAATGTGGCGATCACTTTGGGTGTTCCGCTTCTTCTGCTACCCAGGAGCCCTGGCGCATGGCTCACGAGAGCACAGATATAAGCATAGGTAAGGTACCGTCGGGTATCAGGAAAAACGAGCAAGGAACGGAAAACAAAGTTCGGCATCTTATATCGGCAAATCATTCTACCTCCTGGCACTTACCGTATTCTTTTATACTCTTCACATGGCGATCTCGTGGCAGCGTGCCGAGATACCTCCTACGGTATACTGCTCTCAGACCAGGACCATTCCGGCTAGCAGCCTAGCACCACTAAGCTTCGCTTTAAGGTAGCCGGCTTGGAAGTCGACATCCTGAGCGGATCATATCAGAGTTGGATAGCCTGCCGGGATACCGGCTTCTCGAAGCCGATGAGAAGTTGGATGACGCATTCCCTCATGGACGACACCTCCTGTTACAGTGGCTGTATCCAGGACCCCAAGCTGTACTTCACTTTGAGATAGCCGGCTGGGAAGTCGACATCAGGAGCCGAACGGATCGACGTTGGATAGACATATGATGAGAGATCGATAGATCTTCATGAATGTCACCCCCAACCACGGCCAGCCATCCCAGAGAGACTCCACATTCAATGGCAATGTCGTTCGAGGTCAATGCCATAGGTGAGCTTATCCCAACAGTCTACAATGGAACCTGTGACTTCACCCACATATCACATACAGTATGCGTTGAGAACGCAAGGGCAATGCCATATCCTTTCGACACTATAGTTCGTTTTGCCAGGTAGTCTTAGTGTCATTTACTGCATTATCCGGAACATGACATGATAGCTATCACGACTCCGTTGTGTGTCTATGCAGCTACGCTCCTATAAGAGTGCTTTCCACTCCCAGCTCGTCTGTCTTACCGAGTCCTGCAAGTAACAGCAGCACCATGGCAACTGGATCGCCTCTCGGCAGCCCGAAGAGCAGCCCAACGAGCCCTACTACTACTTCTACTATTACACCATGTGCAGATTACCCGAGAAGAGCTTCGACAGCATCAGCATTCGCAAAATCAGCGGGTCAAGAAGCTCCGCTTCGTCTTATGGGACGTCGAACGACGACGAGGAATCTCGACGTTGATCAAACAGAGGCATTAGCGTACGATGGGGACGACAACACACCCTCAAAGATTGGTCAATATCTCCACAGAGTACATTCGGCATCTGTCATTGCGAGATACGCGCTCTACATCCTGCCGGTGTCCATGCTTCTGGCTGTACCAATGATAGTGACAGCCAATGCTCCTTACAGAGCCGATGGCATTCGTCTGCTCGGACTGTTCATCTGGATCGAGATCATATGGCTTACTTTTTGGGTAACAGATCCTCGCTCTACCATGTGTATTGAATGTTCTTGCAACATGTGCTGATCGAGATACTGTAACGACCAGGCATGCAGAATTACTTCTAAGGCGATGCCTTTTGTCTTTCAGGCAGCGTGTGGGCTCCTCAGCAGCGGGATACGAAAGTACTCGCTGGTGCTTCAGACACTGGAAATCCCCACGTCGATTCTCCTCTGGTGTATCATCGCTTTTGCGGCGACCGATGTCATTTTCGTGTTCGACAAAGAAGACTATCACCACCAGAAGAAAGGCCAGTGGGTCAGGGTACTCAAGCACATCTGCCAGGCTAGCATCATTGCAGCAGCCATTTTCGTAGTTGAGAAAACCATCATTCAGCTGATCTCGATTGCGTATTATCAGAAACAATACGGTGCGTCACACGGGAGCTCACCCACTATGGCGATATTGGACTAAGTCTCGTGCCTTTAGCCCACAAGATTCGAGAGAGCAAGAGATTGATTCGTCTTCTTGATCTTCTCTACGATGCCTCGCGTACACTCTTCCCCGAGTTTGGCAGAGAATTTGCACGCGAAGACATCGAAATTCACAGAGAGACCTTTATCGATCTGCGAGCCAAGATGGAGACTAATGGCATTAGTCTTGGGAGCAAGGTTCTGGGTGGCGTCCACAGAGCCAGAGACAAGGTCACTGCGGTACGCAACATACCTGGATCAGCCCCAACTACCTCAAGTCTACTTGCTGACCATGGTGTACATGATCTGTTGTGTAGGCGATCGGTACTATCGCGAGCGATGTGACAGGCCGTCACATTTCCAATACCTCCAACGCTCACTCTATCGTATCCAAGGCTCTGGAGACGGAGAGGGCGTCGAAGGCGTTGGCGAGGAGGCTTTTTTCGTCTCTTTGCTCGGTGGGACAGGAAGCCATATACAAGTGAGCCTTCTTGAGCGGACCTGCATGAAGAAGAAGAAGAAGAAGAAGTCTCACTAACAAGTCGCTTTGTTTCCCCCCTCCCCACTGGAAGACAAGACGTCCTCGAAGTCCTTGGACCAGGAAGAGAAGCTGATAGCGAAGAGATATTCAACATACTTGACCGAGACGGCAATGGAGATGTCAGTATTGACGAAATGACCATGCTCATCGTCGGCTGCGGTAGAGAACGCAAAGATCGTGCAAGTAGTATCCAGGACATTTCTTCCGCTATTGCAGTACTCGATAGGATTATGACCATTATCGTCATCATTGGTGAGGCCTCGCCCTGTCTATGTACCTAATTATACTGGTAGTGCGTCTTAGGTCACTGACACAAGGGATAGCAAGCGGATTCATATACGCCATCTTCTTCAGCAAGACTCTCGTGACGAAAAGTCTCCAACTCTGGGCGTCAGTCAGCGGTCTGTCGTTTATGATTGGCGGCACCGTGACGGAATTCATTGCGTGTTGTATATTTTTGTTTGTGAAACATCCTTACGATGTGGGTGAGTAAGCGATTCCACCCTTTCACACTCCCCCATTGTGCACACATCACGCGTGGCATGTTGGGAACAGGTAGTGAGAAAACAAAAATTCCATGCTCACTCACTCACACTCTGTGCTCGACAGGTGATCGGATCAATATCACGAATCCCCAAATGGAAGAGTCGGAACTCGTCGTCAAGCATATCAGTTTGATGTACACCATCTTCAATCGTGTGGACAACGAAGCGATCGTCCAAATCCCTCGTAAGATTTCTTTCTCTCTCTCTCCTTTTCTCATCACATCCCACAGAAAGGGGAAACCAAAAAGAAAGCGGCCTCGCATCAACTAACGTCCTCGGGGTTCTTTTTCTAACAGACAACGTCGCCAACAAATTCTGGATCGAAAACATCACCCGCAGCAAAGCCATGAAGGAACGCATCTCCCTCTGCGTCTCCTACCTAACCAGCATGGAAGACATCCTCACCCTCCGCCAGGAAATGGAACACTTCGTCACCGCCCCAGAAAACAGCCACGACTTCCTCCCCGACTTCGACATTGAACTCCAAACCATCCAAGACCTGCGCAGCCTCGAACTCCGCATCGAAATCCGCCACAAAAGCAACTGGGCCAGTGACAAAGTCCGACTCCACCGACGCAACAAATTCCTCTGCGAGCTCTTGGAGGCTTTACGGCGTGTGGGCATTGAAAGACCCGGAGATACTCCTGGACCGGATAATCCGAGTTATGTGGTTGAGTTGAGGAATGACGAGACCATGGAATTTAAGAAGGAGAAGCAGGAGAAGGTGAAAGAGAGGAAAATTAAGCAGGGTAGAGTGACGTTGGAGGAGGTTTTGCCGACGGGATTGAATGCCGCGCAGGAAATGTTTCCGGGGTTGAAGAAGAGGAGTGTGCTGGAACAGGAACAGGGGAGAAGACCTTCGATGTGGTCGCCGATTTGAAGCCCAGGGGAGGAGGGTGATCTAGTTAGGTAGGTAGGGGTGGACTTGTGGCTGGGTTTTTTTGTATATAGCATTGTACACCTACATAAATGATAGACAATTTAAGGTTACCATCAAGCAAGCAGCTTTCGTGGTGTAGTTGGTTATCACGTCAGTCTAACACACTGAAGGTCTCGAGTTCAAACCTCGACGAAAGTAACGATCTGTATAACTTCAGTTCCGTTGATCCAGTTGTTCATTCAACTCTGCGCTTGAACTTTTACCTTTTTACCATTTCCTGGCTCTGCCTCATGCCTTTTTATGCCGTTGCATGCCTGTTTTGGCCCTGTGTTTTTTTTTTGCGCGTGGGGAGGGGGAATGCCAAGCTCTCTGACCAATCGAGCTCGTCCTTCTTTCTTTTCTTTCTACTTCACCGCCCACTCTTTCCCATCCTCCTCCATGTGATCGATTTGCGTGAATATCGTCTTATCAGCTGTCTGGATATGTCTCAGATTTGAGGACGGAGTTGCTTCGGGTTTTGTTGCTGTGCTGGCCAGCATTGATGCATTAAGAGATATCTGACATGCTATCAAAGCAGGGGCGACGACGCTCCGAGGATTTCGAGATGGAAGTCCAGCGGCACAAGCTCACTGCGACGACGGGAACATGACGATGAGCAAGCCACAATATAACCTTCACTGTTGAAGACTGCTCAAGGACCAGGTCTTAATGACTAGGTAGGTATCGACAGATTCGACAATACGCGAGAATTTCAAGCATAGGTACCGATGGACTATACCACTTCTATAAAATCTCGAACCGCTTTCGAGTGCAACGGTATCCACACTCTCAAGTTGAAGAAGACCATTGTCGAAACGCTATATAGCACCGCGCGCAACTGGTACTCCTCTTGCTCGTGTGTATGCTAGCGAAGAAGGCCGTCTGGGTGGGGGAAAGCTCTACTCTCGTGCTTTTTTCTCGTGTGCTTGCAATAACAGAGACCTCCCGAACTCCTTTCGCTGTGTTTACTGCGTAAAATCATCCATCTGAGCCTCACCACACCTGCCCGTCGTCATACAAACCGCCGAAAAGAACCGTCGACACTAGGCACTGCCGACCCATCACTCCCAAAACTGACGAAGGTCTTCTCGTCAGTTCTTGACGAACGCTTTTCTCTGACCTTGAAGTCAAATCTCTTCATGTTCCTCGACCTTTGCTTCCAGGTGCTTGATATACTCGACGGCTTTAGCATAAATCATCGCTTTGTTCCTCTTATGCGTCGACTTCAAGCCACGCGTTAGAGGACTTCTCGAAAGCTGCTCATCTGCCACCGCAGCAGGTATACCCGGAGCACGCAAGGTAGGAATGGCAGCTCGTAACTCGGCCACCGAATTCCCCAATCGATCGCGATATCGTTTCTCGACCATTGTGTGCGGGACCTGGTGTGGTGGCTGCGTGGAGGGCCGTTCACATGGTGCGCTTCCTACAAAGAGGGAATGTTGAGAAGGAGGTAACTTGACAACCGGCGGTGCGAAAGCTTGAGATTCCATCGTGGTGGATGATATCAGGAGGGAGGACTTACGGGGTCTCCCTCTTCGGCGCTTCGTCTTGGAATGGTCTGGGGAGTCGAGCGGGTTGGATATTGCGGGAAGACCCATCGAGTCCTCTATGGCGTTGACAGGGGATGATACCATGGAGGTGATGGACGATACGGTCTGAGGGCTGTCCTCGTAGGTATCGCAGAAGAGGTTGTACTGTGTGTCGAGCTGCCAAGGCCGTATCGTGTTCTCGACGAGCTCGGAATCATAATCACTGTGAGAGATGAGGGGCTCGAATTCCAGGCCGAAATCTGTACTTTCGAGAGCACAGTACGAAGGATTGTTGGCGGCGAACAAATCCGTCGAATCCATATCCAAAAGCTTGATGCAGTCCATATTAGTTGCTGCTGCTGCTGTATCTGGACTCTGCTTATCCAACTTGCATGCGAGGACCCATGTGTGGTGGAGGATACATGTATGTAGGGTGCCATGATCTCCTTTAAGGACTCAGCGTGAGGAACAGCCACGGGCTGGCTCTTCATCGGTCTCCCCTCGCCCCCGAATCCTTACCTCGTCCGGACAACTCTCTAGATCGATGGAAATAGAGAGCCCTTTTTCCCCCGCTCCCTTTTATTTTCGCTTTTTTGCTATCGAGGAATGCGCAAGCCATGTATTTCCCACTCGTTGAAGCCGGCCATTTGCCGGATTCAGAATTCCTAGGCAACCTTGCGGGGTATCTTTTGTTTGGTGGTAATGCTGGCAAACCTAGAAGGCGGTCTAATCAAGGTGTGTGGGTGGGTTGCTTTAGAAACATCGTAAACAGAATGTTAGAATAGCAAAAGAAAAAGGAAAATAAAAGAATTAATTTTTTTGAATTTTGAGGCGGGCGGTGCTTTGCGAAGGGATAAGATTATTTGATGATGTCGAAATTCGTATAGGTATGGTTTTACCGTGTTTACCTGTATCTCCCTCGTTCACGTATTCCAGAACCAGGCACCGTAGTCTATTGTAAAAAAACATCATCAACATCGTCGTCATCATCATCCTCCTCCTCCTCCTCCCAAGCCACTATCATCCAGACCAACTGTTCTTACAACATCACCTCTCTCTCTCTCTCTCTCTAGCTCCCTGTCTCTTCCACCACCTTACCCATTTTTGAACCTAATTCATTAGGGCCCGGCCCGGTCAGCATGACTAGTCCAAGAAAAGCAAGAAATAAAAAAGGCGAGGTCACAACAGTATGCATGCCATGCCATGGCATGCAATGGTAATAGGGAGGGGAGGGGGGGCGCGGGTGATTTTATCCGGAATCGGTGACTGCACCGTTGTGATGTTCGGCGTAGACTTGATTTATTTTTTTTTTTGCGGGTACCGAGCGTATAGTTGGTTATATTGTACCTAAAGGTAACCTAACTTACGGTAGGGTACCTTACCTATGGGTGCGTAAGGTGTTGAGGTAGGAGAAGGCTTCTTCTCGGGATAGGGCTGGCTGGGTATACGATGGAAGGGAAAGGAGGAAGGAAGTTTGGAGGGAGAGAAAAAGGATAGAAAGGGTTGAGAGGGTTGGCTGGGTGTTTAGTTACCTAGTTGTACAATTCGAGAGAAGATTATAATAATTGTTTCTCCCTTCAAGAAAACGAGTTTGGCAGAAGTCTAGCTAGGTAGTAGGCTATACAACGACGTACGTAAGGTAGTAGAGGTAGGAGTAACGGACTTATACTATATTATACCAACAAATGTGGGTATAACGACGGATTAAAGAAAAAGCATCCACTTTCATCATTCTGCATACGCACGATTAGTCATTTTTTTTCTTCTTCTTTCTCCTTTCTTCTTTTTCTTTCTCAGGCCTCCACAATAAAACGCACTTCCTTTCTTTTCCAGGCTAGGATTTTCGATCATTCTTCAGAGAGATATAACCTAGAGACCATAGTGAGTCTAACCTGACCCACTCACTCTACCCTACTGTACGACCGCTCCTGCTCTCCTGTGCCCATCTCCACTTCCGTCGGGGACTATTGCGGATTCCGCGGTCCCCGACGGAGCGGCACGATGAAGTCAGTTTTGACTGCAGTCTTTCGCCGGAGAGTTCTCTAGAGAGAGGGACAAGGGGGAAGAGGGAGAGGAAGAGAGGAAGAGAGAGAGAGGCGGAAGATTCAGAGAGGGAAGCGAGATTGTAGACTGTTGGGACATATCTGTTTCTCCTTACCCTACCCCTGAGATTTGCGCTATAATATCGATGATAAGGTGGGGAGAAGGAAGAAAGAAAAAGAATCCTTTCAAACGTTCTAAAGACTATATGGTCTTTTTTGAATGATGAACCAAGTCTATTCAATTGTTTCCCATTACTCAAACTCCTCCTCTTCATTTCCTTCAATATACCCCCTATTCCCTATTCCCTATCACCAACAAAGCAAAAACAAAAGAAAGAAAAGGAAAGCAACCCCCTCCTAGCCTAGCACTCCATCCTCCATCCTCCATCCTACTCCTCCTTAGCCAGCCAACTACCTCCTAGCTCCAACAAGTTACTTACTACTAGTAGGTTAGGTATGTACCTACGGTACCTTACCTCCTCCCTTCCCTCATAAAACCAACCAGACTAAGGTATGTAACTAGCACTACCTCCTACCTTACTCTCCCTCCTAGCTCCTAGCTCCTTGACTTATAGATTCAACATTAGGTAAAATTTCCACAACAATATGAAACCCTCCGTCTCCATCTTCGTCTTTATCAAAAAAGAGGGGGGGTCTAGTTGTACTAGACAGACAGACCAGACTCTCTCTGCGACAGACTACCTCAGGTATAGTTTTAAGGTAGGAGGTAGCAGACATGTTTTTGATCGAAGGGAATCTACTTGAGTCGAGCTAAGTCGAGTCGAGCAGAGAGAGAGAGAGAGAGAGAGAGAGAGAGAGAGAGAGAGAGAGAGAGAGAGAGAGAGAGAGAGAGAGAGAGAGAGAGAGAGAGAGAGAGAGCTGAATCGAGAGTGTCTATTTGCCTACTTGCCTGTCTGTCTAAGAGAGGAGTCAGTTCCTTGCCTCAGGCTGCCTCGGCCTCTCTATGGCGTACCCAATTTTGACAGTAATGTCAAATTTAGGTACCTAGGTAGAAACTGAACTTACTGAGGTCGTTTCATTCCACGAACTGAGCTTTTTCCTTCTCTTCTCCTCCTCCTCCTCCTCCTTCTCCTTCTGTGATGCAACTCCTCGGCATGCTGCAGGATCAGGACCATGCTATCGATAGAAGGGAGGTACGATATAAGCTTCGCTGAAAGAGGAACGCGTTGAATTGTTACTTTCATTTTCGTGTGGACTTTCCCAGACTGCCCCATGGCAAGCCTCGGGGGGCCGATATGTACACTTCCCCATCCACTTCCCCCGTATTCTCTTCCTCCAGCGCTCCTGATCCTCCCATATATCAGGAAACAATACCTGTCAATACCGCTCAAACATTAATCCTCTCTATGTTTCGACGCCTTCCCGCTTCCCTTCTCACCTTCGCACACGGTAGTGGGTTGTGTACGACAGGTACTGCCGCCTCCCTCCCCAGAAAATGCCCCGAGGAAAAAAAAGGCGCCTCATCCCGCCATCTTCTAATGCAGTTTTCAAATGAATGACAAGAAAAGAATTCAATATGTCCCAGCGTTCGTGTAAGACTGGGTCGCTGGTTGTGTATGTGCAAACCCCACCCAGACCCCAGGTCCGCATGACATCTATAGTGTTGCAAGCAAAAGTGAAGAAAGGATTCCGTGGCAGCTGTGTGCACTACGCAGGGCTAGGGTCATGATGCAATGATGTCGCGCCGAGTCTAAATGCAATGGTGGTTCGTAACGCTCGTTATGGGCAATGGCAAAGGTCGCTTTCCAAACTCGAGTTCTAAGCATAGCTTGTCAAGTCCATCTTGGGACGGAGTTGTGTGGCGAGGTCGTCTCTCGTGGTGACCATCTCTTTCGGTATACGCGATACACGATAGGCGCCATCTCGAACGGCGTGTTGCTGCATGGCAGAAATACCCGAGCGATTGCTGCGTATACTGCCAGCATCACTTCCGCTATTTCCAGCCGGATCACGGATCTTGGATGGTGGTGCAAAGTCCAAGGCGGTAAATGTTCCAGATCTTCTCAGATGGTGAGGGGATGGTAGCACGTCTAACGCGTCGAAAGATGATGCCAATGGCGTGAAAGCACGCACGCTCGGACTGTATGGTCGTGACACGCCCAAAGGTGAGTCTGGTCGTCGACCATTCTGCAGCTCACGGAACGAGCTTGGCGGCGCAAAGTCCATCGAGTTGAAGACCATGTCGTCCTCTTTGAGTTTGTGCGGTGTGGGCAGACTGTTGAGTGCTTTCGGAGGTGGGAGCACCTTCTTGGGCATGGGTCGTCCTCTGGGTCCACCACCGGACATGGTCGAGTATGCCAGTGATGGGCGTCTCGAGTGGTAATGGAAGCCGGTGGACGAGTTATCGCTCACGCGCGGTCTGGCGCGGGGTGGCGGCGTCATGGCTCTTCGAGCAGGGCCTTGTGCCCATGGCTTTGGGTGCTGCTCCTGCGCGTAATATCCACCGCTGGCTGGATCGTACACTACACCGTCCAGGTAGCTGTCATCATACACGTAGCCAGGCTCGGTATACTGCGCATTCGCAGGGTGTGGCTTGCTGTCATCAAAGTACTCCTTGTAGAACGAGCGAATTCTATTTGCGCGGACTTCGGGATTGTCCTCGGGCACGTCAGGTGGTAACGGCCTGACGCCCATAACAGAGAGCCTGTTACCAGCTGCGATGGGTGCAGCCAGACTTTGTTTGCGTTCAGAGAATGCACTGGCAGGCGTCGGATCCTCGTTACCATACTCCGTGTAGATCATCATCGGATCGATGTCGTACGGTGCATCGTGATCGGTGACTGTCACGGTGTGAAGAGGCGCCCTGGAAACAGGAGCAGCAGGCTCGTCGTCTCCATAGTTGCTGGACTCTGGTCGGCTGGATTGATCAGCAGTCAGCATAGAGTCGCCTCTGGAGTTGAAGGAAGTGGAAGCAGTGGTGCTGGACATCCTAGGGGGAGGTGGTGGTAGCTGCTTGGCCACTGGCTCAGGAACCGTAGGCTCGTTGATGACGATCGAAGGAGAAGGCAAAGCCTCGCGTGGGGCGACCTGAAGTTCCTTTTCAAGAATTCCGGGGAGGCTCTTGTCCGGACCTGGGTTGTGGATAGCGGGAGGCACATTACTTCGGCTGATCGAGCCGTTCTTTTGACGAGGTAGCGGCAAGTCCCCAGAGGTAGTGATCTCTCGCGGTGACATTGAATCTGCTCGCTTCTCCAGCACGGTTTGAGACATGGGGCGAGCGTGAGCGAGCAGCCCCGCTTTGTCTTGCAGCGTGGAGTGATGTCCTGTGGACATGGAATACAGCGAGCCGTTGTCGCCCTGGAAGCGACCCGTTCGGATGGACCCGCCATCGGTGGAAGGTCGCATCAGGGTCACAGGCCGATATGGATCGTGTTCATCATGCGTCCTCGCCAAGCTATGTATCGATTCGTGGGAGCCGTTGAGTCCCGGTGGTAGCATGTAGGGACTGCCAATGTTCATGTCCATTGACAGCCCGGGAGTTCGCTTTGGCCGTCCATGGCCGCTGATCTCCTGCACGCTCATCTCAGGATGCTGCTTTTTTGAATTCTTGGATCGGTTCGATTTCGCATAGGCTGGCTCCACGCCGTCCATGCCAAAATCCAAGGACTTATGCGGGTCATGCAAGTCTTCATGCTTCTGCTTCGTGCGCATTCTGCGGTGCAAGACGGCGAGGATGACAGCAGCAATGACTAAAGGAACGCTGGCGAGGAGGTTAGCATCAGTCGGTTTACAATAGCCATCTGCTCCGCAGGTGGAAAGCGCACTCACATGACACCCATGGCAATAGCAATATTCTGCACATTCTGTTGCTTCGCGGGCGTTTCGCACAGGTTCTTGTCAGTACACGTCGCCTTGGCGCTGCTGCTGGTGGTGCTCCGCTTCGCCATGACATTCGTAGCCTCCTGCACGATTCCATCTGCTGCACGTTTGATCTTTTTCCGGTAGGCCTCACTCAGGGCCATATTGGAGTGCATATTGACCGCTCCTCAGTTCTCTTGGTAGCGCGGCCGCGGTGGTGCCTAATGGCGGTGCGGTGCACTGTTCTGGCAATGGCGAGATAGGCGAGGAAACCGAGCTCGGGGGGTGATGCGGTGCGGTGCGATGTGAGTTCGCAAACAGGCAGGAGGGCTCCTACTGTGACGTCGACTGCTGAAGCATTGGTATCGCGCGTGTGGCAGTTGTCAGTCTGTTAAATCTCACGCGTCGCTCTTGTGGTGAGTATGAGATGAGGATGGTGATGATGATGATGCGACCGCTGCTGTTGCTGTTTCAGGAGTTTCGGATATTCGTTTCTGGCTCCGGCGAACCGGTAAAGAGCGTGTTTGTGGTGGTGGTGGTGGGTGATTGATATTACGGTGAGTACAGTGAGAGAGTGACTGTGGTCGGAGCGGGAGGGCGTCGTCGGGGCGGCGGAGGGGGGGTGCTGAAGAGCAGTGGTGGTGGTAGAGGAGGTGGTGGTGTCGATGAGGTGCAAACGAGTGTGGTGGCCGGTGAGAACAGAATCGGGAAGTGGGAACTGGAGAGAGAGCTGGAGCGTCTCGACCAGGCCAGAGACCAGAGAGAGTGTTGGGCAATGCTCTCCTTTCTGTTTGGAATGGAACAAGAGGCCCCACTCGGCCGACTGTCATTGGCCGTTTCAAGTCCCGGGATCTTGATTGCGCTTCAATATAATCTCTCTACCCACTACTGATACCTCCACCTCCTACAGTAGTAATACTGCTGCCCTGCCCCCCATAAGCCCGACTCGCCGCCTCTTCTTCCTCGTTTGACATCCCTCGCCTCCCTCCCGCCGCTTCTAGACCGCCTTCCCCTTGCCAACCAGTTGCCAACCACCACCACCACCCACTCTCAGTCTCTCTCGAAGAGTCTCGAAGAGATAGTCTCGACATTGCCCATGCGGCCACTCTGCGACAGACGCCCGTACTACAGTCAGGTAGGTAGTACTGCACCACCACCACCACAATCACATCTGTCGTCGCCGATCTGCTGTGTGATATACCGTCGACTAGCACACATGCTGCACATGCTGCGGCGACCGTTGGTGCCGTGTTCCTGCACCGAGCGCCATCGACGACAATGGCGGTTCCGGGTGTTCCTGGCCGAGACTTCATTTGCCCTGTGCCTCCCTGCAGGAACCCGTCCAGCTCCAGCAACGAGCCAATGGAAACGGCCGGTCTCAATGCGAGACAGACTTTAGTGCCGCTTCGGTCTTTCGCCTCGTGCTTTAGCGCTTGGCCAAGTAGTGCGAATCCTTCTCGAAGAGCTCTTGTTGAACCCATTGGTGGAGGTAGGCACATGTACATGTACTGTAGTAGTTCTATCATGATGACCTCTACCTAATGTATTTGTCGAGAGAGCCATGTCCCACCGCGTTGCGAGAACTAGAATCTCCTCATGCTTCTCATATCAATTGTGACCCAAAACAAAACAAAATCACCCAAATCGGGCAATAAAGAGGTAATAAGTTAATAACTATCGTATCGACGTATCGACGCATCCCTTTCACATACAGTAACAGTGTGTGTGCGTTGATGAGTCGTGGGCTCTGTCAAAGCACCCGAAAAATGCTGCAGGACTTGAAAAAACCTCCCCCTACAACACCCATCCTAGCAGGATCTACGCAGTGTAATTTCCGTTCGGACCCGCCCAAAAAAAGGAACTTGAGACCACGCGACTCGGGTGCAACACACGCACGTGAAATAAAGGATCTACTACAATAGATCATGATGATGACGAGTCTCCATCGCATTGCTTTGCTCCCTTTTTTTTCTTTCTCCTGTGTATGTATCCCTTAGGGTTTCTTCTCCATGTGGAAAAGGTTGCTGTTGCTGTCGATCACAACGATGAAGATGGATAATATGTTGTTGTTACTGGCAACCCCCCCGCCCAGCACCGGGCCACACAGTCCAGTCTTTCTCACACTGATACGGGGTAACGGGGACGAGCCTGGTCATACGTCTGAGCGTTCTAAAAGCGTTCATATTACTATAGGGAACATTGATCTCCTTGATTTCCACTCTCATCACAAAGGAAAGTAGGAGAACTGGGAGGTCGCATCGGGTCAGACATACAGGCACATCACACATTCGTCCGATCTGTCATTGCCGTGTTGCACCGACCGTGTACAGGCGAGGCCATGGCCGTGAAGAAACGGTATCGTGAATTGCCTGAAGAAGAAGATGACTTAAATGAGAAACCCCCTGCGAAGCAAAAACATCCCAAAGAGGTTGCCAGCCTCCAGGTCTCGGGCTTGCACGCTGCCAAATGGGACTTGAATGTGACTTTGCAATCATCTACTACACACGATGAAGAAGCCGACTGTCGCACACGACATTGTCATTATCGCCGTCTGGGAACGGATGATTGCATAGTTGGCATTGATTGCATGAGTGGGTGGGTTGAGTTGGTGGCACAGACGTTGCCCCTGCTCAGAAGTCTATTGATCGCGAATGCACGTACCTTCAGGGCCTGAGGCCGCCGCCTTGAGCCAAGACTTCGACTACACACTCTCTCGCAAGAACTGCTCCTTTGGTCTACATGCACCTACAACTGCTTTGAGAATCCTTTCCTTTTTTGCTAGTCGAATTTGTCCTCTGCAACCAGTCCACATCTGGTGTGGAAATCAGGTAGAGGCCAGGTCAAGGTTGGGTGTGATCGATAGTGGCAATAACGTTTCCATTGATTCGAGAAACGGGCTGCACATTGTCAATACCTGATGTAGGCAGCTCTTTCGTGAGCCATGTACATCATGAGTACATGTAGGTAGTGGCCCTCTGGAGCACCTTGAGAGGACAATGTTTTCCCACCCTCGTCCCATCATGGACGGACGCCCCGCAAAGCTCGTTGTCGAGAAGTTGCCAAACGTAGTGTCAGTGTCTGTCATAGGCCTCATAAAGGCAGCCTCAAGTCGCTAGTAGACACTCTTGCTCTCTCAATCGTACGACACTTCGCGTACGTATTTCTCGCCACATGCACCTGGACTCCATCCAGCTCAAAAGATTGTCTGCGGCGAAAGCTCTGCGCGAGTGTATATAGCGAGCGTCTTCGACTTCTGTTTGAAGGGCTAACATACAGGTACCTTGCTGCGTGGCGGCGAGTGCTTGTTCTGAGAAAAGCACGTATGAGGACGCTCCAGTTAGGTTGTGGCCATGGCGCTTCGAGCGCAGCTGTGCGTAGTGTTCTTGACAGGCAGATATGCTCCTTCATTATTCCAATACTTGGTACCCGCGACTACTGCAAGAAGGCTAGGTGACATTGTACCTGCTTGCACATGAGATGTGTTGAGTACCTTAGTGTTTGCGTGCCGCAGAGCCGTGACCATCTGTTCAAGGTGGCATTGGACATCCAGGTCATCTCATCTCACTTCGATGCATCGCCGCTGTAACGAGTTCGATGTAGCATAAGGCACTAGGTACCTACCTAGGTAGCATTGCTTTTCCAGTGTCAATCTGGCCTCAATAGCGACCGTGTCTCCTGCCTCACTCAATTAGCAACTACCTCTTTGGCACCATACTCACCTTCCTGACATTGATCCTGCCTCCGTAGTGGTGTAAACACAGCCCAAGGTCCTTTGTTAAAAGCCGCCGCATTTCCTGTTCCCTTCATCTTTCATTCTACTCTTCACACAACTCCTCCTCTTCTTCCATTCCATACCACATCATCCAACGCAACCGTGACGGCTTCTTCGACACTATCTCCTTGCCAGCACAGTGTTCGCCTTCTTTACACACGACGTCCCATTACCGGAGCTGCAACTTGCTCCTGACTTCAGAGGCATGTTTGGCAGACGTACCGTGACCAGCCTCAGTTGCCCAATGCTGATCCACAGATACCGCAGTTTCTCATCAGCAGTCAGAAGCCAGCTTTCCCACAAGATTCTCCACGAAGCTCGATCAACCATGACAGCCGGTGCCACCACGCCAGGCGTCCCCAGAGCAACAACTTCGGAAAGGCGGGTATCCCTGTGCTATGCGAGCGACAAGTTCTTACATATTTATCTGAGCCCCCGGGCAATGCAGAAAAAATCCAAAGACTCGAGCATCTGGGGGTACTCGCGCGGGGGTGGGTCAGTGCACTTATGGCTGACCCCCGCCCAGAATTGTTCATATTTCTTCCACGACGCACGACGCACGACGATCGCACGAACACATGACGACGACACATCACGACCTTCTCGGTCGACAGCCGTTCGTTTCAGACCCATGATTAGGTATCGATGGCGCCCACGCACAACCAGACCAAGGCGGCTGCTCACAGTCAGCCAGCTCTCGGCGGTTGTGTCGCAAGCATCGTCGAGCTCAGAGGGGCTGAAAGGCAAGTCGTGTGCACACTGGCGGCTTGGCCGTTGCGATTCTTGTGCTGACTTGCGCCCATGTGGTCGACGTCCTCCTTCACGACAGCACCGCCGCTCGAACCGGGGTGGGAAAGAACGAGCGACTGCGACATGCGCGATCTGCACCGAATCACCGGGCGATGGATGGAACCATTGATCACTGGTCACCACACAGATATTCCGACTGTGTCGCGATATCGCTAGTGGCGTGGAGGGGACGGTATTTGAGGTCGCTGCTTCTGGCTTCGGAATAGTGCTTGATGGATGACGGATGGCGGTGGTGGCGTGTCGGGCAGATCGATAGAGCTTGTGTTGAATTCAGTGCCGCAACACGTTGTTTTCTTCCCTCCAGTGCAGCCGTGAAGAATATGAGAGCAGCGACGCTCAAGAGAAATTACACATATATTTTCCCGCGAAGAAAGAAAGATGGAAGAAAAAAGTAGAAGAGAGAATGTGGCAGGAGCAAAAAGGCCTTGATCAAATGCCAAGAATGGAGAGAGCATCAGTACAGGTATCGACATTGTTATGAACCATGGGCGAGAGTGAAATTGTGAATGGTACATGGTTCAATAGCATAAAGTACTGATGTACCGTGGAGCCAAATCAGCCAATACCTTATGCTTACTCTGTGCAGTGTGCGGAAGTGCTGTCAGTAGGCAAGGCCCGGCACGGCCCGGCACGAGCTTGGCGGGGCCTTTCCCAGCGGACATCCAGGGAGGTAGTGAGTCGAATATTGGGAGGTGGGCCAGTACCTTGGTCGTCCCATATTCATTTGATCCTGAGTTTGGTCCGGTTGTTCTGGCTCGGTAGGAGGTACAGGTACCTTTCAGTCTAACAATTGCGACAAAAGTAAGTTGACATCCATATCCAAGAGAGGGAGGGAGGGAGGGAGCGAGCGGCTTTTTTTGGTTTTATCGGCTTTTTGGCAACTTCATCATGGAACCAACCGGATCTGGACAGATAGAGATAGAGAGAGAGAGAGTCCCGTCCTTTTTGAGGATTTCAATAAGAGCTGCCCGACTTGGGACGTACATTCCGATATGTTGAATTGGAGGGATACATACCTGGTATTAAAAAAAAATGGGGGGATGGGATGGGAAAAACACACGTTCTTTTTTTGGCTCGAAATCTTTTTCAAAACAATATCTACCAGAGATGTAAAAAAGACCTGCGAACTTGCATACCTTACCTACCTTAGGTAATGATCAGGACACCTCGGAGGAGGGGTTCCAATTCATTCATACCCCCCGTTCACCCCGAATCCCGCCTACTAGAAGACACACACGAGAGAGAGCGAGAGAGCGATGCGATGCTGTTAAAGCAATCACCACGTCTCGTCATCCCAGCTGTCGTACCTTTTCATATCTACCGGCCTGATCCAACTTAGATCCTCATACATCGCATCATCGCTAGCGTCCGAATCTTGGTCGTCCTGCCATTCGTCCCGCCATTCGTCCCGCAATAAGTCCTGAAGCATCTCCCCCTCCGTCTCTTCTTCCGTCTCCTCCTCCGTCTCCTCCTCCGTCTCCTCCTCATTCCACTCCTCCTCCGGCTCCGCATCCCAATTCCAAAGCTTGATCCAGTCCGCAACCTTGCCTTTGAGGAAACACCGAAAGTGAACTTTACAGAACTTATACTCGGATTCATGCGTATGCTCATGAAACATACACGTCGCAGCCCACTTTTCCCGCTTGCGTGCAGTCGACAGATGATGGCGTTTCGAGCAACGTTTGTAAGCATCGCTCCCGTTGGGTTTAACATATTGACCACAATTGGCACAGTCCGATTGCTCTGCTATAACTTCTTTAATGGAGTTGATGTCGCGGTGGAATTCGGCAAGACTTTCCTCATTCCCTGCCTCCTCGAACAGTTTCGAGTATTGATTGACCATATCATCGGGTTCCTTCGAGTCATTGCTCGTGCGGACGACGATATCGAAGGCGATCCATTGGCGGAGAGGCGAGGACCCTGGAACGAGTTGTTGGAGTAAGACCAGATCCTCGTATGATGGTCGTGGGCACTCATCGATGCTGCGCATCTTGATCTGGACCTGTTGGATAATGAGTCTGCGCATGCCGATGCTGTCCAGGAAATCGGCCATAGCGTACAGAGAAAACAGAGTAGAGTATGGCCAGGTCCTCGGGTCGGCGGCGTCGCCATCTTCGAGAAGCTCCTCGATCGACGTTTCTGGGGTTGCAGTCAGAATGAGACGCTGCGTGAACATCCATTGTACGAAGGTGATGAATGCCCACATGTGAATTTGCTCCCTGATGATCACTTTTTGGGAAGTGGCCTCTTCGAATACGGGGTTCGTGAACATGGCGCGAAAGTAGGCTGAGTGTGCACAAATCAGTGTTTTGGGGACATGGAAGCGTCTGACCTCTGGTCTCACGACGAGGAAGATAGTTACCGTGGTAGAATCGCACAATTCTTTGACGTCGGCAATGTACGGCACCGGGCCGTTGACACTTGGGGTCGGGAATTGATCCATCTTCAAGATGGATTGTCTCGTCGGGTTGAGATATGCTGTTGCGCTTGCGCTTTGCTGTTGTGCATCAATTCCCGAGGCACGATATGAGGACTTTATAGGGTGACCCCAGAACTTCTCCAAGCAGAACAGCACTATTCTCATCGTGAGAACAAGGAGTCCATGTTCTTTCAACCCCTTAAGTCGATACTGTTGCCACAATGAAAGCAAGAATCCTTCTTTGAAGCATCAAAGCGCTATGCAAGAAGGACTGCGCTTTCATGCTTTCAGATACGTAGGCACTTCTTTCTATTTTTGTGCGTCCCACGACAAGGCATTTTTCTTAGGTAGAATGAAGACAGTCAACAATGTGATGGCAGTTCCCGGTATTTCCATGGTCGTCTGCGTTTGCGAACGCGTCGCTGCTCTCGTCGACCGGTACCCTTGGCCAGGTATCACGAGCAGCAGGCATAAAATACCTGCATCGATCAGTTTCTGTGTGCTGTCGTCCCTGGATGGACACAGCGTCGTGGAGGCGACTAGAAATGAAAATCTCTCGATTTGGAAAATTTACCACTAAAACTAGACTAGCAGACTGTTCTCTTTTCCGCTCTGTTCACACACAGGTTTTCATCATGTTCAATAACGCCTTCGCTATGCGAGATCCTCTTGAAATCTGCTCGTATACAAAGAAACCCCAAGATGTGGCTGTTCTGTCGTTGCCTTGTACACGCTACGCTCAAATGCAAGGAAAGCAAGATCCTCCAGGGACTTGTTACCGTCTCTCCAAACGCCATGCTGAATTTGGTAGGGTTCACATATGAAATGTTTCTCTGCGATTAGTATTCTCTCATTCTGGAGAGCGATGCCAGCTGCTATCAAACGCTGCGACTTCCAATGGGTGCTCTTCAGGCGTGCTGGGTGGCGGCGGAGACATCAACTATCGTCCTCGAGTGCCGAGATCAACACTGCCAGTGCCGGTCCCCCTTCTTCTTACAGGACGTTGATGCGCGGCGTGCGCACTTCGCGTCCCTGTAGGTGCGTGTGTAGGCGTGATTTGTAAATCGCCACTCACGGCATGCCCAGGCGACAGTAATCTTCCATGATCGGGCATGAGGCTCATCCGGCTACTTCGACTCGGCGGTCTTTGATAGCTGCCGATGTTGCTTCGCTCGTGATGCGGTGGCGGCACTCTACTAGAGCTTCTCGAACTAGAGGAGCCCACGGGAAGGACCGCCAAAGCATTCAACGAGGCCAACGAGGATGAAGAGCCAGTACTGCTATCCCGGCTCATCGGTCTGTTGACGCTCATCGCGCTCGGCCGCCGATCGAGCGTTGGCGGCATCAGTTCGAAGTAGCTACCCCTGCTGCCAACGATCGGCCCAGCACTGAGAGGATTCGAAAAATTCCCAGAAGGACTTTGCGACACGATGGGAATGGGCGGAGTCATTATGCTCACGCTACTTGAACTACGTCGCGACATGGCATAGCCGCCACCTGGCCGTGAAGGCGTTGGGACTGGCCGTCCGTCTGCCACTTCGCTGCTCTTTACAAGATCATTGGCCATTTCGCGCACTAGAATGGCAGGATCGTGACGAGCGAGTTCTTTCACGGGTTCCAGTAAGTTGTAGCGCCGTAGGAGCGAGCCACCATCGCCCATGGAACCGTGCTCAATCATGCCTTGCCCTTCACAAGCATCACAGATGCTGCGAATGACACGCAGCAAGTTGAGGCGCACCAGGGCTTTCTTGGAATGCATCTTGACCGCCGCTCGTTCGAAAAGACTTCGATTGGCCAGGCTAGCAGCAATCGCAGGACTCAACCGAAGCACTTTCTGCAGAGGCTCAAGTAAATTCTCAAAGGCATCTGCCTTGCTCTCGTTAAAGCACTGCACAAGCGCATCGTCGAATCGGAAGGACTGGTCAAGCAAATGTTCCTCCACCTTTGCCGTTTCTTCTTGCAACCAGATGAAGACTGCGTCCAATGCCGTGACAGCCCAATACTGGTCGGCGAGGAGAGACACGTAGAACTGCAGGCCTTTGTTCTGCCACAGAATCTTGCGGCCCACTTTGCCGGAGTGGGCCATGTCGCAAATGATAGGCAATGCGAACTCCTTCAGCGGACGCTCGGTCTTGACGATCTTTTGGAGGAGTGGCACAATGCCTGACAGTGCCGCATCTTCCTGTCTGCCTGTGCTGAGGCGACACAAGTTGTACATGGTTGCCAAGATTTGGTTTGAGATGTCGCGAAAATGTTGAGCGCTCGCTGTCGTGCGGCTGTGCGATGGCATGCTCGAGCCAAGCAGATCGGTAAGCACCTCGATCGCGTTGCTGTTCTGCAATGCGTCCAGGGTGGTCGACAGCATGCTCAGATTCTTGATGAACTTGAGCATGACGACCTGATTCGCAGGTCGTAATCGCCGGAGATCTTTCAGCACCCGCTTCAGTACCATACGGTCGGCGATCAATTCTTTCACATGGTTCTCGGCTTGGCTGAACAGCAAAAAGATGTTGACCACGCGTCCTTCCACAATGTCGGCTAGCTCTCGGTCGTCCTCATCTAGCACCCGGTTCAATACCAAAGAGAGTGGATACAAGACAGCACTTCGAGAGAAGATGCGGCAGAAGTCATTCTTAGGGGTGGGTCCTTGCAACTCGAAAACTGACCATATTCCATTTACGCCAACGAGGACCAGCTCGCGGCCGGCCTCACTGTCGTAGTCTTCTTCCAAAAACTCCACGAGGACATGGAGTCCACCACAAGAGATGAACATCTGCAGCGTCAGACCTGTGTTCTGGTACATCATTCGTACAAAATTTGCTGCCTCGAGTCGAATCTCGGTGGCATACTTCTTGGACGCGAATGAAGATATGATGGGTATACCGCCTACGAAGCACAAGTTCTCCTGGACTTCGATGTTATCCGAAAGGATGACGTTGACGATCCGAAGCAGGCGCAGCACAATGTACGATCTCGTGGTCTCGGAGAGAATCTCCAGTATCGGAAGCATGCCGTGGCTGCTGACAATCACATTCTTGACGTCCGGACTTTCTGCCAGTACCATGACCAGCTGATCGACTATCTCAGCAAGAACGTCCTCTGATTGGCCGGCTTTGAGGTCAGAGACAAGACCCTCGACCACAGCACAGAGACGTGCGTGCTTGTCCCTGGCAACGTTGGATTCCAGGTCGACCTCGTCCAGCTCTTCTTCCAACGCTTTAAACGGGTCCTCTTCCTCCTCGTCATCATCATCATCGCCCCACGAGATGGAGTTGGTCAGCCGAAGCGTGCCACTCGCGTCGCTACTGCCAGAAGACTTGGGGCTCGAGCGGCGGGTCTGAGTGTGTTCTTTGGCGCTTTGCAGACTGATGTGTTGCTGGTCAAACACCAGGTCGGTATCGAAGTCTTCATCGTCATCGTCCTCGGCGTACTTTTGTATCTCGAGACTGGACCTGTTCCGACGCATGGCGGCAGCATCATGAACGAGTTGAGTAGGCGTATGAGTTCTGCGTCGTCGCAAGCTGCCATTCAGCTTCGTCTGTATATTCAGGTCGCGTGGGTTGTAGTTGCGGCCAGGAGAGTAGCCGGCAAGCTTCTTCAGGAATGCATCCTCGTCATGTGGCACCAGATCCGAATAGTCTTCTTCCTCTTCCTCGCGAAAACGATCCTGGTGGGTTGATGTGGGCTGTGCAGGCTTGATCGCCTGTTTCGGAGGCGTACTTCTGAGCTTGGGGATCGCGCTGTGCTTCGAAGCAGGCTTGAGTATTTGTGTCTTGGGCTGCGAGTCCTTGCTAGACTTGCGTTCATGCCTGTCATGCGTTCCACTTCTCTTCGGAGCAATTCCCTGCGGGGGCTGATACTTGATTTCTTCCGACGTTGTGCGAGACGGGTAGTATGGCCGCACCGTCTCCAGCGCATTCCCATCCGTCAGCTCCATGGACGACCGTATCGTGAGCTCGCCCTGGAACTCGGCATCCCAGCCTTCGACTTTGCCATCTGTCTGCGGAATGGCATCAACATGAGCATACTGTTTGAGCTTCTCTGAGCTGAACATGCCCGCGTGTTGCGGCTTCAAGTGGGGGGGAAGCTGCAATCCAGCAATGCCACCGACAAGCGATGCGAAGTCGTCATCCCAATTGTCACGTCGGGTGTTTTCTAAGGGCGATTGGAAGGCTTCCGGCCCCTGTGACCTCCGCTGGCCCAGTCGAAAGGCAGGCTTCGATGCCTGGTCCGGTTTCGCCTTCGTGCCTGCCACACCAGGCTTGGCAGAACTACGTGAAGTCGGGCGAGATGCGATCTTGCTGGATGGTCGGCGACTGCTTCCATTCGAATGGGATGGAGGAGGACTGGCTTTCAACGCCTCGTTCCACTCCTGCACACTCTTGACGGCTTCCGTGTACTCCGTCGGCTTCGCCTTGTTCCCTTTCTTCGCTGATACGATCCAGGGATGCCGGAGCAGCTTCTTGGCGGAGACTCTCAAGTTGGGGTCTTTCTGAAAGCATTGCATGAGGAAGTCTCGTACGAGAGGGCTGGCGCCATCTGGTAAAGGTGGGTGGTCATCGTTGACGATGCGAAATAGGGCGGGCATCGGCGCAAACTTGGAGTACGGCGGCTTGCCGTCAAGCAACTCAATCACCGTGCATCCCAGACTCCATATATCACTCGCGGTGGTGGCTCCCGATAGCTCAATGACTTCCGGTGCCATCCAATATGGAGTGCCCACCACGCTGCCTTCGGCCAGACCGGACTGTTTAGTAGCAACACCAAAATCAGCAAGCTTGATGAGTCCTTCCTTGGTAGTGAGAATGTTGGCTCCTTTGATATCTCTGTGAATGACACCCTGCTCGTGAAGGAAGAGGAGTCCTTGCAGAACCTGCGAGATGTAGAGGGCGACCAGATTCTCGGGGAATTTGCCAAAGTTCTTGCAAATGCTGTGTAAGCTGCCTTGCTCGCAATACTCCAGGATAATGTACAACGAGTCGGTGGATTTGACGAAGCCATGGTACTTGACGATGTTCGGATGATGGAGATTCTTCAGCAGGTCAATCTCTTGCATAATCACATTGAGTTCCGTTTTGGGCATATCAGACAAGCGCACTTGCTTGATGGCGACCGTCTCTCCCGTGGACCAGTTGAGGGCTGCATAGACGCTTCCAAAAGCGCCTCGGCCGAGGCATTGGCCCAATTGCTGCCACATATTAGCACTATACATGACACGCCCATGAAGGTGAAGTGTGCGACTGAGGACAAGATGTCTGTATGTATGGCTGAGACATGGTCTCTCGCCCTGCCTCATGTCTTTCCTCTAGTGGTGGTGGTGGTGGTGGTGGTTGCTGGCAGCACACGTACATAGTCCTTCAGTCCCTCGACCTGTTTGGCGTTTCTCTGCGCCGTCCCGTCTTTGCTGGGCAGCTTTTCTCGCGGAGCCAGCGCGCTCGCGGTACTCGGTCGCCGCGTCGACCTGGCAGGCGCGCTCTTCTCGCCTCCATTTTCCTTATCGGAACTGCCTCTGACCTTCGCGCTGCGAAGAACTCCGCTTCCATTTCCGCCGACGCTCGACTGCTTGGGCGTGGCATGGGGTCTCGCCTGCGAGACATTGGTGCTGCTTCGATGCGATGTCGACGGTCTACTGCTCCCTTGTGCCGGAGTGGCATGTGGCGGTGGTGGTGATATGAGAGGGGCTGGCATGGTGCCCGAAACCATGTGGGTCGCTACTGTTGGCGAATGGTACTCGTGATAGACATTACCTCAGCGTGGTGCTGGCGAGGACGGCGAGGAGAGAGGGTAGTGGTGGTGGAGGAGGGTGGAGGGTGGACAGTGGAGGTGGGCGCCCAGGGCGTGGAGGTGGGCGTGGGCGTGGGAGCAGGTAGTAGTAGTAGTAGTAGTGGGAGGTGGGGTTGGAGGTCTCGCTGTCGCGGTGTGGCTCATGTCTATGAGGAAGGATTGGAAGGAGAGAGAGTGGTGTCGTCGACCGCGCCTGCCCGCCCGTCTCTGCTTCCCTCTGGAGTCGCGACGGAAGGTGTCGTCGTCTGGGGAAGTACCTATTAGGATTACCGTATTCGCGCGTGTTGCGTACGTGCGACCAACCGGGCGCGTTAATGGAAATGGAAAAGGAACAGGTCAACAGGAACAGGAACGAAGTCCTAGGACCAGGCAGCAACAACGACAGAAGACGACGACGACGACGATGGCGACAACAACAACGAGTCGGGCCCGCCAGCACGGTCCACGGCGCAACGAGAGACTACGAGAGACCGGGCGCGTGTGAGGAGGGACCGAGGGAGTAGACTATGCAAGTCTAGGTAGTACTACTGTATGTAGGAACGTATAGCCTGAGCCTATAGGATACCGACAACCTTACCCTACCTAGGACATGTCGTTCTAGGGTCGCGAGTGGACGTCGACGTGTTTGTACCTGACCAGCCCAGCCTGACCTGACTCCCCAGTCTCCCCTGCGCATATTGCGATCAGGGAGAGCTTGGAGCTTAAATCGCCCTGCGCCCGCGTGCGGCGTGCGCCATGATCCGTCTTTTTTTCACTGGAAATACTCGATACCTTAGACTAGGAGGTAGTAGACTACCTAATATAGGTAGTCTAATAATCCCCGTCCACCACTCGTCATTCATTGATTCCATTTCATCAGGTTGTACCTGCAGTCTCCGCCGGCAGTCTCGGCCATTCCGCTCTCGGTGCCGTAGAGCGACGGCCCGATTAGTACAATACGGAGGTAAGGTAGTATACAACAGTCAGGTAGCAGCAAGGTACATGTACTTTTGGGCAGTAATCAACACAGTACATGTACTAACCTAGGTTACCTCCGTACTGTACTGTACTGTTGCTAGATACTGTATCACATCCATATGTACTTCAACATCCTTTCCTCCTCCTCTTCCTCCTCCTCCCGACCATCCAATCATCATGCCAGAAACAATGGATGTCTGGCCTCTACCGGACCTCATCCCGCACATCCGCTCCTGGCGTCTGCATATACCTCCGGAGGTACCTAGGTACCTAGTCACAGTGTTCTCACATACCTAGGTACATAGACCACACGAGAGACCCCTAGCGACCACCACGTCAAGAGAGCTGGCTCGTATATAGCCTCACTCTTTGGTGAATGATGCTGCTGATGATGATGATGATGCTGATGCTGACGATGATACCTCTATCGTTTCAACAGCATGCACCCTCATTCGTAGCCCGCTCATCCGCACACTTGGGAGAAACGCGTTCCTTTTCACTTCATCTCCTTCCCTCTTCGCAATTCAATGTCCTATTTGGGAAGGATGGTTGCTGGATTGACTGCGGATGATGTAAACTTCTGCATACCTATATGAACATGTCTGTTTGGATATATCGTAGAGGTGGAGGAGAGAGATATGCAGAGCATACGACTAAACATTGCGAGCCGTCGTTCAAACGTCTCGTCTACATGTACATCTATCGATCTATCTATCTATACACAATTCCTTTTCGACACTTTTCCTCTACCTGAATTTGCAACATTTTTCACCACCCACCCTCCATCCCCATCTTCCCAAATGCAAGGTATTCACACCTTCACACCCATCTCCCCCAACGCCCTCATCGGTCCAAACTCCAAATACGACCGAAACTGCTCCTCACTCCACGAATATACCAACCCCATCATCGCCGCCGCATTCGCCGAAATCTTCGAACTCGCCTCCTCTCCCACCTGAATCCACGCCTTCGTTCTCGGAATCAGCAGCAAATACTCGTGTGTCAGAATGACATTATGCGCTTGCTCGGGTTTCATGTCCAGCGTGTGGGCGAATTGGGAGTATATTTTTTCGAGATTGGGGCCACTGATCGTCGTCGTCGTCTGGTCGAGATCACGAAGAGCATACGCTGCGTGGCGGAAGGGACAAGAGGGAACAGTATGGTAGCCGGCAGCTTCATCTTTTTTCAGAAGCTGGAGGAAATTCTTCGGATGAGGCTGAGCTTGAGGAATGATTTGAAGGTGTTTATGGCCAACAGAGGAGCCTGCGTCGATTCCACAGTTGAAAATCATCATGTAGCTGTGTGGGGGAAGTTGGGTGAGAACGTCCCATCCGGCTTGGAAGTCGTGGGCGTTCAGAGGGTCTTTTTGGGGCTGGAATTCGAGAGTTGGAAGGACGAATTGGGGTCGCATGACGCAGAATTTGTTGAGGATGAGTTTGTGCGTGTGGTTGATGTTGCCGAGCGTCCAGTCGCCATCGCTGTCGGGGAAGGCGTGGGAGGAGGTGGATTTGGATTGTTCTCTGTCTTGGGGTTTGGATTGGAGGCTGGCCGACACCCGGAACTCGAACTGACGTGACGTTAGTCGATTTGTAAGGCATAGAGGCAGGCATTCTGGAAATGGATACATCGAATGGTTCGCCCTCAATGCGACGTGGGGAGTTTTCAGTCCAGAGAAGTTCGCCTTCTTTGAGCAGTCTATCAAACTGGAGCAGTGCTCGGTCTTCTAGTGATGTGGCGGCCATGGTTGCTTGGGGCCAGTATGACTCTTGTTTGTGGACTGTGTGTGGATGTCGTTGAACTCAGAGGATGTAGGTAGAACGAGAACTACAACATCGGAATCGGGATCGGCAGCTTTGACGCATCATCCATTGCATTCCACAGAAAAACGCCTCAAACATCAAGGTGGCCATTGTGAACACTCTACAGCACCAGCCACTCAGTCAAGATCTAACCCACTACGATGAATGCTCCTATCAGTCCTCGTCGACATCACTGAAATAAAATGAAAAAGAAAACGTCACCATGAATGCCAAAAACGCCAACACTGCTGCTCATCACAACAACAATAGGGGCCTTTTGGTGATAAATGCATTTTCGGATGACTCGGACTTCCCAGCATATCTGCTCGCTACGGCACATCACACCACTACTGACAACGAGGCGTTGACAAGGTTGAAAGGCCCTAAATGGCACTCCACGCGAGCTCATTATTGATCGGCTTCTTTCTGCTCTCACGGTGGCACTAGCAGACTCGAGACAATATGGGTGTTCACCCTGGATTCTCATCGCAGCCATTCGATCGACAACAAAGAACAGCAGGTAAGTTCCACCCACTCCAGCTAAGAAGTCGGTAATGTCATCTGCTTCACTCCATCTGTCACAGCATCCACCGCGTCACCAGTCTGCGCTTTGGCCTCTACTCCATCCCTTGCACTTGCCTCCACACCCGCACCAACACCCTCAGCATTCGCAGCTCTCTCAGCAGCCTTCTTCGCCTTCTTTTTGTCCTTGTCTGCTTTCCTCGCAGCCTTCTTCTTCGCCTCTTCTTCCTTGGCTTTCTTTAACTCATCTCCACCAAACATCTCCTTCCACACCTGGGCCTGTTCGGGCTTGATATTCTTGAAGAGATGGGCTGCTTTGCCGATCTTGTGTCCTGCTGGGATGCTTTCTGCCTTCCAGTCGTCTGGAATGATGAGGAGTTCCGTTTGCAGCTGGGAAAGGATAGCTTTTGTTGTGAGTGGTAGGTAAGGAGCGATCACCGAGGCCAGGAGATGGATGTGTTGGACGGCAATGTTCACGACCGCGTCACAACGGGCCCGTTCGTTGGTGAAGAGGGCATTGTCGAGTTTGTTTGATTGCAGAAGGAGGTTACCCAGTGAGGAGATCTCGCGGGCCACGATGAGAGCACCTTTGAGGTGGACAGCATCCATCTCGGTGATGTACTGCTTCAATTTCTCATTTGTGTCGACCAGATGTTTCTTGAGGCCGGCCGAGACCTCCTCGGGCAGACTGTCTTTGGGCCAGGCCGGGATGACGCTGTCGTAGTTGGCAGAGTTGACGAACTTGAGGACACGATTGACGAAGTTGCCAAAGTTTGCAACAAGCTCATTGTTGTTGGCTGCGATGAACCCATCCCACTCGAACTCGGTATCAGAGGTCTCTGGTCGTCGGAGTAGGAGGAAATATCTCCACACATCGGGTGACACGCCAGTTTCCTAGGGCACATTAGTCTATTTTCTCGGTCCACTTGGGGGAATATTCACCTTGGCACTGTTTCCAAACACGCCAATGTTCCTTGATTTGCTGAACTTCCCATGCTCATAGTTCAGGTACTCGGTCGTCGAAAGCGTGTTGAGCATAGTCCACTTGTCTCCAGTTCCTAATTGCGATGAAGGGAAGACCACGGTGTGGAAAGGCACATTGTCCTTGCCCATGAACTGATAAAGCTTCACATTCTCTGGATTTCGCCACCACTGCTCCCAGTGCTCGGTGTAGTTGGCTGTGATGGACACATAGCCAATGCAAGCATCGAACCACACATACATGACTTTGTCATCGTATCCCTCAAGAGGGACAGGTGTACCCCATTTCAAATCTCTGGTGATACCGCGAGGCTTCAGGCCTTCTCTGATCCATGCATTTGTTATGTTGATGCCGTTGTCGCTCCACACACCGTCGACCTGGCTCTTCTTGTTCCACTCTGCCGTCTTCTCCTGCAACTTGTCGAGTTGAAGGTAGATGTGTTTCGTCTGGCGCACTTCGGGGGTGGCGCCATCCAGCTTACAACGCGGATTTATCAACTCCAGAGGATCTAGCAGATGTCCGCACTTATCACATTGGTCTCCTCTCGCGTCATTGTAGCCACATAGCGGACACTCTCCCTCGACAAATCGATCTGCCAGAAAAGAATTATGTTGTGTGCAGTATGGCTGTTGCGTCGTCTGCTCCTCCAAATACCCATTCTTGTTCAGCTTGGTGAAGATGTCCTGGGCAATTTCCGTCTGCTGCTTCGTGGGAGTGCGGCCAAAATGGTCAAACTCGATCTCGAACCAGTCATAGACATCCTTGTGCAGCTTATTGTACTTGTCGCACAGTTGCTGCGGCGTCACACCCTCCTCGATGGCCTTGGTCTCGGTGGCAGTGCCGTATTCATCTGTTCCGCAAATGTAAAGGGTCGGGTTGCCTCGCGCCTTGCTGTAGCGAGAAAAGACGTCGGCTGACAGGACGGACCCGATGATGTTGCCCAAGTGCGGCACGTTATTGACGTACGGCAGGGCCGAAGTGATCAAGACATTTCGCTTTCCCTCTTCCGGCAGAATCGCCTGTTTTTTCGTCGTCGTCGTCGTCGTCGCCGTCGTTGCCGTGCTCATGTCGCGTGCTGTGTGCTGGACGAAGAACGGGCGTAATTTCGGTGGAGATGAGGGATCGCACAGGTAGGTTGTGTATTATTCAGGAGGGGCAGGTTCCGGGCAAATTAAACAAAACGTCTTGTGTATGTCGAAGTGGTGGAGTTGTGGTATACCAGTTTGGACCTGTACCTACCTCTTTGTGGAGGAGGACAGTCATAACTTCCCAAACATGCCCTGCCCCGCCATTGGAAGTTTGCAGGGGTCTACGGCCCGTTCCGCAGAACGACCTAACTCCCCCTCCCTCTTCTGGACATGAGCAACCATAGATGTACCTGATAGGCATCCTCTACAGCGAGCCCTAGCTATGAGCCACTTATTTTTCCTTTCTCTGTTGTATTATATGGCTCAGGCATTGCATCAGCAGAGGTTGAAATGCCTGAGCCTGCCCTGGGAGCCGACAGCACATAGCCTCAAGCACTGCCTGCGTTTGTAGCTGGATGGTGACTTGGAGATGGACAGTGCTTCCATATTATATACAGCTACTCTAAATGTACAGTAATTATCGCGCCATAGGAGGTATCATGTTCGTTCGGCTTCGAATCGTCTCAGCTCGGCTTCAACCTCTCCCGATTTTCGATACCTGCGAAGATTGCCCAACGTCCACTCGTCCCATACATGCCCAGCGGTCTCAAGCCTCCTGATAGTATCTATCACGCCTTCGAGATCCTGTTCGTTGGCATATCCACCGAGCAAAGTGTTCCACGTCACGTCATTAGGCTGAATGCCCTTGCCTCGCATATACGTCAATAACTGCTCTGCCAAATGCATTTGTCCGTGGCGTGTGAAACCATGTACGAAGATGGACCACGTCTGAACAGTCGGTCGTGTTCGGCGAGGTTTCGCATCGGCCTCGTCTGGTGCTTGCATGTATTTAACAACTTCTGCGGCATGCAAGAGGCCCCTTTTCGTTTCCACAAAGGTGCATAGGAAAGCGTTGAAGACGTGATCTGACTTCGCCATTGAGGCAAAAGGTTCCCGGCCAGCTTCGATAGCATTTTTGAAACGCTGCCAGATCTCGTATGCTTGGTCGACTGTGCCAGTTTTCTTGAAAGATTGCTCCACAAATGTAGCAAGGAGAATGTAAATGTCCCGACTGCGTGGATGTAGCCGATGCAGACCGTCCTGATTCTCGAGGTGGGATAGCTTCGATGGTAAGAGCCCAACAAGGCGAGGTGCTTCCAGAGTGAAGAGCTGCGCATACGCATCGGCTACAATCTCAAAGGTATTTCCTGGGTGGTGCTTGGTGTGGTGAAGGGCGAGGCAGTGCAATATCTCGGTCGCCACGACTGGTGCTTTGAGGACGTCGATTCCGCCAAGAGCTTCACGAATCGTCTCGTTCAACAATTCGGCGTCGTCAATGGAACTTTTGCAGGCTTTGAGCAATATAGCAAACGTGTAATCGTCAGGCCGCAGACCGTGGTCTCGGATAGAATGGTAAATCTCCATAGCTGTCTTCAGGTCACCAGCCTCAACCGCGTTCAGCATGATGATATTGGTCAAATGATTGTTGAGTGTCACACCAATTCCGACTAGCTTGTCGATGATACGAATACATGTCCGGAGCCCTCCGGGCATTCTGTTGGCTGTGCGAAGTAGGCGGCTGCAGAGTCTGGAAAAGAACGCGCTGTCGATGTCTGTGTGAGCGTTCTTCGCGTGCAACAATGCACCAAGAGCGTTTTCGACCATGTGGCGATCCAGAAATGAGCTGGTAAAATGTAGCCAAGTCGATGAACTCTTCCTGGTTCGTCCGTTCCTCTTCAGGTTTTCATATAGGCGAGAGATCGCCTCATCATTCAAATAATCCAGTATGAAATTATAGAAGGTCCCGTTGAAACATGTTAGACCCTTGAAGGAAGGATGTGTTCGTTCACATGTAGGAAGCGCTTCGACGAGTCGCTTCAGGTTGGTGGCTCGATCATCGCGACGCTGGTATTGCGCAACTAAGCATTGGAGAGCCATTCTCACCTGCAAAAAATATAGACCCCGTCCGCTCGCCAGGACAACGTCGAGGGCAGTTGCTGGATCGTAGTGCAGGAACCACAAGGTCACGGGTCGACACCTTATGGCATAATTCGTGAAAAGGCGACTTATATCGGCGCCTTCATCGAGAGCAGCATAGATTTGCTCAACATCGTCGATTGTTGAAGGTGGAAGTACAGGCAATGGCACCTTTACTTTTCCATTTCCCTCCTCATTATATGCGCGCTTCCTGGGCTGGAAGAAGCGATAAAGAGTCGTCACATTATCCAACCAAGTTCCCTGAGAGCCTAAAGTTTTTTTCCGGTGTATCGCTGCTGCTGAAAGACGTCTCAGCCCTGTTGCAGTCGCGCGAAGATGGGCTTTCTTCGAATGGGAAGGCACATCGTGATTCGAGAGGAGGAGGGTATGTCGATAAGCAGGTCCCTTGCCGACCTGTTGTTCTCGTTTTCGCTGAATCGAGACGTTTCGCGGATGTCGTGCCTGCACACGCTGCTGTGGGATCTGGTCTCGGTGAGCGACTAGAGAACGTCGCGCGCGCCCTACATCCACTTCGGCTCTATTGCCAGTTCCGCGAGGTGTCCTAGCATTCTGCCGTGGGTCGTCTTTGCGAGTGTCTGATAGGGGGGTCTCATTTCCAGCAGCCTGCAAGTAATCCAGATAGGCAGACTCGGCATCTTCCATGACCTTCGTGGAGGCTGGCTTGGGAAAGCTGTCATGTTTGCGGGAACCGGCGACGGATGTGTTGTGAGTGAGGCGGTAGCAGTAGCTGTAGTCGGGCTTCCATAGCGGCAGATATCGAAGTGCTGAGTGTCGAAGTTGGAGGCGGCGGTGATCACGGCAGAGCGTCCGAATGGCGATGAGACATGATGGCATAGGCGAGCATCACATGGGACGAAAGAAAGCAGGTGAAATGAGGCGAGGAGAACCTGAGTAAAGGTGGTTGTTGATACTTCATAAGGGAACGGACTGGAAGACTTTGTCGGAGGTGATCGAGTGAAAGCCCGCTTCTTCCTCTTGGCGCTGGACTTAGAACTTCAGACAACACCTCACTCGGACTCCCTCCAGCCCGTTCCAATAACGACACAAACATCAATTATGGCCTCTACGCAAGCGCTCAGTGCCGCGGCCTCAGACCGTAAAGCTCGTCTTGCCCAGCTCAAGTCGCTCAAGAGAAAAGCTCCGGAAACAGCAGACTCACAGCCGGACGATGGAGCCACAGCAGAAGCTGCCCAAGACGACAAGGAAGACGTGACAGCGCGATATATATCGGGCCGCAACTACGATCATGCCACCAAAGGCGCCAAACTCGGTTTCGAAGCTGGGCCAGATCAAGGCCAGACCACTCTCGAATTGAAGGCCGCGGAACTAGCTGCAGAGACGAAGAGACATGCCGAAGAGGAAGAGAAGAACGACACGCCTCTAGACCTGTTCAAACTACAGCCCAAGAAACCGAACTGGGACTTGAAGCGAGATCTCGATCAAAAGTTGGCCATCCTGAGCGTCAGGACAGATAATGCTATTGCGAGGCTAGTGAGGGAGAGAATACAGAAACAGCAGGAAGCTGCGAAGGGTAGAGTGCAAAGCATTGGTGGAGGAGATGTGGAAGCGCAGGGAATCGAAGGCACTACGCTTGTGGAGGCCACAAACGTGAGGGAGAGAGAGGACGAGGAAGATGCGAGGAGGGAAAGGGAAGAGGACGAGGCTCTATTGGACGGGTCATGAAGGGACATGACTGTATGAAGCGGCGTGGAAAAGGACTGATGAATACTGGCAGCCCGTATAAAGCTGACTGGTGGCTGCGCGGATTCAGGACACCGGTTGGCAGCGAGCGCTTCGCTATACGCTCTGTGCTGCATGTCCTAGCTGCTCAAGGAGTATGACTCCGACTTGCATAGACAAAATTGTCCATGCCATTCAAGAATTGGCTGTGACTGCCTGGCGGGTCTCATTAAAATACCGCCAATGGTATGGCTTGTCATGAATCTGGACGGTCAGGAAGGCCCGGCACGGCATCAGGCACCATCTCAATGATGCTAACTCAAAGCGGAGTGAAGTGACCGAAAGCTCATCGGCGCCATCGAAAAGATGTTATGCACTACTGCCAAGATCATACTATCGACTCTGTATGCTTGTCAGTGCGCTCCAGGGTGATGATTGAGAAAAGGGGGAAGCGAAGGCGCAGTGGTGAAGGTGTTTGTAGCACAGCTCAAGTCGCACCAACGTGAATCCTCGCTTCGATTGAGACTGTATGCACTATGCACTTGTACGAAGAGGGACGAGAACATGAGTCGGTACCACTCACCATCTCGAAGCAAGGACGCCAATAGTGGTGTAAGCAGCGTAGTCGAGACAAATATTCCAACATTGAACTTGCGCTCGGACCCGAGCAGCACATTCACGCACATGGTGCACGCATATTAATTCCATCTCCTTTCGGCTTCCTGCCTTGCACATCTGTCGATCTCGCGGAGGAGAGAGGAGAGAGAGACTCCGCAACTTTTTCTTTCTCAACCAAAATCCTCAACCGCATAACCCCCCCATGCTGACGACGCGAAATGGGAGAAACAAAATAGAAATAAAAAATAAGAATGTCCCGTCGGTGACCGTGACCGTGTGGTGGATCAACTTGCGTTTCGCTCCGAAAGTGACCCGAAACAAAAATGTGGCTGGCTGGCTGGGTCCTTTCGGAGTAATGGTATCGCGACAACGAAAAGCCGGAGGCATACACGTTTTTGAACGTTTGTGGTGGGTCCGTCCGGGGGCGATAGTTGTTATTATTTTAGGGAGGCATAGTTGTTGCTCTCGAGGATAAAAATACCGCAAATATCACATTCACTTTCTTCATGTACCTGATATGGTAGAAAACTAAGAATTAAACTGAGACATTCGAGCGTGATGTGTGCTTTGCGTGATAAGCCTACAGGTCCTATACACAGCGCATGCGTGCTGTTGGTTGAGGACGATGATGATAATCATGCTGATGCTGATGTTGATGATGAATACCTACCTATTTTGTTGGTTTTATCGAAGGCGTGCTGTTGGGTGTTATATTACGTGCTCTGAAACATTCCGAAACCTCAAGGGCGCTTGCGCAAGAGGAGATAGATAGATGTTCATGATTGGTTTTAGGGCGACGGTCTGGGTGTTGTTGGTTGCTTGAAACGTTGACAACTTCCAATCTCACAGCTAGGTACCTGGTATAGGTAGCTTACGTATATCTTGAGTGGCCCTTGAGTAGCCGAAGCCTTTTGCCTCATCTACGCGTGTATAGCCATCGTGTGAGGATCGTGAGACCTGGTGAACCACATGAGACGTCAGCAACATTGTGCTTACATACATGTGTTGATTCCAGCGTCGGACATGTGAATGTTGCCTGCAAACCATCACAGCAGCCTGTCTTTGGAAGGACTTGGACATGCTGGTGGTCGGCAGCTACAAGTTGCCTTGCTGCTGCTAAGCGAGCACCACGAGACACTCTATTTTATAGTACCTCGTACCCACATTCCCACAAGCGCGAGCATGCTTAAAGTAGGTACACAGTACATCACTGCCCGTACATGTATCATGTATGGCTCCACAACGGGCCAAGGCTCACGCCAAGGCCCAGTGGGAGAAAAGGCCGTTGCGGTCAGGATGTGAGAGCCGTCTCCGGGTGAGATGCCAGCGAGTGCTTTCAACGCCTTCTCAACCAGCGATCTTCGCGTAGGGTATGATTCATTGGTCCTGTGGCCTGCTTCGCTATCGTGGCCGCATTTTTGGTCTGTTCTCGGATGTTGTTAAGCGACCTGCAACAAAAGTTGGATAAGGATACTACGCTACGTAAGAAGAAGAGATCTAATGGCTGTCAGAAGCCAGAGAATCTCAGATCCTGGACCGTTTGGATGATGCTGACAGGCACACGACTTCGAGGCTATAGGTGTCGGGCAGTCGCAGACGTCGCAGTCTCGCAGAGCCGGCGGGGGGCCGCAGGAGGCGAATGTGTATCTGAGCTGTCAAAAGATATGGAGCAGCTGAAGCGAGATGTGTGATTCAAGGCAACTTGTGCATCACTCGACAATGGTAACACTTTTGGATGGCTCCACGGCTCCGTACAGTATGCACACTGCTTGCGCTGCACTCCACAACTTGGTTGTTCTTTTTCACGCGGAGAAGCGAGAAGGAACGGCGTGGATGAACAGTGGCCGCGCATGGCACGAGATGTGCAGTCGGCTGCCTCGAAGCCAGAGGCTCAGGGCATGTGTCCTGCGATTTTACACCTCTTACAATGCTGTCGTCGAAGCTGCTGAGCTCCTAGTTCTATGCGACGGTCGACATTCATTCTCACTGACGTGAAGCACGATGGTGTGGCTAGTAGTGTCGGAGGCTTCTCCGCTTGCCTTGGTAAAGGTACCGTTGATGTCTTGCGTCGCGGATGGCAGGTGTTAGGACTAGAGGGATAAGGTCAGGTGGTGGTAGACATTGTTTATGATGATGAGATGAGCTGGTTGTTGGTGTTTGCGGTACGCCGGGGGTGGCGGAGCCCACGAGTGTGCCAGACACGTTGATAGGTACATGTACATGATGTACTCAGGATAGGTACCTACCTACTCACGGTCACACTGCAGATAGGAAATGATAGGAAGTTTCGACGGCCATGCTATTTGATATTGATCGACCAGGAAGTCCATGTTGTCGTCTTTCATTTCGGTCGCCTGTATTGCGGCGATAATAATAATGCCTGACTTGAGACCGCGACTCGGCTCAACAAGGCTCAGGCCTCAGGCCTGAAGTTGGCAGGATTCTGCAGGCTTCGCACTCATTGTCGAGCAGATTTGTGCATGTGAACCGGCATGGTTATTCAGAACGATGCAGGTTCTTGTGATCTGCTACTTCAAGGCTCGAATCGTATAGCCTCGCTTGCCCGCTTGCTTGCTTGCATGCTTGCTTGCATGCATGCATTCATGTTGCCTTTACCTGTCCATGAATAACGATGCGGGGAAAGCGACGAATCCTTCATGCTGCATCCCGTCTTCAGACGCGTGGTCAAAACGGGTAGAGAGGCTTGACCACTTCGAGCGCGCTCGGATCATTGCAGATTGCGACAACGCTTCGAAGCGAGTCCATACAGCGGGTGAGACAGGCCAGTAAGCGCGAAGTGCTTGCAAGCAGGGCCTGGCTCGAGCTCCCCGGTGGAGGTGATGGGCATGAAAAAGCAATGATGAATACAGTAATTAACGATCGATGAGAAATGCGATTGCGAATCTGAGAGATGATGATGACAGAGAAGGAAGGTGAGTTATTAGTTCTGCTAGGAGGTAAGTTAGTGACTACGGGAAATCAATATGCCCCCTCGATCTCACTGGCGCGCTTTGCGCGCTTCCTTCAGGGTCTCATCCATCCTTTTCCGTGGTGGTGTGAGTTGGGCGAAGAAGATGGCTCCCAAGCCACCCAACATACTGTATAGCTAGGTACTGAACAAATGCCTCTATGTGCGAATCAATGGCAAAAGTGCATGTATGATGTAGGGCGTGGAGGTGAAGCTGTTTGGTCAATGGTGTGCAAAGTGTGTGCGTCCAGGGCCTCGTTAGGTATTGAGCCTGGTGCTGGTCGGCGATCATTCTGATCGTGATTGTTACCATACGCCGCACGGTAGTTCTATGTGATTGTGTGTGATTTGGGTTGGGAAAAATGCCCGAGCGCTGAGTGCTGAGCGCCGCATGCGGCATGCCTGCCCTCCCTGCCCTTCCTTGCCCTGCCCGTCACCCGAAGCCAGCAGCAAGCAGCACGTAGAATTGTCCTCCCTCTCAGCTGCAGGCTGCAGAGAGGGTGTAGACTAAAAGGTACTTGCAGACTTGTGGATGGATGGGCGATCGCTCAGTCTCACACGCCAGACGAGGTGGCCAGAAATAGCGGTCGATAAGCAAGCCACCTCACGGTCAGCGGCTGCAGGGCTGCTTGGTGAGCTGCTCCCAGAGGGCCTGGTCCGTCTGGTCTTGTCGACAATGAGAATGCGCTGCCGCTGCGTGATAGGGTGCCGGCAGTGCGTGTCTTTGTGCTCGTGAGCCCGACCGTCGCCCACCATGACGACGCTGCCAGACACGCTTCACACCTTGGGCGGCGAGGCACATTTTGATGAATAAGAAACGACCACGTCCACTCCGTCGTCGGCTATACACAGGCGCCCTCGTGCCGTCGTCTGTGTGCCTCCGATTGCCTGCGCACCTCCGCCGCCCGCCCGCCCGCTCCCTTCCCATCCTATCCAGGCCAGCAGGACGCAGACGCAGACGTAGGACGCACCTCCCGGGGCGCGTTGCGATGTGTCTTGATTCGTGAGGCACACACATGTCATTATTGTCGTTGGGTTGGATCATCGCGTGTGGTGGCGGCTTGGCGAGCGCGGGCTCAGAGCAAAGCATCCGTGCGTCGACGACTTTAGCTCCCGTAGCTGGTCTCGATCTTAATTGGATGTTGGCATCCACCGTGCCCCGCTCAACTGCTATCAGACTAAACTCTGATCCTGAAGAGGAAGAGGCTCGTCGTTGCTGAATGAGCACTACTACTCTGCTGCTGGCTGCCTCTACCACTCCTCTCTCACCACCGCGCCGGTCATCGGCTCTCATTATCAACCACCACCGCCCTTCCATTCTTCGTTATCACCGCGCTTGCTGCCCACCCACCACCCTCTCTTCGCTACCTCGTCTACTCGAGCCTCGCTGCCCCTTCGCCGCCTCCGCCGTTGACGCAGGACCCTGTCGCCTCGACACCGATCCTTGCGCATCCATCTCTCAACAGCGGACGCCTGTTCTTGGCGTCCATAATGATAAGAAGGCGACCCATTGCCCCAACCGCACACGGACGTTCAATGTCCTGCAGGAGCCAGTGTGGTTAGAGCGTAGCTGGATTGCGAGTCTGCTGGCCGCTTTGCATACGGCGACTCGACCCCGCAAGAAAAGCTTCTGGCGCGAGCGTTGAGATTGGCGATGTCAACGGATTCGCTGGAGAGGAACAGCGGAGAGAATGGGTTCCTTGTGGTACTCCCGTCCGGTCAGGACGGCGGCAGTGGCGATGTGGACGACACACCTCGCTCGGAGGCCCCTCCTCCCCTACTCGACGTCACCACACCGCGGACTACGGAAGCAGCGGTGGCCAAGAGCATCGACTACTTCAGTCAATCTTCTGCCGTCGCTGCAGGCAACCAACCACCGCATGGGGACAGTGCAGAGGTCGCTGTGGGCGACTGCACGGCGACCAATGCCCAGGAAGCCAACAAAGCCCAAGGACACACACATCCACCACCAGGCTCCGTCTCCACACCAGACGCCCTGCTGTCTCCACGGCCCGCCGCCCAGCACACTCCTTCCAGTCAGAGCATTGACAGCGTCGAGAGTGTAGACAGTGTAGCGACACTAAAGGCCGCCCGGCCGATTCTTCAACCTTCAGGATCCTCATTCCCGGATCAATCATTTGCAGCATTGCACTCCCAGTACCACGGAACCTACTACCGCCCTTCACATATGCGCAAACCCTTGCCTCCTGTTCCATACAGCCCGGTGGCCAACTTCGCGACTGCGATAGCATCACATCATCCAAGGGCTGGTCAATCTGCGCCCGGCTCTCCTGCTGGCGGTCCCAACTATGGTCTCTTCAGCCCATCATCCATGACAGCTGTGAGATCCGACACTTCGTCGGCGACATATCCGAGTCCATTCTTGCATCACACTCAACGGCACGTGCCCAAGGAAACCCACATCGCCGATGTCGATGTTGACCCGATTTCTGGACGGAAGGTGATCAACCATTACGAAATCATGGATGAACTCGGACGAGGAACGCATGGCAAAGTCAAGCTCGGTCGCGACCTCCACCACGACAATGTCTATGTGGCAATCAAGATTGTGGAACGCTTTTCGAAAAGACGAAAGCTAGGACGGCTCGGCACTACTGAGGACAAGGTAAAGAAGGAGGTCGCCATCTTGAAAAAGGCTCGTCACCCCAACGTGGTGGCACTCTTGGAAGTGATTGATGACCCTTCGCGCAAGAAAGTTTACATTGTGCTCGAGTGGGTAGAGAAGGGCGAGATCAACTGGAGACGGAAAGCACCCAGAGAGATTGCAATGGTAGAAGCACGAAGATACGAAAGAGAAAGCCGCGAAGCGAAGACTGGAAAGCACGACGAGCGCCTCGCAGCACAAGATCGCGCAGTGCTTGAAGAGGCCAAGAAGCGTCTCGACAAACAGAAGAGACGACAGATCAGAACTTATCGACGAATGCGACGCGGTGTCGACGAAGCACCAGAGGTCTGGAGCAACGAAATGGCTGGTGAAGACGATATGAGTGAGGAGTCAGAAGAAGACCGACTGTCCCGGATATCGTCCATCACTGGCGAGATGAGCGTGCCTCTTGCGCAACAAGCGACACAGTGGCTGGACATTGGTGCAGGTAGGCGCATATCACGCACGCCCTCGCCTCTCGTGCCAACACTAGACACTACACCCGCGCGGCCGTCTCGGTTCTTAAGACTAACAGCGGAACCAGAAAACCCATCGCCTACCACCGAGCCGCTCAACATCCCCCGCAACGTTGATTTCAACCTCACTGGCTTGGAAGGGACAATGTACGGCGCCTACGACCCGAATTCCGATCCGAACTCTACAGAGTCGAGCCTCCCTAGCAGTCTTCAGGGCTCTCAGCACGGCAGCGTAGAAGGTCTATCAGAGCTCGCTCACGAAGTCCTGGACTCGCACCTGGACAGCGAGCTTGAATACGTACCAATCATGTCCATGAACGAGATTCGTGGCGCGTTTCGTGATACTGTGCTTGGCCTTCAATACTTGCACTATCAGGGTATCATTCACCGTGACATCAAGCCACCAAACCTACTCGCTACTCACGATAATCACGTGAAGATCTCAGACTTTGGAGTATCTTACCTCGGCCGGCCTATCCACAACGGAGAAGGCGAGGATGTCAGTGAGACTGAAGCACTGGACCTCGACGATGAGGCGAAAGAATTGGCCAAGACTGTGGGAACTCCTGCCTTCTACGCACCCGAACTGTGTACCATCGACCCAACCGATGAGCCACTGCCCGTGACGAACGCTATTGACATATGGGCATTGGGTATTACCCTCTTCTGCATGCTTTTCGCTCGCACGCCATTTGTAGAGAGCGAGTATGTTGTGATGAGAAGCATTGCAGAGGAGGAAGTATACATCCCAGCGCAACGGCTTCTCCCTGTCGACAGCAGGCCTAAATCACGCCCATCTTCACATGGACGAGGGATATCTCCGCAGTGGGCGCGCAAACGAAACGAACTTGAATTTGTCTATGAGGATCTCGGGGACGATCTACTTGATTTACTCCACAAGCTGTTGATCAAGGACCCGCGCAAGCGCATCACACTGGAAGAGATTCGACATCATCCATGGGTGCTCGCAGACATCCCGAATCCGCTTAGGTGGTTTGACGAGTCGGATCCGAGACACCACCAGGAGCATCAGAAGATCGAGATTTCGAACGAAGAACTCAAGGCGGCTGTCGTGCCATTGAATCTGGTGGAGCGTGCCAAAAGCGTAGTCAAGTCCATGCTTGGTAAAGGTCGGGATCTCGTTATGCCTGGCGGAACGGGCCGAGCGCGAGGCAAGTCCAACGCCGGTTCGCCTGCGACGTCTGCGCATTCGTCTAGTAGTACGATCAGTCAAGACGCCAGGCGTTCCAGCATCTTCGGCAGCGAAGAGCTCTTTGTGACCGCACTCAGAACCTCGCATGGCGACTCACATGGCGAGCATCCATTGTCTAAAAGTGTGGCTGCTAGTCCGGAGCAGGAGCACCCAGAAAAGCTTGCCCCCAGACTGAATGGCACCAGCGACTCTAGCGGCCGTCGCAAGAGGATGATACATCGGCCGAGTCCACCTCATCGAGCGATGACAATCACTTCCAATACGCCCTCTATGCGTACAGTTACACAATCTGACTATCAAAGAGGCGTTGTATCGAGGTCGCCTCCACCTCCACCTTCGCCTGGCCTGCCTGGCACGCCTCAGGAAGTGGCGTCCCCAGGCGGCAGTAGTCTTGGGGGCCTTCTTGGTGGCCCCGGTCGCATTATTGACCGTGTCCGTGCTCGGAGCAGACAGAGATCTTTCGATACGCGAGGTCTTTCCAGTGAAAGGGGTTCCGAGACAGGTTCCGTGCAGTCCTCCGATCCTCACGGCGAGGCCAGCGTCGCCATTAGCAGTGCCACGGCTACTGGTCTTGTTCAGCAACCGGACCTCCTCCGTGGTGATTTCACGCCCCAGTCGAGCGCACATAATAGCCCCGCCTCGTCTCGCTCACACTCCGCAGCATCCGACTATCAATATCTGCAGCCCACGCCCGGACCGCTGTCACGCCTTGGCTCGAACAGTTCCCTCACTTCGACTGGACGGCTTGAGGCGTACCGCAAATCGCCAGTGTCGCGTCCTCGTCAGCTCAATGAGTCGACACCAGAAGACTGGGAACGTGCTAAAGTGGAGCAGGTGCGCAGGCGTGTTAACGAGCACCTGCAACGACAACAGGCGGAAATGGCTAATGCCGCTTCATCGGGAACTTGCGGCTCCCCTGCGTCTACTTCAAATGGAACATGTCCTCCCAGTCCGGATGATCATGTAAAGGTGCGACAAGAGTCACAAGTTCCATCCCTCACTGGAGCATCTACACCTGCAACACCTGATGAGGTTCTGAGCCCAAGTGGAACTGCTGACCACTTGCCACCAGCTCTGGCATCGAGTTCCTCAGATTTCGGCTCCGCAGTATCGATGTCGATTAGTAACCCATCGATTCCGTCTGCCATATCTGAAGCGTCATCTGTCGATTTTGGCGAAGCAGACACCAACGTAGGACGAAAGGAGTCTTCGGACGACACTTTGAATTCTTCTGGGCAATACCGCCATAGTGACGAACACTACGACGCGGGCTATTCGCCCGATGAGGAAGCCACGATCAACAGCGATGACGACGACTTTGACTCGTCCTCCGATAGTGACGGCGGCCTTGTCATGTCTCGTCGTAGGTCTGCGGCCAGGGCGGTGCCGACATCCAAGGCGCGACGTGGTACTGGACATTCCATACGATCGAAAAAGTCTTCGCGCAGTGGTTCCAGCAATACAGTCAGGACTCGAGAAAGCATGAAAAAGGTTAGGACCCGAGAAAGCAGCGATGAGCAGACTCGGGTCTCGCTCGATATTCACGAGGAGTGACCTACCCTTTCGCGACACTTCTACGAAACCACTACCTTTTACAACATGAACATCCAATGATGACCTAACGAAATGAAGGATACCCGAATATATGCCCAGAATGAAAGTAATGGCGTATTCAAGCAAGATCTCTACCCTTCTCAAGGAACTCACACCACTCTACCCTTTACTTCTCGATTCATGCTTGCGATGAAGCACTTGCAACCCCTTGTGGCGTATCGATCACAAGTGTATGCATACGATGTTGCATGTCTTGCACACTGAAAAAAAAACTTGGCATTTCGAGCGCAGGCGTTTACAATGATAGACAGGAAAGGATGGGATGACTGAACAGCCTGGGGAGATTCGCAAAAAGTAGCATGGGAGACAGTTTGCACCATACAGAGATGGTGAGTAAGCAAGGAAGCATGGGAAGGAACTTTTGTGTCGCTCCGCCATGCCCTCTTCAAAGGCAAAGTGGCCCCTCTGGCCCTCTGGGCGAGATTTTCTGTGTAGTATATAGCATACGAGAGGAGAGGGCGAGGCATGGCATGGCATGGCACGGCAGTCGTTTTGTGTGTATGTGTGTGTGTGTTCTCTATGAGTTACTCTCCTCTGCATTTGTAGGCGGAATGATGATGATTGATGGAAGGGGGAACGGATGGATGGATGGACGGACGAATGGATGGCCGGATGGATGTGGAGGAGAGGTAACTAACTGCTCGAAGAACCTTTCAACAGTATTCGCACTGCGCGCGTACGCGGAATTTGGAAGTGAGTGTGAGAGCGAGAGCGAGAGTATATGCCTAAGGTATGCTTTGTATTCTTGTATAATACAAGTTATTTTACAGTTCGTTCTTACCTATTGGCGAAAATCTCATCTTCAGAATTATAATACACAAAGAACTACTTATCATCATTGTTCGGGTCCCGAGAAGATAACTATTTACCTATGGTTTTACTACTCTGTTCACGCTTTGTTATCGTCAGTGTAGCTACATGCAGCCACCTGACCTTGGCTATGAGCACTGCCCAGTCCCATCGTCTACGAAACTACCCTACCTGGCTGACCTTAGTTCTATTCCTTTTGCACTGTAATATATTGATTAAATTTTCTCATTGGTTTCGTTGCCGCTGGGCACTGGAGCACGATAGAACAATGATACATGTATGCAGTGATAAGGTAAGGTAAGGTAAGGTAGTGTTATCAGGAGATAGGTATAGATTATATTTCTCTCTCTCTATTGCTCTGCATGACTTTGACGGAAGAGAAGCATAGGTGGTATCTCATGTCTCATCTATTACTGTACATACACATACACACACACACACACACACACACACAGAGGTACCCAAGAACAGAGCCATCGTGATGGACTCTCCACGATGCACGGGATACCATGGGCCACCACTGCCTCTACTGGAAGTCATGACGCAAGCTCTCGGGATTCCAGAGCGCATTCATTCATTGAAGCGAGAATCCCAACGACCCCGAAGAATCTACTATTTAGATTTGATGATCAATCTTCCGTCTACGCTTGCTGTGCTTGTCCGTGCCGTAAAGCCAACAAGGCCCGGACGTCTGTACAATACTGTAGACCTTCGAGCAGGGGTATCAGGTGCAGAAGCTCTTTGTCTGTAGGGTCGCTAATCCATCCTTCGATGGGGATCGCGTTATCTACGTAAAAGGTCAGTAGTGGGCATACATTGTCCGTCTGTTGTCACTTACCCTCGTGAAATATGTAACTCATTGGCGAGTTGTCCAAGATCATTACTTTGCTCAAATCCGGCTCGACCTGAGCAAGGTCTTTAATGTATGCACCGTTCCTGTATGTGCAATGTTGCCTGTAGTACCTCCCCGAAAAGTACTTTCGTTCTCGCTCGAGCCAGTCCACAACCGGATCTGCATATTCCTGAACACTCGCGGTGAAAGCGATCAAGTTGTACCACTTGGAGACTTTCCGCAAGAATTCGTGGCACCCAGGTCGCTCGTGCACATAGTATAATATGGGTACACCTGGGCCAATTTGTACACCAGAAGAGCTTACAGGTCCGCCGAGTCGCACTTCGACCATGTGGCCCGTAGACATCCTATTGCTCTTGGCCATGCTGTGGATCAATGTTTCGTCGAGGTCGATGATCAAGGTCTTCTTCGGCGTAGATGACGGGTATGACAAGATGTAGCTGGGCTGCCTTCGAGGCACTAAAGGTCGTGGCGTGGCAGGTGATCGGGGATACTTCAGCTTGGAGATGGCAGATGAAGTGGGCGACTTCAGCATTGGCGCCACTGCTGCAGCATCTTCTGCACTTGCAGCCTTTGTCCTGGCCATAGGATCTTTGCGTTTCCGCAAGCTATTCTCCCTTATGCGAATGCTCTTCTTTGGCAGGGTGTCATTACTCAGTTGAGATGTACTCGTCTTGGAACGTGTATGTCGCGCAGGGCTGTCATCTGCTTCTCCTTCAGAGGTCCCATACGACACGGTCGAGGCGTTACTGTCCACAGATGGCGAGCGCCTCCCATGCCTCGAAGCTCGCATCTGTGGCTTCTCGCGGAGATGCTGTTGACCGCGCAGGCCCAACTGCTGCGCAGACTGTCGCCTCTTTTGCTGTGTCATCAGATTCTTCAGTCGTGTCAATGGCAAGATGGTGGAGAAGCGGCCTTCCTCGTCGTAGAAGCAGGCAATCACGTATCGCCCGGGCGCAGTAATGGTGGAAAAGACGAGGGTGACGCCGTAGAGCACTGCGGCACCTATGCGATGTGGGAGTCGCCAGACCGAGCCGCTTTCACGCCCCGAAGCGCTGGTGTCGCCGCCATCCAACAAAGGCGTCTTCTCGTCGGCCCATTGTTCCGTATCGTGGGCGTCCTCGTCGCCCGCCCTGCTGACCTCATACGCGCCCTCGTGGCCCAGCTTCTCGGCGAGTGAGCCTATATCGAGTCCCGAGCCGCCGTGTGCCGAGTCGTGCTGTGAGGCCAGTGTGTCCACGCGGGCCGACGAGCTCTTTCGCGATCTCGGAGGAGAAGCGCTGGGGGTGGTGAGCCTCGCGAGGGAGCTGAGGCTGTTCATCGCTATCACCCTTCCATCGGGCTCCTGGGCAACTGTGGCGCAAGTGAGCAAAGCTAGGCAGAGCCGAGCGGAGCAGTGAAGCGCAGTGAAGAGGAGCTCTCGGGCCGTGTGTATATTTTATGTATGCGTAGGCGTTGCTGCAATTCAGCTTGTACGATGGATAAAGGATAGACAAGGGAGAGAAAGTCCTGGATGAAGCGAAGTGAAGTGAAGTGAACGACGCGGCTCGTCTGATAGCGATGGGAGCTGTCTTGCAGTGGACGTCGGAGGCTCGGAGAGCGAGTGGAGGAGGTACCTAAGTCTAGTGGCAGTTGTACTTCTATGCTAGTTCTAGTTGTAGTTAGTCTACCCGCTCCGTCACTTACACAACTGACTGACCTAGAACTATCTCAACTTCACACCCACCACAGACGTCTTCAACGACACACACAACCCGTCAGCTGCCTCGTTTTAATCAGGACATTGTGCCGTTGTCACTCACTCCCGCTTTTCAACCATCACGGCGAGCTGCTGAATGACCCCAAAAATTCCATCGATTTTGTCCAACTGAGTCATCCGCACGACAACAATATCAATCGGCTACTCAGAATCGACCAACACCAACCCACCACATCGAACAAGATGCCCAGCGCGCTTCTCAAGTGGGGGCATCCGCCCTCGCTCGCCACATTTCTCAAGTCACACCAGGAGTTGTCCGTGGACAGCGCCATCGAACACCTGGAAATGCTGCTGAAGGGCCGCCTGATTAAGAATTCCCGCCCGTGTGCAATTGCCACAACCCATCTCTTGCTGCACGTGGTCAGCAGCGGTGAGTGGGATGATTCACAATCGCTTATCAAGCGGATTCGTGAAGTCGGCAGACGCCTGATTGCTGCACGTCCGCGTGAGATGGCTGTGGGTAATATTGTTCGACGCGTTCTCTCCCTGGTCCGAGAAGTTGCAGAGACAGGCAACGAGCAGAATGGCCCGGTTGATGATGGCATCGTTCCCGGCTTCAGTGCACAGCATCATGACTCCAATACTCCAGAGTCGCCGTCAATGAGTGGAAGCATTGAACAGCTGCCTCCTCTCCAGAGACCGCAGATGCCATCTACAGCAGGCTCTCTGTTCAATATTTTTGGACAGCCCGAGGGCTCACTATCAAAATCTTCGCCAATGGGGTCTGGAGCAGCCACACCGGCTCACGGAGGTCAGACACAGGGCAAAATTGAGGAAATCGACCTTCGTGCCGAAGTCTGCGCGGGAATAGACGACCTCTTGGAAGAATTGGACATTGTCGACAGCCAGATTGCTGAATCCGCTCTCGATCACGTCCACAACAACGAGATCATCCTCACCCACACATCCAGCTCCACAGTCCAGAGATTTCTCTATGCTGCAGCAAAAGGCAGCCTCGGTGTCAAAGGACGAAAATTCACAGTCATCCACGCCGAAGCCTACCCCAACGACCACGCCGCCACTCACACCACCATCGTCAGCGGAGCCTCTAAGCCCGGCCCCGAAGACAGACGGTGGAAAGCTCTCACCGAGCTCGGAATCACCGTCATCCTCATCCCTGACACCGCCGTTTTCGCTCTCATGTCCCGCGTCAACAAAGTCATCCTGGCGCCACACACCGTACTCACCAACGGCTCTCTGATCGCCACAGCCGGCGCATCCACCATCGCCCTCGCGGCCAAAACCCACCGCGTCCCCGTCGTCGTCCTCTCGGGCGTGTACAAACTCTCTCCTACATACCCCTTCAAGCCCGCCCATTTGATCGAGTACGGCGACCCGGGACAAGTGTTGGAGTGGCAATCCGATGGGGAGTTTATGGATGCCGTGGATGTGGTGAATCCTCTGTATGACCATGTCGCTGCTGATCTGGTCGATCTGTACATTACGAACTTGGGACCACATGCTCCTAGTTTCCTCTATCGCATTGTGGCGGATCATTATCGTGCAGAGGATATTGACTTGTCTTGATCAGGAGGAATGAAGAGTGAGTGAGTGCCTGCCTTGATTCGGGCGAGACTGGATGGATGGAAGGATGTATGGATGGATGGCTGGCTGGCTGGCTGGCTGGCTGGATGGATGGCTGGCTGGATGGTAGTAGCCCGAGGCTACATGTACTCTACCACCAAGGAGTATGAACTGAACTGTACTGTACTTTTCCCGTGTGTGTTCGTTTCGAGGACACGCCTCTTCTACCTAGGTAGTTCAATAATACTACCTATCACACCTTTCACACCATTTCACGGCTCCTACGTATCCGCTTCGTGTCATAGAGAATATTAGAACCCTTCTTAAGAAATCGTGTGTGGCTGCCAATGTAGTGCAGTACATTTCATATCATATCACCACTACTACTGCTACTACGATTGACTCTCTTGTCTCTTATGTTCCGGTACGCTTCTCAAACTCCCTCCAGCTGCGCCTGCTGCTGATGCTCCTCCTCCGCCAGCACCAGCACCAGCACCGAAAAACCCACTCCTCCCACTATCGCTAGCAGGACTCATCACACTACCTATACTCGGACTTCTGATTGCCCCACCACCACCAATACCTCTCGAACTACTCGCGATACTCGGTCTCCTCGAACCACCCGCCGCACTCCCGGCTTCCGCCTCTCTTTCCAAGAATTCACTCCAAAGCTCCGCCAGACTCTCCCGACTCGCACTCCCAGGCGTGTCAGGGACGAATTCGCCCAGAGTGGGCGTCGAGGGTGTTCGTCTAAAAGGGGACAAGGGTACTCGGAGACTCCCGCCTGCGATGGTGGATGATGATGAGGATGATGAAGTGGTGAATCCATTGCTACCGGCTCGGAGAAGGCCTGCTTGTTCTTTTTGTGTCTCATCCCATCCTAGCAGAGCGGCAATGAGTTGCAGAATTTGGAATTTCTTCGGATCACTTCGGTCCAAGGCTAAAAAGTGCAGGAAGTGATTCGTGACGAGCTGTCGATCGACATTATCTTCTGGTTTGCCGCGTTTGAGGAAGCGGAGAGCCTTAGTCAGATGGTCGTTTAAGATGACGGCTTCGTGGCGGAGCTTGCCGATCAGGAGGTTTTTCTCCTTGACTTCTTTCTCAAAGGGCGCCGCTCGTGCGAGTTCTGCCTGTGTCGTTTCGAGCTGTGTCTTGAAAGATGCTGCTGTCTCTTCTGCGGCTTTGGTGTGGGCTCGTAGGGCGTCCAGCTGTGATTGAGATTGTTCTACCATTTCGCGAAGTTCGCGTTTTCGCTCTTCTTGCAGGTCGCGGAGGGCTCGTTGCAGACCATCGACGGTCGTGGACTGTGTCTCCGCCTCGGATTGAACGCGGGCGAAGGCCTGCTGTTGTGTGGTGAGCTGATCTTCGAGTTCCTGCGTCTTCTCCTCGAGAGCTTCGCGCCGTGACCGTTCTTCTGTGGCCAGGATTTCCCAGTCCTGCATCGCCTGTCTGGCGACCTCGTATTCTTCTCGCAGAGCCGCTTCTCGTTGCACCATGTCGTCGCGCTCCTTGGCCCAGTTGTTGGTCGACAGATTTGTCCGACTTCGCAGAGATTCAATCTCGGCCACTTGGGAGTCAAGGCTGGCGTTCAGTCGGGCAATCTGCTGCTGTAGACGCTCCCCCTCCTGTTGCGCTGTGGCGTTGGCTGTCTCCAGCTCCTCGATCCTCTCTCGCGCCGTCTCCAGCTCCGCCGCGTCTGCCTTCAGCCGTTCACCCAGTTGCGAGCGGATGGTGTTTACTTTGCCCAAGAGATTGCGGTACTGTGTTTCCGCATGCTCCTTGCCTTCCTGCGACTGCTCCAGCTCCTCTTTCACGCCTGACAACTCCTCCTTGTGCTTCTCCTGCAGGCTCTCTAGGGACTTTCGCAGCTGCGTCACCTCTGCTCGCAGACTATCTCGCTCCTGCTGCATCGCGTCCAGGCGTGCGGTGGTATCGGGACGTGTGCTGTCGCCGTCCTCCTCCTCCTCCTCGTCGTCGTCCTCCTCCTCTCCGATCGCTTTCTCTTCCTCAGCACGCGTACCGTCCTCTACCGTCGATGTCGGTATCAATGTCGGGGGCTCGTGATTACTGCCATTTCGGGTGGGGACTTCGTGCTCTCGCTCCTTCGCTTGTAGGTTCTTGGACGTCGTGGGAGCCGTATCAACATCATCCGCCTCTTCCACTTCCTCCTCGTCGTCGTCCTCTGCTACGCGGTCGTCACCGGCTTTGGCGCCATTCGGCTGTGGCTGGATCGTGCCATGGTCCCCAGTCTGCTGCTGATCGGTGGCCTTCTTCTTGCTCTTCTTCTTCTTCTTGTTCTTGCTGGCTGGAGAGACTCAATCATCAGCCATGGTCAATTCGCGTCGGTGGTGCCAATGCCAGTGCCGGTGCCATATCGTGGCCTGGGCCCCTCCGCGTTGCTGTACTAGATGCCCATTCCCCGATTGCTGTGGTCACTTACCTGACTTGCTCGCACTATCTACTTGTGCGCTGACTGCCGACATGGCCTCTGTTGAAGATGCGAGGCTGAGCGATGTATTCTCCTTTCATACACTCTTCGAGCTTCACTCATCAATCACACTCTCTGACACAGGACCACATGGAAACCACCTGGCCAATGTATAAGCCTGCATGCGCGCTAGGTCTAGTCGAGTACGTACCTGGGCTGAAGGCTCTTCCCGAGCTGACTAGATCTACGATTTCCTCACTTGCACCGGGCTTGTCCCGCACTGTCATCATTTCACATGTTTTTCCTCCTCCTCCTGCTGCAGTGGATGATGGCATGGCATATTCCTCATCAAAAAGCAAACACCGGCCGCGGGGTCCAAAGTGTGATATTTGATATGACCTGTACTATGTCTGTCGATTTCTCCCTCTCTCCCTCTTGTGCTCCCTCTGCAGAGAGGAGGAGGCTGTGCATCGCCATAGCATTCCCAGCCGTACTGCCATGCTGCCCTTTATTAGGCCTATTGCCACCTCCCAAAGAAGAAGTAGTAGTAGAAGAAGAAGATCATCCTCTTGGGCCTCGTGACCTCGCCTTTCAGCCACGATCCATCCCTACAGCTTGAAGAGAACTAATAGCCTCAAGCCATTACGACTGCTCTGGCATACCTACATGTACATGTACCCTAACCGTGTATCCGATCACGCATTTCGTCATGGTCAACTACCATTTAACCACGAAAAGCATCTTCACTCCAGCAAGTCTTCTCCCATCCCACAAACGGACGCCAAGTTCACACTCCTGTCAAGAACGAAAAAAGAGTCTCAAAGTCGACATGTCTACCACTGCGAGCGCCACCAGCGATGACCTTTCCCATCGCCAGTACCTTCGATGGGACACTAAGGGCGTTGAAGATCCGCCACCAGGTGAACAAGAAGACATCAAGGCCGTGGCCGAGCAGATCAATACACAGCAACGGCAGCAGTTTGATCACCACCGACATGTCTACACCGGCACGCACTGTCGAACGCACGGCATTGTGAAGGGAACATTCACAGTCCATGATGCTCTTCCACCACACCTTCGTCAAGGCGAACTCTTTGCCCAGCCAGGCTCCTTCCCAGCAGCATGTCGCTATTCGACCGAACCAGGTGACCCAGGCTTTCCCGACACCATACCAACGCCGCGTGGATTCAGTATCAAGCTGTTCAACGTCAAGGGCGACTTCTTGCCCACCGGCGCAGACGGTGCCCACCCACCCACACAAGACATTGAGTTCAACAGCACTCCCGCTATTGAATTGGCAGACGCAAAAACGACGCGAGAGATCTTCAACATCCGCATGGGACTGGGAACGCTTCTCGACACGAAGGAGATGAACCAGGAGCTTGAGAAGAGGAAGGATACGGAATTGCAAAAAGGTCGATTCCAGGTCCCCAATCCTCACCTTGCCTCTCTCCGACAATACTCGCAAACTGCCTACCGTTTCGGCGACTACGTGTTCAAATACTGTCTGGTACCCAACACTGCAACCCAAGAGAAGCTCGCCGACCAGACCATCAGACCCGACACTGATGCTACCGACCAACACCACAAATGGCTCCAAAACTTCCATCAAAACCACGACGCAGAATATCTCTTCCAAGTACAACTTCTCGAGAACTTGGACGAGCAACCGGTAGAATACTCCGGAAAGGAATGGGACTCGAGCAAGTATCCCTGGCAGACTGTGGCAACTCTCCAGATTCCCAAGCAGGAAGCGTTTGACTTGGAGAGGAAAGCCTTTTGGGAAGATCACATGCGATTGGATCCTTGGCACGGTTTGAAGGCATATCAGCCATTGGGTGGGAGTAACAGGTTACGAAAGGTGGTTTATCCGGCTAGTTCGAAGTTGAGGAGGCAGATGAATGGGAGGAAGGAGATTTGGGTCAAGAGTATTGATGAGATTCCGAATTGATCTTGCTCTTGTGGAGTTCAGTGATTTTTTGTAATACACCAGATATGAGGCTTTTCATGATGGACAAAACATCACAGTGCATGAATGATGGGTAGTAATATGGAGAGGAAGTACCTCCTAGTCCAGCAACCTTAAAAAAAAGATCGGGCGACTAGGTATTCAGGCATTATACACCAATACCTAACAAGTAAGGTAGGTACACCGTACATGTACCTACCCGAACGTAGCATATCGCAGCATCGCTGAAGCCTGAGGATAACGGTGAACCCATCCCAAGTCCCGCAGATCATTGTATCATCACCCATCAAGGGATTCAAGGGATTCGCAAGGCTGGAAAGAAACTCTCGCTCCTCTAGAAAGAAGAGGGAGGGTGTTCACTGTTCAATGATTATCTTGTTGTTGTTATTGTTGTCAAAAGTCCGCGACAGTTTGCGTCTTTGGAATATTTCCTATACTATGCTATACTATCCGCATGTCTGAAGTGAATCTGAAAGCAACATCAGAACAAACGCTGCTACTGCTGATGACGTTGCTGCAGCTGCTGATGATGATAGGCTTGTGATACATGTACCTAAGGTACAACCTGCGATCGCTTCATCTCACATGTCAGGCTGTGACCATCGCGGGAAAGTGTGTTTTTTTACCTATGCAAGTTTGAAATTCTATCACTGCACCTTAGACTAGGGGTTCAGTGGTTCACTAGGAGGTACCTCCTAGTCTGAATCTCTGATAATGTCAAGGTTGAGGTCGAGAGGACTTTGGGTCTGCATGAGAAATACCTAAGATAAGTGAACAGCTTCCTCGCATGTCTATCTATCTTTCTCTTCATCGTCTCAATTCGAGTTCTTTTGCTGCTGTGTCGAGGAAGATAGGATGCTGAATTGTAGAACTATGTACAGAACGAAAGGAAAGAAAGAAAGAAAGTCTATCTTCATGTTTAGCCGACGTTTGTGATGACATTCCAAGTCATCATCACACACTTATCAACATGCCAATCCATCACAATGTGACCAGCCGGGGGCGATGGATGGATGGTAAGCGCGGCAAATCTCCTGAATGAATCGTCCAACTTCCAACAAAAAACCCACCCCGGTTTGGTGTTATCGAAGCTGAACGACAAGACACAACAACAAGCTTTTCCTGCGAGATTTGCATTTTCGTGCACAACATCTCTCATTTCTTTTTCTTCCTTTTCCTTTGACCAGGGTGGGGGGCCTTTCACACACAGTTTATTACACGAGGGTGATGAGGCTCATCAACTCGTAGTAGTATGGAAACCGAAGGGCCAAGATTCCAAGACCATCCCATCCCCATCCCTCCTTTTTGAAAAGGCTTGATCGTGGACTTAATTGATGATGAGAGAGAACGACGAACTTGGCTGTGATGTGATTGTATTCGCCCCCTTGTCGAGAGAAATAAATCCTAGTCTTTGACGTTGATGATGATTAATGATGATGATGATGATCCCGCAACAACAAGAGTGATGCTGGATGATGGAAGAAAAGCGGCAATTGCCAATTGGATTTTTATAATTTTATGATTCTTCGTCGCAGCGTGAAGGGAAAATCTCGCTTTCGCTTTTCCCCTGACAGGATAATGTGAACATGGGGTATGCTGGATAGAATGAAACGGTACATTTGGTTGGGTACAGAAAAGGGAAATTTTAGTTCGTATCTGGGGGAAAGCTTATTCGTCTTGTTCACTAGCAAGAGGAGAGAGGCTGGAGAGAGAGAGATGAGAGATGAGGAGAGATGAGGAGAGAGTCTATCTGGGTAGGGTAGGGGAGGTACTAGATACTTCCTCTTTTATGTTTCCCCTTTGCCCTCGTTTTCTGTCTGTCTCTGTCTTCTTTCGCAGTTCGATACTACAAACTACCGTCACTCTTTTTTACAACAACAACAACCGATACGACTTTTCGAAAAAGTCCCTACCAGTCTTTACCAAAACAAAGCAAACAAGCAAGCAATCAATCAATTCTCTTCATTCTCTACAACACATAAATCTCCCAACACTTTCTTCTTCCACCAAAACACACAGGTAACCAACCACCCATCCCAATCCATAATCCTCCTCTTCCATCTCCACCAAAAAACTAACATCCTCCCCACCCAATCCAGCCAAAATGCAATTCCACCACCTCACAACCCTCCTCCTCGCCACCCTCGCCACCGCCGCCCCACTCCCCACCCCTAACACCAACGACCTCTCCACCCGCCAAATCCCCGCCGCAGGAGGTCTGCCCGCCATGAACATGGTCACCGGCCTCCTCAGCCCCGTGACCGGCGCACTGGGTGGACTGGGAGGTTTAGTCAAACGCCAAGGTTTGCCCTCGATGGGAAGTCTGCCCGGATTGAATGAGGTGACGGGAATTTTGGGAAGTGTGACTGGTGGCGGACTTCCTGGTTTGGTGAAGAAGGAGGTTCCTGGGTTGAGTCTTGTTGGAGGGTTGCTTAATGGGGTTACTAGTGCGGCGGGATCTTCGGCGGGGAAGAGTGGGGGAATTTTGTAGAGAGTGAGGGGGAGAGGGAGAGAGATATATGGGGGGAGGTGAAGGGATGGGGGGTTGGGGAGGATGACTTTTCCGCCCTGGAGTGTTGGTTGGAGGGGGAGGGGATGAGGAGGTTTCTTTGTTGTTTGTGTGTACAGTATATGTGCCTTTTCTTTTTCGATATGTCCATGGAAATGAATATGAGAGTTGTTGCTTGCGAATGGATGGACGGTCTTGACGCCGATCCCATTACCTCTCTCTCTATCTCTCTTGACATGAATTCGTCTTCGATGGTTGTCCTCGATGTTTCTATCAATCTCGTCATCATCGCATCGTAAATGGGCTCATGCATCTCCAGAATCAATCAGCCTTGCACGAAAACGGCGAATAACCCTCCGTGCTGAGCGTAATCATCGTCTGAATACTTCCATACCCTCCAAACCCCACCATGGCGCACGCCAGAAGAAACACGACATTAGAACCACACCAGACCAACACGACCTTGGGTGAAGCCTGCTTCGGCGGAGTAAACATTCGCCACCAAGACCACACTTCCCTCTCTCTCTTCATGAGCTCATAACTCTCCGCGAAAGAGGTATCCTCTCCGGCCGCATTGAGGAATTCGACTCCCGTTGTTGGCGCAAAGGAATGATGACACATGTACATACACGTCATGGCGGGTATTCCCAATGCAATCCAGGTCCCGGAGATGGCGGCGATGAGAGCCAAGAGGGGAGAGAAGTATGGTAAGACGTTTGCCAGAATGAAGGCGAGAGCCCATAATAAGACTACAATCACCACCCAGGAGATCAAGGATCGAAAAGTTTTTTCATCGGCGACTTTGGCTTCGTTTCTCACACTTTCCCAGTACCAGGCTTGGATGCGTTTACACGCCAATAGACCTGCGATGACTCCTGCGACGACGATGGTGGGCGTTGCGATTCCGTAGGAGAGTTTGGCGAATAGAGGTGCTGCGGAACTGAGGGCGGGGGAACCGACGTGTGCGCCAGCGTAGTAGTAGATGACGATGGCGACGACCATGTATAAAGAGGACATGCTGATGTTGGTGGCGATGAGGGATTTGCGAAAGTCGGAGGGTCGGTCCATTTCGGCCATGACTTGGAAGTAGGCGAGGTGGCCGGTGAAGGAGACGAGGACGTTGCTGAGTGCCATCATCCAGTCGGCGGCTGCGACGCCGTGTGTTGGCGGGCCGATGGATGCGGTGCCTTCTCCTTCGCCGATGATGGCAATGTCGATCATGGCTATCATTGTAGCTGCTAAGATGGAGAGGCAGGCTGTGGGGTGCAGTTAGTATGGAAACCATCACACTTTCTCCTCGCAAAACTTACATATGATTGAAAAGTATGAATTTGACTTGAAGGTCCTGGGAAGTGTACAAGCAAGGCAGACGAAGAAGCCAATCACCTTGAAGACGACAGTACATTTCCAGCTATTGCCAGCCACGGTATTTGCCATGGTTGCAAACGTGAGAATGTGAGCAGCCATGATGAAAATCAACAATAGTTGGAACAAGCACTCGGCAATGCATTGCCCAGGTCTGCCACCGAGCAGATAGCCGACCTGTCCGAAATTCACAATGTACGGATATCTCATCCGGAAGTAGTAGAGCATGAAGCCAGTGGAAAGAGTCGCCACGCCGAAGATGACAATGACCATGGCGCCCACTACAAGGCCCAGGTCTGCGACGGAAGCGGGTAAGGAGAGAATGCCTAGAGAGACTGTTTCGGCAATGAGAACTGTCGCATGGGTTAGCAAGATGGGCTAAGCACAAAGGGGCTCAATCGATCAATGATGAAGCGGCATACTCATGGTAGCTTGTTGCCAATTGACCTTTTTGTGCGTAATCAGTTCCGGCAGCACCTCTCCTCGACCCAGCTCGCTGCCATGTTCGGACTTTTGTAGTCCAGCTTCGGATCGACCAGAGCTTCCAGTGTTGCTGCTGACTGTGGACAGTTTCTTGCCACGGACTCGAGCTCGCCAAGACGCCTTCTCCGACATTGCAGGATCCATTAGGGTGGCCGATGTGACTTGTCAATGCGGTTCTCGATGGCTCAAGGCTCTGTGATCGCAGTGGTTTGTGGCTTGATTGATTCAAGGCTTACCACAACACGATCAAGGGGACTTCGACAAGCTTGATATGCTTCTCTGTGGTAATTCTTCTTGTGGATATCGAGGTGAGGTCAGCTCTCTCACTACTGCCCGACACCGGACTCTCGTCCTCTGTGATGATGATGAGGGAAATGCGCGTTTGCCACTATGTAGTCATGTTATGTCATGGACCGAATTAATGCCGGAAAAGACTGAAATAGAGAAGTGTCGCAGTGCTGCGCTGGGGAGGCGTGGTGAAAGAAGTAGTAAAGAAGAGGAGTATCAGTCGGTAGAGCGCATAGAGAGTATGAGTTTCTCAAGTATGGGTGGGTGTGCCAGCCCAGCAGTGCATACATACCTCCTACTGTAGGTCGCAAATGGATTGATCGGACCGCACAGGTCAGCTGGCAAGTGAGAGAGTTGGCCAGGACCAATTTAATCATTATTATGAACTGTGGTCCGGCCAGTCTCGAGCTCTGTAATACAGCTAGTCGTTTGGCTAGAGGCGGACGGGAGACACAAGCATAAATTGAGCCAAAGTCTTGACGTTGCATCTCGCTGTCGCTCTCCGACATTGCCGGATGTCACCTGTCCCGCGGGGAGATGCTCTATACAGCGGCGTGTGTGGTCTGGTTGTTGAAAAGGAGGCTAAAGTATGCATCTCTATCACTTTGGCCTTGCGGTCGTCGCGTCTGCTCTATCTGGACTTCAATGTTCATGTAGCCTTCCCTCACCTGCAAATTGTCAGCCCTTCTGATCCATCGTTATACTGCTGGCACCATCGCCTCCTCGACACATAACACCCCGAGTGAAGACAAGTTGTGTGTATGGATGTGTCGGAGTGCCCCCGTCCATGCTGTGATGCAGGAGTGCGTGTTGGCATCGGTGGCATCTGCAGGTAACTGTACCATTCTACCATTGCGAACGTGGTGGACATGTCGTAGGAGTACTCATAGAACATTTCTGTATTCTCAGTGCCTCTTGATCATTCGTAGGAAACACGACAACGATATATTATATATTATCGACCCATATCATCCATCATCAACAGAGTGAACGGACTGAACAGACTGAACAGGGTTAGTCGTCGACGGCTCCGCATCTACGATAAGATGGTTTGATTACACTAGCGCGAACGGGAGCTTGGATGATAAATTGGGGAGGCTGGGCCTTGTCTTCTCACACAACAACACCAGACCAGGATGGCGCAAGAAGCCGCAGCAGACGCACTCGGCAGTCCACGCAGTGACACCTTAGCTTCCCTCTCGTAGGCCATAACAACTTGTACCCATCACCATCACGTAGCCCGCCCACACACACAGACACATCACCACCATCACCACCACCACCACCTCCTCCTCTACCACCATCACCACCACCTCCTCCTCCACCACCTCCCGAGACCTCATCCCCTTCCCATCCCCCTCCGGTCAGAATGGTTGAGCTTCGCAAGAGAAAGGAGGCGCCCCCTCCACCTCCTCCAGCCAAGAAGCGCGCGCCCTCCAAGGCGAAAAAGGACGCACCAAAGGTGGAAAAGGAGGCGGAAGCTGCGAAAGCTCCCGAGGTCGCGGTCGAGGATGCGCCTCCTGCTGCGGTGGAGGAGGCCCCGGCAGCAACCAAGGCGACTGGTCCCCCCAAAGTCGGAGAGAGCATCGAGCTCAATGGCTTCGGCGGCGAAGTCCAGACGCACAGTGAAGAGGCGACTACATTGGCGAAATTGCTCGAGGCGAGCAAATCAGGCGTCGTCTTGTTCACATACCCCAAGGCTTCCACGCCAGGATGTAAGTATGGCTGTGAGGGCGAAGTGCAATGCCATCTATGTTCCCGTAATCATCGTGCTCTATAACCACTGCGCTTCAAGGCAGGCCAGGGGCGGGTTCAGGCATATACGGCCACGAAAAAGTGGACCTGCAATCTGATCACTTTGCGCTTCCGCTACGCCGCGCGCTTGGTATTTGTGAAAAAACCACGTAGCGCCTCAGCGCGATCAAAAGTCAGGATGTCCATCTGACCAGGACTGACACGAGTGGACTTGTAGGCACCACGCAGGTTTGCCTGTTCCGCGACGCATACGACGATCTTACCAAGGCTGGACTGAGCGTCTATGGACTGAGCAATGATTCGCCAAAAGCCAATAAGAACTTTGTGGAGAAGCAGAAGTTGCAATACCCTCTGCTGTGCGATCCTAAGCAGACTCTGATCAGTGCGATTGGCCTGAAGAAGGCGCCCAAGGGAACCACTCGAGGTGTATTTGTCGTGGACAAGACTGGAAAGGTGCTCGCGTCGGAGCCAGGAGGACCAGCGGCCACATTGGAGGTGGTGAAGAAGATTGTCGCTGGCTTGGGAGGAGATGCGGACTCGGATGGCATCAAGCAAGGAGAGGATGTCGTTGCAGCTGAGACTGCGGCCGACGTGGCAGACACAGCCGAGAAGCTGGATGGTGATGGGGCCAGTAAGCTGTGAGGGACCATCTGGAGGAGCAAAGGTAAGGTACGTATTCAATCTGGCTCAGATGGTTGCAGTCTCAGCTGATTGATGTATGTGCAGCAGTAGTCGTAGATGGCCGCGATGCGCAATGAGATGACTCTGTTTTCACCTATCGCGTACTCACACCCTCTTCACTCCATTCTGCTTCCCATTCACTCACTTGCACGTAGATCATTATAATCTTAACTCGGAAGTACAGCAGGTCTTCGACCAGTCTGTCTCATCGTCAGCGCAAATACATTTGTTTCCATCTGGCGGCCCCTTCGTCGCCGACATGCAGCGACTCAATGCGATGCAGCACAAAGGAAGTGCTCGCACAATGATTGCGCACATGCAGCAACCATGAAGTGAGTTCCACGCCAGGGCAAATGGTCGAAAAAGGAGCAAGCTGCTGTCCCGATGTTTACATGAGGTGTGTGAGGATTGTCGCGAGTTAGCTGCAGGAGAACCCCCTTTTCTTCTACCTCTCGCACGGCCCCCTCTCAAATTTTCCTCTCTGCAGACACCATCTCACGCTGTGTCGTTGCACCCATGACACACTCGCCCTCAAAGCGAAGAAAGATAACACCCATCATGGACCACCTTAACGGCGGAGAAGAAGAAGAAGAGAAAGAACAAGGAGAAGAAGAAGTGAAGAACGACGATGGTGGCGTCCCTCTCACCACGTCGTTGTGCGAGCGACTGATCAACAGGACTGTCGGGCCAACACCAACGACTACCGACAACGAGCCTAAGAAGCCCACCATGGTGGATGCCACTATATTCCGGCACCCAGACGCGGCTTGCTTGCACCACGGCAAACAGAAAGGCCGTTGGCGGCACGAAGTTCACGACCACTGCTGCAAGCAACCCTCCAGTACCAACTGCCAGTACCACTGGTCCGTCCCATACTTCCGCATCAAAATTGCCAATGACCCTCTCGCCACTCTGAAGCGCTGGATCATCAACCACAACAGAACTCTCGACGGCGACATCATCCCACGGGATTCCTCTTTGCTATTTGTCATGCTGGGAGTCGAGCGTTTCAATTACGGCTATGTAGCCGACCAGAGCGAGTTCCAACCACACCATCTCCGCCACGCAATCGCCTTCGCCATCGAGCAAATTACTAGCAACTATGCGGAAGAGGAGAGTCTCAGAGAGTATGTGAGTCGCCCACCATATCGGTACCCTCACGTTGCCGGAGGTGCAGCGGACCGACTGGCGCAGGCCATGAAATGGTGGCCGAATGAGCGGCAAACGGCACACATGACACTAGAGGAGTTGTGCGATTGGTTGTTCAAGATGGCCAAGGAATACGATAACTCGCGACAATGGATCGAACGGATGACGGAGGTTGTTGTGAATGCCAAGTGGCAAGAGGCTGAACGCGGAAACGAGGGAGAGATTCAAGACTTATTGAATCTGAACTTCATCGACAAGGAAATGGTCGCTCAGCACTGCGGTTGTTCGGATTCTGAACGGGACTGATGGAGGTCAGAGAGAAGGCCGGCGTCCGTCGGAATGATATGCGGACGTATTGTGTGTTCGCGTGGCCTTGCAAAAGACAACTGCTGGAGGGAGTAATGTTTTGGGCGACTTTCACATGCTTCAATGGGCGCTGCCTGCATTAATGTAATGCTCAGGTTACCGGGCTAGAAGGCTAGTAGCAGAACTAGTCAACTTGTTTGGGGGGGCTAGTCGGGCAGCTGCGTCATTGATGAGCACGAGTGAAGGTGCATGTTTTCTAGACACTGAAAAAAGTGTATAAGCGGCTGTATGCATTGCTTGTCCATATCTCTGCCTCATCTTTCGTTGTTCTTTGCGTGTGTTATCTTGTCACTCGGACCCGATTCTGATTAAGGTAGTGACACTGAGCGGCGAGCTCTATCGAGTCACCGAAGAACATACCTTCACCCCCTCGACCTCGACGCAGGCGGACCTGCCGCTCTTCTACAATTCAATTTCTGCAAAGACCTGAGACAGGACAGCTCTACTAAAGGATGTCTTCGCGCGCTTTGCGTAAGGCGCAGCGCGAACGAGAAGAGGCAGAAACATTGAAGAGACTGGAGCAGGAAGCGCAAGCCCTTGAAGGGGAAGAAGATGACGAGGAGGAAGCCGAGCCAGTGCCTGTAAAGCAGAAGAGCGCCTTTGAGCTACTGCAAGAGCAAGAGGAAGCCGAGGAAGAGGCAGAAGAGGACGAGCAAGACGACGGAGAAGACACGATACCGGACGAGCCAGTCGCAGCAGCGCCGAAGAGCACTACGAACAAGAAGAAAAAGCGGAAGAAGAAGAAGGGTAAAAAGGCGGACGATACGAAAGACAACGCGCAGACAGGCGCGGAGCTGGATGAGATTGATGCTGCGCTGAAAGAGTTGTCGACAAATGGCAATGGATTGCAGCAGCACACCACAGCAGCTGGAGTGGATTACACCTTGAACGAGGCGAATCGTCTTCTAGCAGTGGACACATCACATCTGCATGCGGCAAATGAAATGAGGCGGCTGTTCGGACGTGCTGCGCTGGAAGCAGATCGCGAGGATGGTGCAGCTCCTCGACACGGCATGGGCGGTGGCAATCGACGACAGCAACGACAGCAAGTCGGTCTGAGAGAGGCTCTGCGAGGAGGTCATCGGCAGGATGGTCGATCTGGTCTGTCTGCCATGGCGTTGCGGAGAAACATTTTCATCCAGGGCAAGGAAGACTGGCCACAGGCCACGAGTGGCGGCTTGGGCATGGAGGTGGAGGAGAAGCGCGCTGATGGTACTATTCTGTACAAGTTTGTGCACAATACGTCTTACCAAGGTGTGCAGTCGCAGTTTGAGACTTGTGTTGCCTCTATGGATCCACAGCGTATGATTGTGCTGCTTCAACACAACCCGTACCACATCTCGACATTGCTCCAGGTCTCCGAAATCGCGAAGCAGGAGCGCGATTTCACTACTGCTGGAGATCTCCTAGAACGAGCGCTCTTCTCGTTTGGCAGAGCCGTACACAGCACCTTCGCCAAGACATTAGCGGATGGCAAAGCACGATTGGACTTCCGCAGACCAGAGAATCGAGAATTTTGGCTGGCGAGTTGGCGATATATGCAAAACTTGACGATGCGAGCCACCTATCGCACCGTATATGAGTGGACGAAGATGTTGCTGTCGCTTTCGCCGCAAGACGATCCTTACGCACTGTGGCTGGTGCTGGATCAGTATGCTCTACGATCGAAAGAACACCTCGACTATGTCAATATCAGCCGCAACGTCCTTTTCACACCGGTGCACGAAGGCATGCCCAATGTGCAGTTGAGTCAAGCTTTGGCAGAATGTTCGGCAGGAAACAAGAGCAAAGGTCAACAGCTGCTGTTCTCTGTAGTCGGCAAATACCCCTGGTTTGTAGCTCGGCTGATGCACGAGCTCAACATCGACGCGCCTCCCGCTGTATGGGGTAAAGAAGCAGGCTCGACCAAGGAAAAGCTCTATGCCGAACTATACGCCACACGAGCAAAAGACTTGTGGAATACTCCCGAGCACACCGAACTGCTCCTGGAGATTGCCAGCGCCGTACCTGCAGAAACGCCCTCTGCAACGACCGATTCGTCCGAGATCACACCCAACATCGCCAGACATGTACTCCTATCCGACACTCCAGCGCTCATCGCCCTCGTACCTCGAGAATACACCAGCCAACTCGAAAGCTCATCCGACCCTCTCCCACCTTTCGACTCCATCGTCTCCTATCACCTAGAGCAGCGAACACAGCAGCAACCCGCTCGATCAGGCCCAGCCTCAGCCCGCACTCAGCAACAACAAGAACAAGCCGTCCTCGCCGCAATCCGCCAAGCTCTCGCACGTATGCCCCAACAAGAAGATCCCCAATACGCAGAAACCCACTCCGTCGCACGATTCTTCCGCGACCTTTTCCCCTGGTACAATCAGCGCTATCCGAGAATCCACGACGGCGAGGAGGATGAAAATGAGGATGAAGAAGAAGAGGACGAGGAAGAGCAGCCACCCGCTACAGCAGAAGAAATGATGACTCAAGTTCGCGAAGCAGGGCGTGAAAATGCTTTTGAAGAGTACGCGAGACGTTTCATTCGATTGCGAGGCGGCGAGCAGCCGGAATTGGATGTACAACGTGTTTTTCGCATGTTGACGCAAGGCGCGCCATTGGAGCCGGAGATTCCGGGATTGGGCGCTCTTGAATTGCGGCAATTTGAAGAGATGTTGGGGAATGCAGGGTTGGATTTGGGACAGGTGGTGAGGCATGATGAGCAGCGTATGAATGGGGCTGATGATGATCATGATGATGATAGTGATGATGATGGTGGTGATGATGGGTTTGAAATGCCAGGCGGCTTTCGATAGAATTACATAATCTACCTCACCTAACCTACACGACGAGCGTAACTAAGGTAAGGTAGGTACCTATAGGTAGGTATGTAGTCTTGACAGAATAGTTCTTCGCGTCGACAGTGGCGCCCGCCTGGAAAGTGTTACTGGACGATTTTCTTTTTTTTTTTTCTTTTTCTTTCCGGATCGTGTACTCTCGTTGAATCCTGCTCAATATGGCCATATTCCTCCTGATCGCCGAATTTGTCAAATATTTGTGTGGTTAGGTAGACAGAAGTGAGGCGGAGAGAGAGAGGACCATCAAGTGTGGCAAAATGTAGGTTTTCGACTGTTTTTGACCATCTATTTCTGCTTGGCAATCAGATCAGACAAAGGAGACATGGCGTCTTCCCGATCCAAAATCACCTCTATCAAGTTCAAGCCTGCGACAGTGCGCTCGTCTGCACGATCCAGGGCTTGACGCAGTTCACCCACGGTCTTTGCAACAGCAGTGTGAGAGACGTACTCTCCAGTAGCCTCATTACTCTTCTCTGCGACACCAAAGAAACTCGGCGCTTCCAGGTACCTCCATCTTGCCACGTCGTTGTAGCCCTGATCTTTCCCATGAATACATCGTTCGATGGTGTAGCCATCATTGTTCAGCAGAATGATTGTGACGTTGAGCTTTTCCCGGATGATGGTGGACAGCTCCTGCACCGTCATCTGAAATGAACCGTCTCCTATCAGAAGGACAGCGCGAGGTAATCTCTCCTCATGACGTGGCCACTTGCCAGCTTGATCGAGTTCTCTCTGAGCAAGGGCGGCACCTTGACATGCTGGTAACATGTACCCAATCGATAGCCATGTGGCAGGATTGAAGAATCGAACATGCTTCGGCAATCTGAAGTCGCGGATGCCATATCCTGCGGTGCCCGTCTCGCCCATGATGATATCTCCCGTGCGTAAGTAGTTTTGCGTGAGGGCGTATAGGTTTCTTTGGTCTAGCTTCTCGGTATCTGAAGATTCCAGTGCTGATTTGGTAGTCTGTGCTGTATGCTCTGCGGGTACCTTGTGCAGCTTTGTAACATCAACCTCGTTGAGAAGCAGTGACAGAAACTGCTTGGCAGGTAGGTCGCGGAAGATTTTGTCCTCGGAAGTGACAGACGAGGACTTGAAGAAAATGGTGGTCTTTGTGGGAGGAATTCCGGTCGAAAAGTATGAGTTGGTGCCGGAGAAATGTGGTCCAAAGCACAAGACCAGATCGGCGGTCTTGATGTAGTCCTGGTATTCTTGAGGAGCCCATTGACCCTTGTACACGCCACGCACATTGGGCAAAGTCTCGTCAACACATCCCTTTCCGAAATTTGAGGTCCAAGTGGGCCAGCCAGTGGCCTCAATAAGCCGGTGAAGCTCTTCCAGAATGCCATACGCTAAGCTCTCGCCGTCAACATAGATTGCTGGCTTCTCAGCTTTGCTCATCCGATCCTTAAGAAGACTAATAGCGGGAGCCTCATTGGCAGAGGAGGTGGCGCGTAGAATCTCGATAGGCGTCTCGAGTGTGGCACTGCTCACCGGGACTGCAACCATGTCCACAGGAATCTGTAAGTAGATTGGACGACTGTGAAGCAGGCATTGTGCCAGAGCAGCGTCGAGAAGAGCGGTAGCAGTCCGCGGGTCCGAGAGGTCGGCTTGTGCTACGGTGACATGTTTGTACATGGCGGCGAAGTGGCCATATTCGCCATCGTTCAGTGTGTGATGGATCAGACTCCGCGACTCATGTTGATGTCTGGTGGGGGTGCCGACAATGTGTATGACGGGGGCGAGCTCGGCATAGGCTCCTGCAATAGCGTTGACTGTGGAGGATTCGAAGTTAGAGAAGACGGGACGGGCATGTATAGGTATACCTCCTAGGAGGAAAAGACAGGAAGGAGACGGGATGGGCCGGTGACTAACTCGCACTCAGCTCTCCCACACCAAAGGTGGTGATCAAGGCTCCAATGCCTTTGATTTTCGCATAGCCATCCGCAGCATAGCCTCCATTGAGCTCGTTGCAGCTGCCCGTCCAGTGCAAACCTTGTGGCTCGACGTAATCAAGCAGCTCCAAGTTGTAGTCGCCAGGAACACCGTGAATGGTGCCAACACCGAGCTGCTTGAGCCTGGTGAAGAGATATTCGGCCAGCTTGATCTCGGATGGCATGATGGACTGTACTTCTTGGCTGGGTTATGTGCTCGTTCTTGACCAGTGACCAATGACTACCTTACTGACAGACAGTCGGAGACAGACGGGCGAGAAAGTCAGAGTGACAAGAGACGAGTACTCCAAGTAGGGCAAGAGTTCAGAGGTAAAAGGTCAGGTGCAGTACTGTTGGGAGATTAGCTACGGTATATATAGAAATACTGCCAACTCCCACCTCCTCACTCGAGGCAATCCTAATAGGTATAGACCTTATAAGGTAACATGTACGTATCATATCGATATCATCATCTGTATGCCGGATGGAGAGCACGCCGGTTCCGCTGAAGTTTCGACCGCCTCCAGGAGTGATTCAGGAGCCAGGTACAGTACGAGCTTGCAGTGGAAGCAGCCGGCCATGAGAACCGGGACTCCGGGTGCATCTCCTCCACTTGACTTGTCCTTCAGAGTCCAGACATTCCATCACGCCGAACACTCCGCCATCCACCACAACACTTTGTACAAGCCTTCCATTCCTCGGACCATACTGTCATCCCATAGGTACATAAACGGACATGCCGAAGCGACTTGCTGCATGTGAGCCCTGTCGCGAAGCCAAAGTCTCTTGTGATCATGCCCGACCTACCTGTCGACGTTGCATAGACAGCAATGAATTCGAACTGTGTGTCTATCGCGATCGACCATTCAAAAGGAGACGGACCACTTCCGTTCGCCAGACACCAGATGCTGTCGATGCTTCCGACTCTCGGCCATCTTTGCTTCTACATAATGCCAAAAGTCTCAACGACCATCTGCAAGAACACCTCGTAACAACATCTTCCAATAGCCTGCACAACTCGCCTGCAGCGAGCACATCAGCCCTCCATGTGTATCCTAACCCAGGCTACCAAGGACTATCGAGCCACACCACCATATTCGAGACTGTCAAGGCAAGCGGAGGCAGTGATGATTTCGCATCGTCCAAGTGTGTGCTTCACGAGGCAATAGGAGACCTCGAGGAAGCCGAAGTGGTGCAGCATACGAAATTCCTGGACGACCTCAGACGCCTCGATCTCAATGCCTGCGCCAAACTGATCACAAACTGGGTGTTATCGGGTGTGAATCTGGCCATAGCTGGTCCGCTTGTGATTCCCTGCACAGAAGCCGTTTGTGTCTTGTTCCAATCTCAATCGGGAGCCGAGCTTGCGTCGTCTCTGTTAAGGAACTCTCGTGAGCGGCTCACGACAGATGGCGCCATGAGCATTGCTACTTTCTGTATCACCTACTGTCAGAATGACCCTGGTTGGGCAACGCTGGGTTTGTTCCTTGTTGCTCTGTGCCGAGCAGTCCAGGATACGGCGTGCTTTTCAGCACTGTACACTACGAGGTCTAGTCAAAGACAGCTACAAAAGACATTCCTGCGATGCGCCGATCAATGTCTGGAAATCTGCTTGTCCTTGGACTGTCTCAACGATCTGCAGTTAGTTTTGCAGTACGAGAACTTCATCGCGCACTCCATGTAAGTGCCCGGGATCAAAAGGGTGATGCGTCTTCTCTCGTCCACTGTCTTCTCCTGTATTCCAGAGCGGCATCACACATGTTCCCAAACTGATGCTGACTTCAAATGTTCCCCTCCAGGATCGATGGTGATCAAAGTTTCCATTCGTGGCGTCGCCTGGGCGATGTTGTCAGCTCGCTTTATGCTTTGGGTCATCACGAACGAGTAGACCTTGCTTCACTGAGTTCTGGTGATCTGAGTAGTCTCCGAAGCCAAACATGTGCTCGTGCCTTCTCGGCCGACAAGAACATATCCATCTTCCTTGGACGACCTTATCGAATGCATAGCACTCATAGTACCCTGAAGATGTCGCGCAGCGATATCGATAGCCTCTTTTCTGCATGTTACAGCTTAGCATCCACCAATCCTTTCGACTACACCATCGAGACGACATGGACTGTTGCTTGCGCATTACTGAAGGAAAGGGTTCTCGATCTCGTCCGAGTCGAAGACCCTGTTTGTCGGAAAGAGCAGTCCAAGTTAGTGAGCAATTGATTCGGAGGGTAAGGTACTCCTTGCTAATGATACTAGTGGCATTCTACTGGACTGCGAAGCACTTCTCGCAGCGCTTCCCCATCGCTACCGTCTCACAGACCACCTGAGATCGTTCGAAGGCAATGCCGTAGAGCGAGACTTCGTCGCAAGTGCTGCCTTGAACCTGCTTCATGTCCGCTTCCTTCTACATTCGGTGTTTATGACCAAGACTTCAGAGCCGAGCGAGGAGCTTCTAGGAGTCTCCGGCAACATGTTGAAGTTAGCGGCAGAGGTAGCAGTCTTGCAAAGCTCACTGGACAACTCAGGTACTGGATTCATCTGGAAAGTAAGGATGGCTAATCTGTACAGAATCGTGTGATTGTGCTGATGCCAGCAGTAGATCGCGTTCTATGGCCTCCCTGCTGCAGGTATAATATGTCTGGCCTTGGTCAACCGAAGTCCACTCCTGCATGGCTCTTTCCATACCTCCCAAGCCATTCAGGACCTCGGTGTCTTGGTTGCCCATTTCGATGCTGGAGTGCTCATTCGTCCGGACGAGCCAAATTATGCCCTCTTGCAAGGTGCTACAGTCACGATCAAAAGTGTGCTGAACCGTGTCAGTCTTGGTGTATCTCATTCTGATGTGCCTGGCGACGTTCTCGTCGGCATGCCAGATGCGTCGATTCCTTTCGGAAACGAAACCCTGGACTTTGAGCTGGACTTTTGGACGAATCTCGCAGAGCATCCGGCGTTATATCAAGATGTGTAGCTTAAGCTAAGAATGTGGTCTCCGTGCAGCGCAGAGTGCTGCTCGTGTGACGCGCATCAACAAATGGTGCTATCTTGATTCTGAACACGCCGACTCGCCGAGACTCCGACATGTCGTACTCCAGTCGCGTTGAACGATACCTTACAGTACATGTACATTCCGCCTTATACCTGGGCAAGCTGCCTCCATTACAGACGCTCCCAGGAGGTACCAAGACAGACTCGTTCTTCCTTCCGATACATGACAGCATCGCACAGGTGGGTAGACAACGCAAGGCGTGCAGGGGGCGGAAAGGAGACTGCGTATAAGCACTTGGAGTATGTTATATTGCTTACATGTGCTTCCACTAGATCACTGTGAAAAACACTCCCCCCAGAGACTCACGTCCCCCATGTTGTCGCAAAAGCTTGCCGCCATTACCCTCAATCGAACGGATACCGAACCACTCCCCGTTGGCATCGCTCCAAAGGTGTTCTCGCCACAATACCGTTGGCGTTCAGACCAGCCAAAACCGCAATCGAAGGAATGGACGCATCGATTGAGCGCCGAGTCTCTTCTCCGGCAGGCCTCCACGCTGAAGGCATCTGCGAGCTCCAAAGCCATAGTTCCTATTTGCAATCTTGGTGTTGCTCGTGAGTAACCCCCAGACATGATTTCCACGTCTCAGAGATACTCGCTGAGTGCATCTCACTATTTTTCTAGGTCCCGTTGCGTCGACAATTCCATGGAATGCCATGGCGATGTCGTTGAAGGAGTCTGCCACGGTTGGCATTTCCCCACAAGATAAAAGTGCCTCAATGTCCTGCATCGAGGGCGAGCTTGACTGGGACCTGGGTCATGCACTCAACTATGGCCACTCGGCGGGATCACCGCAACTCCTTCGGTTTATTACCGAGCACGTGGAACTGGTGCATGAGCCACAGATCAGAGACTGGGCCACGAGCTTGACTTGTGGTAACACAAGTGCGCTGGACATCATCCTACGCATGCTGTGTGAACGTGGAGATTGGCTGTTGACTGAAGCATACACGTATCCTGGCACGTTGGAGATGGTGAAGCCCATGGGAATCAGTCTTCTCGGCATTGCGATGGATGAGCAAGGACTTCTTCCGGATGCTCTGGAGCAACAGCTGGTGACGTGGGACTCGACTCGCGGGCGTAAGCCCTTTGTGCTTTATATGATTCCATGTGGACAAAATCCTACTGGTGCGACACAAGGTCTCGAAAGACGCAAAGCGATTTATGAAGTCGCAGAACGCCACGATCTGATCATCGTCGAGGACGATCCGTACTTTTTCCTGAGACTTGGCGAATATGGCGCTTCGCCTCCCGCTTCCGCAGACGAGTACCTGGCCAATCTTCCCCAATCGTACCTTTCTCTCGATCGTTCCGGAAGAGTGCTTCGACTTGATGCAACATCCAAGATTCTGTCCGCAGGCCTGCGTGCTGGTTGGGTCACAGGTTGTGAGCAGCTGATCAACCAATTTATTTACCACACTGAGTTCTGCACCACTGCTGTCAGCGGTCCCTCGCAGATCCTGATGTATAAACTGCTGGATCAGACGTGGGGGCATCTGGGGTTCGTAGAATGGCTTCGGGCCCTCTCATCGCGCTACCGCGAGTCGCGTGATGCATTGATTGCAGCCTGCGAGCGATGGCTTCCCGAAAGCTGTGCTTGGAGTGTGCCTACATGTGGCATGATGGTGTGGGTGCGCGTCGACGTCTCGAAATTTCCCGACTACTCGCGACTCCACGCGCACGAGGTCGAAGATGCAATTCACGCCTCTGCAGTGTCTTCGGGGTTGCTGCTGAGTAAAGGTAGCTGGTTTGCAGTGCAGCAGGCAGAAATTCCCAGCAATGTTATTGCCTTGAGGCTGACGTTTGCTGCTGCGCCCAAGGAATCATTCGATGCTGGCATGAAGTGTCTGAGAGATGCGGTCCTTGGTGTCCAAAGCTGCAGCAGGAATGGTGTTTGAACGTGGTTCCAAAGTCATGAGGAGTCTAGTTTAGGTACCTATCATGAATGATGACTGTTTATTCAAACCTCACAACGGCTTCTGCTAGCAGACATTTCTGCCCTCGCATCGCGTAGCCACATTTTCTTCTTTTTGGGAACAAACAGCATTCTATCAGGCAACACAGTTCTCGTGACGATGATATATTTCATTTTATTTTATTCGTTAAGTGTATGGGCGTGCTTAAAGGTGCATTACTAGCTCTACGACCAAAGGGGGGATCATTATTTCAAAAGAAGCTTAACCTAGGAATTGATTCTGAACCACCGGAGCTAGCGATACGACCGTCAAACAGAGACATATGTCACTCCGATTTCTTCTTTCTGTATACAAACTCATCAGATGCCGAATGATCTATTGAGTTTGAAGTGCCCACCACAGCAAGCGGAGAATACTAGAACTATAGGTACACTTGAATGATTTCAGTAGGAAAAAATCGACCCGTCAACACAGTAGACGGAAGCGTGCTGAGACTTGAGGTAGGTGACACAACAACATCAAAAGCGCCAACAACAACCTCCATGAAGCACAAAGAAGCCAAGAAGCGATAGAAGTATGATCGAGCTGGGCCTGCAGCGGATTTCGCGCTTGCTATCTACCACTGCACTTCCATGGAAAGCCATTCACGTCGCGGGAACCAATGGCAAAGGCACCGTATGCCACCTCACATCTGCCCTCCTCAATGCATACAACCGCTCGCAGTATCGGGAGAAACTCCAGCAATCACCTGTCACACACGGCCGCTTCACCAGTCCTCATCTCGTCGATCGCTGGGACTGCATAGCTTTCAGCAATGGCGGCGCCAGTCATCATGCCATGGACGTCGTGCCCGAGCGAGACTTTTTCGAGGAAGAAAGCGCTGTCAAGGCATTCAATGCGCAGCATAACATTAATGCTTCGGAATTCGAAATTCTCACTGCTACTGCATTTCGCCTCTTTACCCAAAGGGAGCTGGACGTGGCCGTTGTTGAAGTCGGCTTGGGTGGTCTTCTGGACGCGACCAATATCCTCGGAGAGCCAGTATCCGGGTCTACAGAAACTAAACTGATCCGGAAACGGTTCAATCCTGCGAAGTGGCGTCCAAAGCCTCTCATCACTGCTATTACACAGATTGGCCTCGATCATCGCGGATTTCTAGGCAACACACGAGCAGAAATCGCGACTCAAAAGGCCGGGATTATGAAATCAGGCGTTCCTGTAGCATGGGCCCGTGATGCCGAATTGGACATTTTATTCGAATCCAAAGCACGAGAACTGCATGCCCCTGTAATTCGATGGGAAAACATACTACCCCTCATGACACCCAGCGCGTGGCAAGACCTTTCGCCACCGAGGCGAATCAATGGCGAATTGGCCATCATATCCGCATGGACCGCACTCACGAATTTGGGCAGAATTCCCTTCGACGCCACACAAGATGATGAAACATCAACCACCACCACCAATACCAAAAATCTCCGCGACAACCTTCTCGCCGAATGGCAAACCATCATCCAAACCCACACTTTACCCGGCCGACAAGAAACCATCTCTCTCGCACCCATCATGCGCACCAGCACCAGCAAAACAACAACCGCCCTCCTCGACGGCGCCCACAACTCAGATGGAATCCACCACCTCGCCCAAACCGTCCAAAACACTCTTCGCACCCGAAACAAAAAAACCCCCACCCCGATAATTTGGATCCTCGCCCTCTCTGTCTCGTCAGATCGTAATCCCACTCCTATCCTTCAGACTCTTTTGCAACCTGGCGATAGAGTTTTTGCTGTCGAATTCGGTCCTGTGGATGGGATGGATTGGGTGCAAGCGCTTTCTGCGGAGGAAATTGCTGGAGTTGCGGAGGAGGTTATGGAGATGAAGAAGATGGAGATGGAGATGGAGATGGGATCGGTAGGGGGTAGAGAGGATGTGCAAATTTGGAAAAGGGATTTGGAAGGGGCGTTGAGAGGGGCTTGTGAATTGGCGGGGCGAGTTGGAGGGGAAGTGGTGGTTTGTGGGAGTTTGTATTTGGTGGGGGATGTTTGGAGGTTGTTGAGAGAGAGGGAGGGAGAGAGAGAGGTAGGTAGATAAACTATGAGGCTGGGTAATGGGAGAGATGGATTGATGGATTGATGGGTCTTTGTATACTACTACCTACCTACCTACCTACCTACCTACCTACCTGACCTTAATACGTTAGTGAGCAATATGTATGTAGGTGTTTTTTCCTTTCCTTTCCTTTCCTGACGAGTGTCTTACATTCTAGGCTGGAAGACTATCTATAGGCCTACTTATAGAGACCTTCGGTATCCAAGTATGTCAACTTAAGTTCAACTGCTGCAAGATCAGAATTCTTCCGAGTCGTGGAAAATGAAATATGAATATGCCTGTAGCTGACTGGCTGGCTCTCTCGCCCAAGTTCCCGTCTCTACTACAATGTATCTCGCCAAGAGAGAAGAAGGGGACAAGGAGAGGAGAAGGAACAGAGGAAGAAGAAGAACAAGGAGGAGGTAAATCCACCTGAACACCAAAATCCGAACATAAATTTATTCATCCTTCATCATAACATTCTGCATCCATAATCCTTTTTCCCCCTTTTCAAGATCAAAAAACCACAGAAAAATAGTCCTAGTCTCAATCCTTCCTTCCCTCCCCCCTGTTCCCTCTCTTTTTTGTTTCAAAACAAAGCCTTAGCAGCCACGCTCAACAACCAACTCGCATCCTGCCAACCCGCACCACCACTACTACTACTATAATCTTGATCTTGCACTCGACCAGTATTCTTCCCATCTGAGCTCAAAGAAGTAGAACCACCACCACCTGCAGCTGCAGCTGCAGCAGCTTGTTGTTTCATCAATTTGTTCTTTTCCTCCCTTCGTCTTTCCTTCTCCGCGAACATTCTCTTGTGCGCTTCTTCGGCAGTTTCGTTGTGAGCTGTTGTAGCAGAAGCAGCTGCACCGCCAGCAGTAACACTACTCTTTATGCGGTTCTGCTCGTCGTCGTTGTCATTATGGTCATCATAATCATCATCATCAGTTGTCTCAGCTCCCTCTCCATGAGGGGGAGCACCAAAGAGGTTGAAATTCATGATGCGATCGACCATATTTCCTAAGCCGAATCCATCTTTTCCTACGAGGGATCTGTCATCGTCTTCGTTTTCATCGTCGTAGTGGTCTCCGTCGTGAAATTCAGATCTCGAACGCTGCTGTTGTCGTTGTTGATATTGTTGTTCTTCCGCCATTGGCGATACAACATCGAAATACCCTCCTCCTCCCTGGTCAGATGTCCTCCGCTTTGGCGTCCTCATCCCCACCGGACTAGCCAGTCTACTAGTCCGATTACTTGCAGGTCGAGATCCATACCGACTACCCCAAGCCCTGATCGGCTGCTGTCTTACGCTCGTCGGACTCAAGGCACCATCATAGCCCATATGATAAGAATAACTGTGTCTCATGCCAGCTGTACTAGCAGCCAACTGCGCCATAGCTTCGTAGTTGTCTTCTTCCTCATCATCTTCATCATCATCATTATCCTCAGAATTCGCGGCTGACGGAATCTCTCTTCCCAATGATGTAGCAGATTGACGTGTGGCAATCCAACTCTGTCCTTTATCTTCCCGGACTAAAGCAGAAGTGATGGCGCCCGCATGTGTGAGCCAGCTGTCATTGTTATTATCATCATGCAACCGTTTCTGAGCTGTAGGTGTAGCTGCACCTGATCTTCGACCTCGCGAATGATGATAATGACCATATCTGCTACCATCCCTGCGAGATTGCTGTTGCTGCTGCTGCAAAGATCGTCTATAACCCGACTGTGCAGCAGAGTTCGAAAAAAGAGCTGCTTCGCTTTTCGCTTTGGGGATTTGTCCTGCTCCAACAATCTCACGTCTCCTCTTATCATCCGCCTCTCTGATCACTACAGGACCTCCCGTGACATACGCAGTAGAAACATCCGCTCCTCTCCCCTCCTCTTCCTCCCCATCCTCCTCCTGGTCGTCGTTATCGTGATCGTCCCGATCATACAAACTCCCCCTCCTACTCAACCCGCCTCCCACGCGCGAACGTCTTCTGCTCCGACTACCACTCCTACTCAAGATCCCTGGAGTCGTCGGCGCAGACTGTCCAACCAAGTAGCTCGGATGTCGTCGAATATAGGCAGCTTCACTATCAGCATTGTAGGGTGTTCGGAGAGGACTGTTCACTCCATCTCCTTTGCTGTCTGCTTCGTACTTGGTGGAGAGGGGTGCAAGGCGGAGGTTGGCGAGGTTGGTGGTGGACCGCTTGGATCGAGAGCGGGAGCGTGGGGTGCTGCTGGTTGCGGAAGCCATGTGGTAAGGTATATATCAGGTTGTTTTGTTGGTTGGCATCTCTCTCCCTCTTTCTCTCTGGCTGCCTTCTACGGTATACTTTCATGGGACCTGGCCTGGAACCTGGCTGGGGAGAATGAATCGCCCCACATCCCGAGGTACATAGGTGTAACTTCTGCCCGTGCGAGGCGCTGACTACATAGCTCCTGAATACCTAGGCCCCCACTTTGCTTAGAGTCGAAGACCACATTCTATTAACCTGGACTTCAGTATTCTTTCGCCTAGGAGGTACTACGGGTAGAGCAGTCTCAAGCACATGATAGCATGATATTTCCGCCTTCGAAATAGTAGGCTGGCGAGGTCTTCTTCGTCTGTGCTTTGTATTCTGAGCTGCGCATACAAACACGATCCGCGAACGATAAACTGAAGAGAGAGAAGAGAGTATACAAGGCCGAGGACCGGATCGAGAATAGACAGTATTGCTGTTTTTCAATGATAAGGTATCATCATTCTGCCAGACGCCAGCGTCTATAGCATGAATTATTTGAACTATTGGAAGATATCACGCGGAGCATCCCTTCAGCATCATCATCATCATCCGCTGCATTCCAGGCCTACAAAGGAAGCAGCGGGTGCGTGGCCTACCCTTGGACAGAGAGAGTGCTCTCGACGACATGGATCGCGGCAACACGATACGCTCTTTCGACGTGCCGACGCGAGAATCAGGTGGTGGCGTAGCTTCCATGATCTCCTCTCTCACTTGCCTCAGGTCCCGAGTTGACTGACACGCGGTGGGATTCGACATCTGTGGCCTTAAGTTCTTAGAACCTTGGGACGAATTGCAATGTTCTTTCGCTGCAACTGTGAAGCTGCCGCAGACTTTATCCCATAGTGTGGCCTGAACTGATTTACGTCAGGAGAGTACCTTAGGCGCGCTTTGGCATGGTCGAGCACGGCAGTGACAGATTCTGGATTGAGTGCCCAGCCGCCGACTGTGCCAGAGTCATCCTTCCATCGAGTGCAATTACGCCATTTCGTACAAAAGATGGGGTTGATACAGACATCGCTCTTGCGCGTATTTCTTCGTCCGCAAAACTCAAGCACGGCACCACTCAAACCATGCGACCCAGGAAAGTACTTTGTGATGGGAGATGAGGGATAGACTGCAACGTAATCACGTTCACGTGTGAAAATCCCGCGAGGTCGGTCTGCCTTGCGCAGTGTTGTTGTCATCTGTGGGTATTTAGTCTAGATAGCTCTGTTCTGAAAAACGCGACTTGTGCTCACCACTGCGAACACGATGTGATCGGGATCTTCTCGAGGTCGAGATAGAACCACGATTGGATGGTCGTAAGGGCCAGTGCTTGGGAGCGCTTTTCTTCTATCCCAGTAAGGATCTAGTATTCGGTATGGCTTTTGGTCGTCTGCTTCATTGCGGTAATGGACGCGCTCATTGATGAATCTATGTACCAGGCTGTCGTCTGGAAAGCGTAACACCGCGCCCTGGAATACCTCTGAGGTATATAGGCGGTCTGGGTGTCGATAGGTGCAATGCATTATGATGTGGGCTCGCTGAGTTGGCGAATTGCTGTGTTGCTTTGATGAGGGTGGTTGCCATGTTCAGCCTTCTTATAAAGCGATTCCTCGCCAACACACTGCAAAAGGATATATCTGTCAATGGCACGTGCGCACCTGTGTTCCGGCACTTTGTCGCGATGCACATCGTCGAGAGGTGAGATAATCTCGGTTGTAGCAATGTTCAGTCTGTGTGAGCGCACTGAACGCCTTGGTTCGATCTATTGTGGCACTTGTCGTCAATAACTCCAGAGGTATACTTGTTTCAACTCGCACAAAGGCTGGTGTCGGGGAGGTCTGCCCTGGAGCGCGATCCAGTCTGGAACAGCAGAGTGCGATGGTGTTGTATCTGCTTGTTGTGAAAGTACTCATTCCACGAGTTGATGTGCTCGATACCTACGATTGCTTGATAGGCGTCTAGCTTGCATGTAGTGAGCGCTTGCACAACGTAACGAGCCAGCAGCTAGACATGTTCTGCTATTTGATGGAGGATGGCTAATGCAAAGTGTTCTTCTTGATGATGTTCGCCCACATCACGGTCGCTGCTCTCGTGTAAGGTATTTGATTCTCGAACTGTCTCAGAAGATGATGTTGTGACTCGGAATGCCAGACGAAACCATTTGGAGCTCAGCACGGGCCGTTGATCGACGGCGGAGTGGTCGAGATGCATTTGCTGCCTACCTTGCCGATCTTCCAGGCCTACGAGTCTTACCGTCTTTCAGCTGTGCTAGGATTGCGAGTGTGGCGCTGCAGAAGTTGGGATGACCTCGCCTGCAGTTGAGATGATGATTGCCCGTGCTCCTCTGGGTCCATGCAATATAAGCAACGGGGGCATCACCGCGAGAGCCGTGATGGCTGGCCAGGGGACAGCGGTGGTGAGGGGGAGGAGGAGGTGGTGGTGGTGGAGGTGGTGGTGGTGGTGGACAAGTGGTGGTGGAGGATGGAAAAAGATGGAAGAGAGAAGGCAGAGTTGGAAGACTGGAAGTGAGAGGAGCATGGGCTTGGCAGTGTCTTGCTGCTGATAGGTGCGTTAGCGGCAGGCGTCGTTTCTCGCTGCATCCTCATTGGCTGGCAGGGACCGCAGGGTGAGGTTGCTCCGTTGCTGCTGAGAGGTTCCTCAGGCTGGCTGTTGCTATGGGAGTTGGGAGGCCGTCGTCTGGCGTCGTCTGCCTGGTCGGGCTCACCAAGCCAAGCCAAGTTTGATAGTACACACTGCGCTGTATATGTGCAGCTTGTTGTTACACCGCCGTCAGCTGCACGCGATCACAATCCCTCGGTCCAGCAATTCCTAGTACATGTAGTCCCTCTCATCGTTCTCCCACCACCGCCGCCATCACCCCCCCATCATCATCATCATCACCAACACCACTACCACGCACGAGACAGAGAGAGAAAGAGAGAGGCCTTTCTGCGCTCGGACGTCGGTGAAAGAGCGCAGTCTTGCTCATCAGCAAACACAGCCCAGGCCAAAGCTGAGCCAAAGCCAGCCAGCACCAGCCAGCCAGCCAGCCCAGCAGCGGGACTAGCCGTCCAGTTGAGGTAACGCCTCAATCCATCTGCGACTTCCTTTCTGCCCACTCCTCGTCCAGCACCACCTCTCCCTCCCGCTACCAACCCCCCCGACACCGACACCGACACCGTCTCCATCACCGCTCACCACACATCGCTCACCTCCACCCACCTCGCCGCCCTCTACCACCTCACCCGCTGCGCGCATCGTCACCCCGTTGCGCAGAATGGCGGAAATCCGTCGCAAGCTAGTCATCGTGGGTGATGGTGCCTGCGGAAAGACTTGTCTTCTCATGTGAGTGCCAGCGCCTCTCCGCCATACCAGCAGTACTGACTCTCCGCCCCAGTGTCTTCTCCAAGGGTACCTTTCCAGAGGTTCGTCGTGTCCTTCCACCCGCCCCTTAACCACCGACCGCGTCATCCAGCGCCGATAAGGCCCAACGAGTACTTTCAGATGCACGTGCTGACACCACCTCTTCCAGGTCTACGTCCCAACTGTGTTTGAGAACTATGTCGCCGATGTCGAGGTGGATGGCAAACATGTTGAACTAGCGCTGTGGGATACTGCTGGCCAAGAAGACTATGACCGTCTCCGACCTCTATCATACCCCGACTCGCATGTCATCCTCATTTGCTTCGCCGTCGACTCGCCAGATTCGCTGGACAACGTGCAAGAGAAGGTATGGCTAACTCTCACGTGCCTCGCATCACGGAGTCTGTATGCTGATTGGCTGTGCCATATAGTGGATCTCAGAAGTCCTCCACTTCTGCCAGGGCCTGCCCATCATTCTCGTCGGTTGCAAGAAGGATCTCAGATACGACCAGAAGACAATCGAGGAGCTGCACAAGACCTCGCAGAAGCCAGTGACGCCAGAGCAGGTAAGTCATACGGAGACGGAGGAAAACCGCACGTGTAGTGTCTCCAATGCATGCTAACACCGCCTCTTCCAGGCTGAGGATGTTCGCAAGAAGATTGGTGCACAGAAGTACCTCGAATGCTCTGCCAAGACCAACGAAGGTGTCAGGGAAGTCTTTGAGCACGCTACACGTGCTGCTCTTCTCACGAGAAAGAAGAAGGAGAAGAAGTGCTCCATTCTGTAAACTATTCCGCACGCTGTCACACCCAGCCCAACGACTGTCTTCCGAACCTGTCTTATCAACGAACCCCACGTCTACGAGAGACCGACGGCAATTGCAGCTGCATTACTCTACCTTTAATCTGCAGAAACGATGAAGACGCAACAAAGCGAGCGAGCATGGAGGGGCGTGTTTTTATGTCATTTCCCCCCCACGACGATCACCAGGCGAGAGTACACATCTTGCGTAGATGACGGTTGGACCGAAAGGGAATGGGCACAAGCGAAAGCGAGCGTGTAAAGGGTTTGGGGGGAAGCGGAGCCCATCATCATCAACTGGCTGGACCTTCATTTTCGATGGGCTGGTGGCTCGTTACTCTGCTGGGGCTCCTCATGCTCCTGCCTTCTCCTTTAGAGTCATATCATGGCAATACTGTACTGGCGTTACAATTTTGGGAAATCAAATGTTGTTCATCCACTGAATGCGATGTGCCAATGTTGCCAAGTCATTATTATCGCTCAGGTTGCCAGAGAAGACTGCCGTGTCGTCGCCGCCCCTCGGGGATATTTGACGATGACTTGTCCCACACTCTGCTGTACTTTGTAGTCAGACGACACGGGAAGTCTGATGATGCGTACGAGTAGGTACTGATAAGCACCATCTCCGCGTGTCTGTCTCTTGCACCCCAGCCTCGAGCGAAAGATGAAGCCGCGAGGTAACGATCACGCAGGGCACGTCTTCTGAAATGTAGATACCTTATATGTGTGTGGGGTTATCTCCTCTTCCACAGTGCTGTTAGTATTCGGTTCAGGGCCTCATCATGCGTATTTCGAGGCAGACGAGGCGTCTGTTCGCATGAGGTTGGTCGTACGAGTGATGATCACCTACCTAGGTACCTTACTATAGGAGACATGGTATCTACCGAGTCGCTGGTATCATCAGCACTACTACATGTAGGTAGGTATCATATCGCACACATGAGCCTGCCTGCGCTAAGGTACTCATGGCGTGACCAAAATGTCACATGCTTGATGAGGTATGCAACAGACACGGTTGGCATCTCTTAGTATTCCGGTTGATACCTTTAGTCCATCGTCACAGGGTCAAAGGAATCTTTGTCTCTTTTCGAATGAAACTTCATGTCTTGTGGACAGACACGCAATTGATTTCCTGGTCATTACGCAATAGAATATCTCACCCAGTGTGGTAGTGTGGGAGCGCACACATGGTACCATGGGCATATTATCATTGATCGGACGATCAGCCCACGCTCTCGTCACTCACTCTCACGGTCAAGAACACTCACAAGTGCCTATGGCCTACAAGACACTCGGGTCTTTGCTAGCAGGCTGGTCAAACCAAAGGTATTTCTTGGCCACGGAGCAAGGGGAGTATCAGGAAGCTGCAGGCCGTGAAGAAAGGCAGCAGGGGGCAAAGCAACTTTATTGACAAAGGTACCACCGTACTCTGCATCTCAAGTGCAGTCGCTCACAGAGTCTCGGGCGACTGCATGCAGGCTGAGCCAGGCTATCGCACGCAAAAGCCGGCCGAACCGTGCCCACCCGCGGCGTCCGCAGGAATTTCTCTCCTTTTGTTAGAACTAAGCGAGCAAATCCAACCGGGGATCGCCAGGCCACGCTTGGTCCAGCACCGCATCCCACTTGTGTTGTGACTACTGACCGCCGGAGCGGATTGTTCGTCGGACGCGCTCTTTTGCCTTTTCATCCTTCGTTCGGCGGCGGCGGCGGCGAGGTGCGCGGCGTGGACACCGTAGCGCGGGCGCAGTTTCGAGGTATTCAGGGCCCATTTCTCAGACATCCTTCCAGAGCACGTGAGACTCGTCTGACCATGTCCACCAGCGCTGATTGATTGAGTCTCGGCGGGCGAGAAGCTCAGGGTGAGCAGAGTGATATTGGTTGCAGTCAGTGTTGCAGTGAGGAAGGGAAGGGAACGTGTGGTTTGGGAGAGCCAAAGGCTCATGTAGTCAAGACCGCAACCATTCTACGGCTTGCCCCGGGAAAGCACTTTACCACTCTCGAGATTGGTGAAGGCCAAAGTCAGACTTCACTCAGCGCCAGGAACTCGAGCGCACACGCACCAGACTTCGAATTCGAAGACGAGAGAAGGGGACATCTTCACTCTCCTCTCTCCTCTCTTCACTAGCCGTCGACAACACTCCTGCAATTCTACCCCCACTACCACTGTCACCACTACCACAACCACTACTACTACCACAACCACCACCACAACCACCACCACTACCCTTACCACCACCACCAAGACACACCCTCGTCTCGACTCACAAGGCAAACCCCCCATACCATCCCCAAGCGATCAGTGCGAACCGACGAACGACGTCGTGAGGGTCTGCTTCAGTGTAGCTAAAGCACAACAACTTCGAAAATGGCCTTTCTTATCCTCTGACCACCGCTTGCAGGGTCAGTAAGTTGCAACTGCCATTGCCCGCGCGTGTCTCTTCGCTTGCCTCCCCCGCTCGCTGGGTGAATGAAGACAGTGCTATTGTAGAGCTTCCCTGGATGCAGGTGCTGAGTGATTGTTGTTAGCAGAGTAGCAACAACCCGCCTTCGAAGACGGCCCCCTCCTAGACACCCGCCTCTGTCTCGAACGAACGATCGATCAATTCTTCCGTGCACACGATCCACCGTCAATACCGCATTTCATACAGCACGGCTAGCTCAACACCACCACATACACCATCGTTCGATCACTACCCGCCTCGACCCATAAGAGACAGACCTAGGACAACCACGCCTGTCGACGGTCACAGTAGTAATTCACACATACAAGTTGACGGTGCGTGATGCCATTTCTGGGAAGCAATCTCGTCAGCGCGGCGGACTCGAACGGCAGTGCGCCAATCGCAAAGGATACTGCCAAACCAGCGGTCGAGATGAGCATCTCGCAGGAGATGATGCACGTCATGTCGCAAGAGATCGAGCATGCCATGTCGCAGCCGGACTGCCATGTGAAGGGTGCTGCCGACCCTATGGACATTGACGGACGTACGTCGCGTGCTGCCCCTCCTGAGACACACGGGCGTTGCTGACTGTTGCATTAAGTAGGATGCACTTCCTCTCAGCCATCGTCGCCGCCAGACTCTCGCTGTCCAACTCCCCGCCTGACTTTAGACCCATGTCCAGTGCGACTGTCGCCTCTATTGCCTGCACCAAATTACGGCAGCGTGGTTCCTTATACAATCTTCCGCAGCGCTTTTCCAAAGGCGCGCAACATCGAGTTCCTCTCCGAGTTGCGCATCAAATCGATTCTGTACGTTCTTTTCATACTTGCGATTATGTCATCCTCCCTCCTTTTTTTGGCGCTGACTGCTGCCTAGCACGTTGGTCACAAAGACAGAGTCTTGTGAGACTTACGACCATTTCGTGGCTACTCGCGGCATTAGACGTACCATTATTGATGTCGAGCCCAACAAGGAGGGAAAGGTGAAGACCAACCTCGGCACTCTCTGCTATGCGATTCTGTTCGCGCTCAACCCCCAGAATCACCCGGTGTATATCCACTGCAATCAGGGCCGCCACCGTACCGGTTGTGTTGTTGCCTGCATTCGCAAGATCCAGCAATGGCCAATGCACGAAATCCTGGAGGAGTACAGCACCTATGCAACCCCCAAGCCACGTGAAGGCGACATCCAACTGATCAAGGACTTTGACCCCGAGCATGTTCATACTTACGGCCGAGACAACAATCTGCTCGGGGGTTTTGAGTCTCTGCTCCAGAAGTTCGGACGTGGGCGCAATGATTCGTTCAACAGTGTCTACGAGCTGGCCAGTTCTTTGCCTTCGCATAACACTGCGTCGATGTACAGCAGCAGCGGGTCGAGCGACAATGACGACGGTCCGATCCTGATGGCGCTTGCGCGCTCTGCCAGCAAGCAGGCGCAGGAAAATGCGGACGACATGAACATCGATCCTCGTCTCATGCAGCCACAGATGGGCAACACTCCCGATGTGACGGTCGAAGAAGTCGAAGCAGAGGACGATGTCGACATTCGCATGGACACCCAGGATGACAATGATGGCAGTGGTGGCTGGAAGCACATGGACGGTGTGGTCGTTTCCGAATCATCCACAACTTCGCCCATCCCCATCGGCAGTCGCTTTTAGAAATGTGCGTCAGCTGAACCTGCTCGAATCAGGGATGGCAGGTCCCCGGGCAAAGTGCGATGATGACCATGGAGAGCTGGATGAGAAGGGTGTGCAGACGGCCACGTCTACTCGACGAGGCCTGGCATCGCATATCCCTTGAGCGTCTCACTGCTTCCGCAGCAACATTCAGCTCGAAAAAGGGAACGATACACTATCGAGCCTCTGCGCCCAGCCGGTGTGACCGCTGAGCGATGGCACGAATGCTCTTTTCTTTGCGTTAACACAACCACCCGTTCAGCGGGCTTGGTTTCTGCTCGTTGTTGTCTTCGCCTTTCGTGGCATAAGACTCCAACTGGAGCATTGGATTTAGCGTAGGCGCTGGTTGGTCTGTATATTGATGATGATGGTCATCGGATGGGAGGGAGGAAGGAACAAGAACTACCCCAAAGACGATCGGGATGGGAGGCATGCTTTTTTCTCATTTGTTTCGCTTGCATTTGCATTTGCATTCTTTTGATCATACGACATCGGCATCCCCCCTTCCACCCCACAAAAAGCAATGGCGTCTCTCGCTGCGACAGACAGAACAGCAATGCAGGCAGATGTAATCACACGAACAGACGGGCGGGGGGCAAGAATACAGTGCGGTTTCCCCATGCGAGAAGAGGAGAGAAGAGGAAAGAATCATGGGAAAGGTGGGCGGCTTGGTGTGTACTACATACTTTTGTTACCAAGTACTTGTACTTTTTGGAACGGCAGGCAGACAGCGGGCAGACAGCAGGCAGGCGGGCATTACGATGACAAGCAACAAAACAAAAATAGGACGTGCCTTACCTAGAGATAGGTACAGGTTACTATAAGTAATGTGCAAATACCGAATACCAAATACGAAATACTTTGGTAATACACACACACAGACTATGTCGATATGAATTCAATAAGAAATATGTCGTTTCTCTAGATTTTAAAAAGAATATAAAAAAAATCAAAACTTAGGTACGTAGGCTCGGTACATGTAGGTATCGTATCCTATCTATCTTACTATCGTATTCGGTATCTAGTCAGAATTAGGAGGTAGAGTACTGTAGAGTACAGTACACTATAGAGAGTACAGAATACAGTAGACCGACCTCTCTCTCTCTCTCTCTCTCTCTCTCTCTCTCTCTCTCTCTCTAGTATAAAGTATAGAGAGTACAGGACTCGTATAGGTAAAACTACTAAAGGCACCGAGAAAGCTATCTACAGTGCCTTACTAAAAGGGGGGGGGGGGACAATGCCTGTCCTGCACTGGGTAGGGAAGAGAGAGAGAGAGAGAGAGAGAGATTGTAGCTAGTAAGATGTGGGAAGTTTGAAGCAATAGCTGGTATACTACCTCCTACCTCCTATGTAATGTATGTAGCTCCTTAGCTTCTTAGCTTGTCGGAGAGTCGGTACTTTTTCAGGCCGATTTTTCGTTGCTTTTCTTGCTTCTTTTGTTGATACCTAGATTTGAGTATTTTGAGATCAAGAGCGACGACTATTTGGAGGACCCTAGGGCGGACCCGAATAGGGAAGGGCTACTATTGGAGTAGTAGAGACTTTTGTCCTCAATGCTGTTCGCATCAAGGGGTGTGTGCTAGTGTCACGTCTGTTTTGGTGTTGAACGCTATGATCATCTGCAGGATTCCTAGAAAGATGTTTGAATGCAGTCTGATCTTGCTTGATGGGGCAGCGTCCGGGGCGATGTGAGTGGGACTAGATGTTGTATCAGCTACAACCAGAGCCTTTATCAGGTCCATTATGGCCACATAGGTAGGTATATATACTATTCGCAGTCGATAGTGCCATGTCTACACTTGTGTTCAGGTGGTGGTTCCGGGTTCGTTCCACCCGTCTCAACTTCGCCTAGAAGCTCAGTCAAAGCGTAGCCGAGGACGAGTGTCGTTGAGTCATAGGGCTGAGCACAACTCAGCCATTCCTGCAGTTCGCATCGCGCCTTTTGATCACAACCCTCCACAGCCTCGTGTTTCGGCTCCCACTTTTGGTTGATCTACATCGTAGTTCGATGTCGTATGGGAATGCAGAGGCGCCTCCAGCCCTCATGCATATCAGCTTTCGTGCTTGATGTAGTGCATCGTGTAGCTGGCTGACGAGCATATGCGGTACGTGGTGCTTGAGCTCAGCATACCAAAGTATACACACTCGCCAAGACATAGCATTGCTTGAGACGCCATCAGCCTAAGCCTCCAGATGGCAAAAGCACAATGCTCATACTTCTCGGTACCGATTCCGATTTTGCTTGCGCGCGTCAGCAGTGAGCAAGTCCGCATTGATGCATGTCACCGCATGTCAGGCCAGCATGACAAGAGATGGCGTAAGCTTGACTCGTCATGTTCATGGCAGCATAACTGTGTGACAATCAGTCAGAATCAATGAATCTTTAAGCTAGGATGATTGAGCGCACAGGGACCCTACATCGACAACTCACCATTGTGCATGGTCGCCGAACAACGTTTCCTTCCAAAGATGAGGCTCGCGTATTACAAATTGCCCTGGCCTTGGCCTGGTTTCCTGGTGCTTGTTGATGGTGGCATTCGAATGCCATAGTTATCGTGCGGTTTTGATTTGACTTCGTCGATCCTGCCTTTGGCAAGGCTGATACCGGGCACGACCCAGTTGCCGCAGCTACACTGCATACCTTGCCACGCATACTTGCCCACGTTTGTGTTACACTTCGGACATTCAAGTCGGCCGTCTAGTTTGCCTTGCTCGAGTTCTGACCGCATCCAGGAAAGTGGGTCCAGAAAATAATGAGCGCACGGTGCCGATGTAATTGTACGATTCGGAGGCGAGCCAGACTCGTCATTTCGATGCGCTTGATGGCTGACAATGTACTGAGAAGTAGCCAGTGTACGTCTGACCTTGTCAGCATGATGGCCGAGCGAGCTATGCTTTTCATGGGCCAGCTCACTCACCTGCACTTCTTACAACGCATTTCGAAATCTACATTCCCAGAGCCAGTGGAGTGCTCGTCCTCGAACCGAATCTTCTCTGCATCGGGAGCTTGACCACAAGCACGACTCAAGGCGACCTCTTGCAGATACAGCCAGCGCTGATAGGCAGGGACGTCTTCGACCGTTTCGGGCCTTCCCATCTCGTGATATAGTTCTAGTTGCTTCCAAAAGCCATCGTTCGGCTCACAGAGCGGTCTGCTCTCTCGAAGCTGGGCCAGCGCCTCGTCGGGACTCAGGCCATACTTGTGCATCAGAAAAGCGATCACACACGTCGCGGAACGGGACTTGCCCATGGCACTGCATTGTCCGTGGTCAGTGTCATCGTCTTGACAAGGTCGTTACTACAAGATGTTCCACGAAGCCCATCTACGTGTGCGACTCCCAGCATGTTGACACGGCCGAGTGAGAGCACTGGCCATGGCCTGGTCGCTGTGCGAGCGTGACACGCAGCCACCAGGCCTTGCTTTGCTCCTCAACAGGATGTGCGGACAGATTCCGACTCACCAGTGCACGAGGACACCACCACCGGCATCCAGGCCGGTTTGAATAAACTTGTTGCAGTCATCAAAGTGCTCCAGCAAATTCTCGTCGTCGACATCATCAACCTCTACGACCTTGTGCTCATAGTTTTCAAACAACTTGTCGTCTAGCGGCAATCTCAGCACTGACAGAACATGGGTGACGCCCGCAGTCTGCAGTGCTTCTTTGCGGCGCAAGGTAAAGAGCCTACCACATATCATCAGAGTCTAGATGTGGCGATGGGCGAAAAGGCTTGCAGCAGCAGCAGCAGAGGCTTGAGACGAACCCGCCAATGTACAACTCCAGCTCGCCGGGCACTTTGTCGAGAAGCGCCATCAGGAGTGCGCACCGTGTGTGATGATGGATCCGGCGGCGTCTTGCTTCTGGCTTCCTGGCGTCCTGTAGTGTGGTTGGTTGGTAGTGCAGAGGTCGACGTGATGGGTGCTGGAGGCGGGAAGATCTGACCAGGGCCGAATTTCGGTGGTTTTAGTGTCCGTGCCGTGAGCTTGATAGAGTGCTGAGTACATGTAGGCTGTGGTCTTGTAGGGCTGTTCCGTGTTTTCCACACATGGAATCGAAATCGACTACTACCTCCTAGGTACTACCTTACTACAACTACAACTCTACAAATTTTTGCACACACGCCACTTTTCGGAGAGGCGTTCGGCTTCATTCTTCAAGACCAGCATCGGACCGCTGTGCCATGTGTCTAGACGTCTCTTCTGACGGTATGCCAGGACTCCCAGGAGGCAGCTCTGCACGGGAAGTGTATTCAGATCGGACAGCCACCCCCATACATCTGACACATGCCCCCGCTACCAGTGCAGGCGTTGTGACCACAGGGCTCGGGTCCGTTGCTGCAACCTGTACCATGGCGATATTAGTAGGAGGCTGTAGGTAGTTGGGAAGGATGCGTGTTTCGCACGCACGATGCACGCAAACGAGAGCCTCGCCCACATCATGGATGTACCTCTACCTCGATGGTGACTGCAGTTGCAGCCAGCTGTACAACTCCAGAAAGAAGCAGCACCCGGCTGATGCCATCTGCTTCATCGATCGACACTACTGGCCTGTCCATCGAAGCGGGTGTGTGTCAGCAACACGGGTACAGTAGGTAGTTTCTAATACTTGCTATTGATGCAGTGGGCGACCACGAAGACGTCCGCCCCTGCTGCCGTGGGTAAGACAAGCGTCAAGCGCGGGTGGCCTGAACTTTCAACAGAGCAATGTGCGTGCAACTTATGCACGGCTGCCAGCATGCAGCTAGAATATCCTAGATACACACTGTACACAGTGCATGGATGACCGGAGCAAGCCTTCACTCCGTTTTGTAAGGTCGACGGCGGACCAGAGAGCAGCAGCTATTCAGCACGCACTTCCATGCACTCCTAGGAGTAAAACCCTTGAGCCTACGGTACAGTACTATACCTAGGTACCTGTGTAGTGTGTACCTTTCTAGAGGCTCTTACTTCTGCTTCGGCCACGGACAGCGGATCTGGGACCCGAGGCTCACAGGTGGTAGGTACATAGTACTGTATACTGTAGTTAGTCGGCCTGTTCTGCCAGCCTGGAGCGACTAGGAGGTAGTTTAACCGGAACTAGTCCGTTCTCCTCGTCTCGTGGCGTGGCGTGCCCTCTGTGTGAATGACCAGCTCATGATTGATCTGATGATTGACGACTCCGACGAGACGCCAAACGCTGTGCGCACATCCCAGAGGAGCACGGACAGAGCCCGCACAGCCCTATTGTTTCGTGCACGAGACCGAGCAGCGAATCATCTCGTGCATGCGGCTCCGTCCGTGGGGGGGACACCCTCGTTCCAACGACGTCCCACCCTCCTACAGGCTAAAAGAGCGACGTGTGGGTGGATGGATGTAGGTGGTAGGAGAGGCTATGTGACCGTATGTGTGCGGTGACGGACTGCCGGCAGCAGGGCAGCAGTGCAGTGCAAGGGCAATAAAGCATGGCAGGGCAGGTTGCAGGGCAGGTTGCAGGTCGCAGGTCGCAGGTTGCAGGTTACAGCCTTGCAGGACAGGGCAGGGCAGGGCAGGGCAGGGTCCTCGGAGGTCAGACTCAGTGGGCTGCAACCATGAGAGGGAGGATGATGATGATGATGCTGATGAGCTACCTCCTACCTCCTACCTGTACGTACCTGACCTAGCACCGTAGCACCGAGAGTCCGAGAGCGCAGATTCGCAGAGCGCGATCTCCAACGACCCAATCTACACCCTACATACCTTCTTCGTCCTCTTAGCTGCCCGCCTGCCTCCCCTAGCGCTGCTGCGTGCTGCGTGCTGATGGCTTGTGCGAGGGCGAGGGTCTGCCTCCTAGCTTGCACCTTGTTCACGAGCGCTGGCGCTAGGAGTTATGGCACACAACCTCATAAGGCGACTGACTGCATAGGTACATGCCCTCCGCCGACGCCGTGATGCTCGTTTTCGCCCTCGCCCTCGCCCTCCCTCTTCCGCCTGCACGACGACCTGAACGAGACTAGACCGCTGTGCTTCTCCTGCAGCGCTCCGGCCGCTACTCCTCCTCCTCCTCCCCCCAGGCGCCCACTACCGCCGTAGCCTCTCGGTACCCTTCGCCTGCGCTCAACACCTATCCCCTCAGGTCAGCAAGCAAGCTCCCTTGCCTCTCTCTCGCCGGCCCTGGTCCACTGCTCTGCAGAACTAGGCAGCCCACCCCTCGAGGCGTGCTTGTGTCCGGCTGTGGCTGTGCTGTGCTGCCGTGCTGTGCTGCCTATCTCGGAATACCCATACCTCAGCAAAAGACGGACCTCTCACATCCCTTCCTCTCGCATGGCCTGGGACTGGCAGTACAGTAGGGCTGACTGAGCGTATCAGTGCTCCCATCCTCCGCCCGAGCACGCACTCGCATCGGCCCTTTCGCGCTGTCCACTTCAATCCAGTCCCGCTCAGCTCGCACCTGGCCCTCTGCGTGCGTCACAGTAGTGCCGTTGCGACTACTACTGCTCCTGCTGCTCCTGCTGCTGCTGCTGCTGCAAGACGCTGCAGTGAACGGAGTAAGCGCTCTTGTCAAGACGTGCCTTGCCACACCGAGCGTGGTGGCAATCGCTGACATTGAGGACCGATTCGCCGGTCGAGCTGGTGTTGTCGTGCTCCTGCTGCTTCTTCTACTTCTTCTTCTGCTTCTGCTTGTGCCGCTCATGAGCCCGCACCTGATCCGGGAAGATGTCTGGTATACCAGACATTACGCTCAATCACCGCCGCTTTCGAAGCTCGCCGCACTATCCGAGCGCTCCTGCGCCCATGACAATACCGAGAGCACAGGAACAGCCTGTTCCACCGCCTTTACCGCCTCCATCTTATATACCGATCTCGCCAAACCACGACCCTGGCTGGCAGTGGGGCAACGATCCTAATGCTTCTGATTTTGGGAAGTCTGCATCTGTGAAGCCAGGGAGTAGCCTGTTAGGTGGAGCACAAGTCAGAGCATTTGGAGGCAGAGCAGATAGGGACAACATCGCTGGATATACCCATACGACCGACTGGGCACGCCGAGGGAGTGCTATATCTACTTCCACCACTGCGACCATCACGGGCCACATCAACGACCTGGTGGAGAGCGGGAGCCTGACGCCAAGCGACGACGGCAGCATGTCCAGACCGGGCTCAGATTACAGGTATGTTTCTTTGCTCTACGTTACGTTACGCCTGTTCGTATTTTGCTATATCCAAAGCACCATCTGTGGTGATGAAGTCCCAAACGCTACTAGTATTGTACTCGAGATTCGACCACGGTTGCTGTTGTGGCTCTTATTGGTAAATGCTACCATCACTGTCACAGAAAGATGTACGTTATGGGCCGAAGAAAGAAAGGAAGAAAGAAAGAGAGAAAGAGAGCAGCAGCAAGTTTTCGAATTTTGGCATTCCCGAACGGAAGTCGAACATGTAGACTGCTTGGCTTGTGTGACGGCACAGCCGTAGCGTCGAATTATGAAGACCAGCCGCAGCTGAAGCAATGATCGATTGCCGCTGACTGGTCAATGACTTTGCATCTTATTGTTACTAGTCATGCAGCTCGTTTTGCGTCCTTTGGCTACCATATCTAGAATGATGCTGACTTTCAATGAGCACAGACTCCATGGCGAGAGACACCTCGAGCAGCGGACCTTAGAGGCCTCTTCAAACACGTACGACAAGCAGCTATTGAGTCGCATTGGAGGACCTAATGGCCCTCCAACCCCAAAGCGCTCCTCAATCTCGTATGCGCCTGCCAATGTGCAGGAAACTGCACAGCTTGCTCATGCTGAGACTGAGCGTCGTAATTCCCAGCTACTGCGACCTCTCTCCATGCCAGAGCGATCGCAGCAGGGCTCCTTGGAATCCCCCGCGAGCTCGCGTTGGCCATCTTCCGGCGCTATTTCCCCAGGGTTCACATGGTCCTGGAATGACCACGAAAGCGGCCGCTTTCAACCTTCGCGACACAGTAGCTTGACCTTTGAGGACAGTATCTCGCAACGAGGTAGCTACGATGCGTCCATGTTCCATCAAGACGACCCCATGGAGGACAGTCACATGCGAGACCTGAACATCCGGGATCGACAGGATCGAAGTCCAAGGTCAGACGACCACGCACGAGCTGGACAGAAACGGCGCGCTTCGTCTCCACCCCGAGATTTGACTCGTGAAGATCGTGCTTCGGTGAGCAGCGCTTCAGTGCACGGCGAGGTCACGCACCGGCGGTCTGTACAACAGCTGCCTAGAGCCTCGCCCATCTCGCGGTTTCACCCGAACCATTCTTCGGTCTCTTCAGCTTCGTCCTATGGTCCAAGGCATGGTTCGCTAGGATCATCACTCACTGGCCTCAGCATACCGAGCAGTGCTGCAACCAGCTATGCTTCGGGTCGCATCTCTCCTAATGGATTGTCTCCTGCTTTTGATCCAACAGAGGCACGACTGAATGCACAGCAGCTTCCAAGTTCGAAAGGATTTGTTGGCCCCAATTCTGCGGCAGCTCCCGCGGTGCAGCCCAAGAGCCCCTGTGGGAGCGCGCCGCAGTCTCGAAAGCCTTCTGCGTCGCATTTGCAAGGAGTTTTCATCTGTGAATGTTGTCCGAAGAAGCCGAAAAAGTTCGATATGGAAGAGGATCTGCGGTTACACGAGTCGGAGAAGCAGTATACCTGTGCTTATTGCCCCAATCGGTTTAAAAACAAGAACGAAGCAGAGAGGCACCAGAATTCCCTTCATTTACGTCGACACAGCTGGTCGTGCGCCGCTCTTGCTGGCGTGGAAGCAGCATTTCACAGCTCTGGAGCTGGTAGCGGGCACGACATTTGCGGCTATTGTGGAGAGGAGTTCCCGAACCCGCCTCAGTGGGATATGCGCGCCGAGCATCTCAACCACGTGCACAAATTTGGCGAATGCAACCAAGCGAAGAAATTCTTCCGGGTAAGCAGCGTGCGATGGACCGATCAAATTGGATGTACTGATTGGACTTTAGGCTGATCACTTCCGGCAACACTTGAAGCACAGCCACCAAGGCACATCGGGTACGTTGCTGCTCATGATGCTCACCGCAGATGTACATTGACTGACGAGGACAGGAAAATGGACTAATATGCTGGAACTCGCATGCATGAAAGACGAGCCTTTGCCGGAAAAGCGAGTGGTTACACAAGCTGGTCACGCTGCACCTTCGGCTCTGATGGTTTCGACGAATAGCCACTCGCCAGATGCACAGCTTGGCAGCGGTATAGCATCTGGCGAGTCGAGCTGAGCATGCATCGTGGTCTCCAACACTACCGAAACACTGCTCGAGAGTGCTCTCTCTCTCTCTCCACATTCACGCTTCTATGAATCTGATGACGATGATCACGACGCAAAAGCATAATGGACGCGTACGCATTTCTGAAAAGCGTTTGGCGTGCATATTTTTCGAGGCATACCTTAACATTCATGTCGAACATTTACCTCTGATGCCTGATCACGGTACCACAGGATTCTTGCGACCACAAAAGCAATGTCCTATTCGTCTAGAACGTTGCAAAGGGAGGCAGCTTGATCTGACATGTCAAAGCTAATGCAGCCGGGGCATTGTACATGACTGGTTTTGTTCTCGACACCATGGCACTGCATAGTGGTCCATGGCGCTAATAGATCTGCTCACGTTATTAGCATGATCCATGATGGATTCTCATGCTTGCGAGCATATTGCCGATAACCGCGCTTGGCGAGCTGAATTGCTTCGTTCACGGGAACGAAGGAAGTCAGCCACAGAGCCCCACCATACCGACGAGACTTTTGGTTTGCTTGGGGCATAGATCCATCAATCTCAGGAGTCAAGACTGCGTCGTCATAGATCAGCTCTTTCAGCAGCGTAAAAATTTATTACACATCTGGCAGATTTGCGAAGAGCGCCTCAATCCAACAGTGTTCTCCCGGAACAGCTCCACGCAAAGGGTCGGAGGCATGCTTGAGATACGTCTTGTTACCGATGACGGCAGGAGACGGCGAGCTGTGGTCACCGATATCCCTACAGCGGCGAGGCTCGTGGCGCTACAGGACGCACGCTCATAAGTGGTCCTGGGATGTTCTTCTTCTTGTTTTTATGCTTGGACCGATGTGGTCAACCGTACTGCTGATAACCCCGGCTGTATGAAATGACAGATTCATCAAGCATGTACGGCAAATCACTAAAGATCAATCTGAGCACTCTATAATAAAGTGAAGCAGACAATTTGCAAGCACCAGCCTGCAGTCACATGCATAGTCATACCTGAGGCCAAGCAATCGACTTCAAATTCGTTGCCGTCCGCGTCAGAGCCAAGACCTCGCTCCTTCCGTCTTCTTTTTTCTAACAACCTCAAGACATGGAAAGTCTGATACGCACTTGCACTTCTTTACCCCGGTTTGGCTAAGAAATAGGAAAGGACTGAGACGGACCTACCTGTCTAAACCGGAATGAGATCATCACGTGTGCCAGCAGGACACGGAGCCTGATGAGACCTCACTTGCTTCGTTGTGCTTACTGTCTGATCTCGATCGGGACAGAATCCAGGGCGGGTTAGTAGGTCACCACAAGAGAGGATTGGGAATTGACACAAAGCAGAATTGCTCGCACGTTAGATCACATTTCATTCTATTGACTACCCTAAAGTTATCAACCAGCACCAGCATGCCTCACAAGCACAAGACGGAGGCCCTCAAGCAAATCAAGACATGCCCAAGTACCACTTACCTGCACCATCTACATCGGCCTGTGTGGATCATAGCTGGCCAACCCGAGATCATGAAGGAGCCGATTCACGCCTCGACGAATACCCAGCACACCATACATCTCGGCCACATGGTCATGGAAATGGTAGCCTGCTCCCGCGCCGAGATCCAACGGCAACCGCGCCGGGTCAATCGTGATGAGTGGCTCGGCGTCCTCATTCTCATACTCGCAGTGAGAGAAAACAAATTCCTCCAGAACCATGTGATCGCGGATATACACCAAAATGGGCTCCCACTCCTGACTAGAGAACATGGCCGTTTCAAGATAGAGCGTGCGAATGGTCTGTCTGTGCGTGGTCAGTAAAGCCACAACATCAGCCCTGCGCGCCCGTGGTGGTCGTGGATGATTCTCGTCTCCGGCCATGTGCACATGACGGAGTCCGGCAAGGGGAGTCTGTCGGAGACAAGTAAAGACTATATCTGTAAACCGAAACCCACGTGCGGTCTGGATCGAAATGGATTCGACACGAGGCACCAGGGCGAGAATCGAATTGATGTTGTAAATTCGCTGATTTGTGGCGTGCATATCCCCCGTCAAATCCGTGAATATGATTTTCGAGACTGTCGTCCTGTAAACTGGCTGTTGTCGCAGGAGAGCGAGGGTCTGGGCCTGCGAGCCTTGTGGAACATTGACGTCGAGGGAGCGAAAATATCGTTCTGCAAAGGCATTAGCGGAGTTATTTCTGATGAGTGTGGAAATCGAACCGATTACGAGGAGTGTTGCATTGTCTGCTTGCTCTGCCACCAAGCCCATCACTGCAGGGGGAAGTCGCTCGAGCATCTCTGCGGTGTTGGTTGTCTGTCTCGTATCTTGTCTTGCTGTAGAGGAAAAGGGGTCGAAAGCTGCCTAGGTAGCTGTTGTTGTAAGTAAAGTAAAGTCAGGCCAAAAAGTGGGTTAGATGCTATATGCTACCACTCACCACTTCCAGATATTCGCCCTTGTCCTCTTGTGGAGTGAGTGAGTGTGTAAGTGAGTGAGTGAGTGAGTGGTTGATATCTGTCTACTATTCCCTCAACGCGAAAAGGATGGCGGTAGTCTATTTTATACTAATGGCCAATGGCAACGACATTCAAACAAGCAAGCATAGGTGAACAACACAACACAAAGGAGTACAATGCAAACAACAAATCACTTGTGAGAAGGAGTGAAAAAAAAACAAAGACATTGTGTAGTTCAAAACAAAGAAGTCATTGAACTTGCGCAGTCAGCCAGCCAGCCAGCATACATACTACTTATATACTTACAACACAATCCTCTGAATGAATCGTGTTGTGTTGTGTTGTGCAACAACAATAAAGGAATGAATGGAAGGAAGCCAATAAACCTGGCCCGAACAAGTGAATGAAAGAGAGCAGGAAAACAATCATCGTAAAATGAGGAGGATTGAAAGTTTTTTTTTGCCATTTCCTATTCCTCTCCTTTCCTCGTAACGTATGCACAGAGAGCAGCATATGAAAGAATAGTGAGATTAGCTATTGCCCCGCCCCTCATTGTCTCGCCGGTAAAAAAAACACACACATCATCATGACTCTACCATGGACAGGATAGAGCAGATGCGAGCCATGGAATTGCCGCTACAAATTTCAGGTACGAGACAGAGAATCGCATTGCAAACTTGCCGAGTAACTCGTGCTCATTCCTGGCCGAACCCGACAGTTTCCTCGACGGCCCACACAAGCTTTTGCGACAACGCATCAAAGCTCTTGTATGGCGGCAAGTCCAATCTGTTGAAACAAGTGTGCGACTTGGGCAATTGGTTCTCCTCTCCAGACTTTTCAATCGTGAATCTTCGAGGCCCATCTGAACCTTGGAGATCCTTGAAACCGTTGACAGGAATTCGCGAGGTGCCAGTAGCGAATTGCAGAAGCCGAGACTTCTGCTCTGCGTCCCAAGCCCTGACGACCTATAATTTGCGTTAGCATGAGTGTGCACAACGCCTGTGACTAGTTGAGGGCATATGCTTACCTTCCAGAAGTTCTGAACCACAGCATCATTCTCCGTGTAACCTCGATAATCGGTGTGTTTCTTCCAGTCATCAACGTCGATGTCTGCTATGCCTCCGATGAGCAACTCCAATTCGCGCTCATCGAAGACATTGACGAGATCCGCAGGTATAAGCTCGTGGAAGCCAGTAACGAAGGCGTTAAATTGCTCATCCACACGCTTTTGGATGCGCCATTCTGTGATAAGCTCCACATACTCCTTCTTGTTCTCGTTCGTCACCTCAATGTCGCGGCCACCAGGTTTTAGGTCGACAGTGACTTTCTCACCGAAACGCTCATCCTCGACCGAGAATGTTGAGTAGATCACGTCAGTGATGTCGTTCTCCATGGTCCAGGTAAGCGTCCGATGGAACTCGGCGTCGACGCCCTCCATATCCTGCAGGTTAACCTTCTTCTTGAGAATCATCTTGTAGAAAGCGCCAATGAAAAATGCGTCCAAGAAGCGTCTGTGGAAGATGGCGAGGCCTACAACACGCCCAATGAATTTGAAGTAGCCGAGATGCTCCGGGTTGATGCCAGAATGGGGGTTGATCTGCAGAGTGTAGTTGTCGTGTGCACTGTACTCGAACAGACAGTAGAAGGGGTTGAACATCTCGTGCGAAAGAAGGAAGAAAAACTCTCTGTAATGATGTTAGCCAGTTACCCATTCGCAGCTAGATCCATAACATACCTCGACAGTCCACCATAGTCTAAGCCGTCTTCGCCATCGAACTTGATCATGAGGCGCTTCTTGAGGTCGTTCGGGCTTTGACGCATGATCTCCGCGTAAGAGTCCTCGAAGATGTGCGTTCTTCGAACCTTGACGTGGCATTGTCCAGACAAAATTCGTAATGCCGGTTGTGATCGGAAGTAGATCAGCTTTCTTCTAAAGTCACGCTTGTACTGTGGCACGTTCTGGTCCAGCGATGATGGTAGTCGTGGATCATCCCAAGTGGTGGTTTTCGTGTTGTGATCCACAAAGTACACACGCGCCGTGTTGGTCAGACGCATTTCCCATCCACTCGGCAGTGGGCCGAGCTGCGAAACGGGCTGCTGTTGAATAGTGCTGTTGCCCGTAGCGTTCTGACCGTACATCCTAATGTATTGTTGTCGCCGAGGGTCAACCCACGTAGTGGTTCGCGTGTTGTGGTCCACGAAGTATGCTCGACCTTCTGGAGTGTGCCGTTGTTCCCAGCCAGCAGGGAGCTCGCCAGTTCCAGCAGTTGTAGCACCCGTAGCCACCATCTGTGCTGCACTGGCGGCATTATTTGCAGCAGTGGTCGGGTTCGGAGTATGACCAGGAGAGTTCTGTCTGTCCGATAGACTTGGCGAATTGGCACCAGTCCTATCTTCCGGCAACGTTCTGCCTTGATGCCTTTGTCGCTCAATGTTCGTCTGCTGTTCTAGCTGAGCGCGCTGCTCCCCTGCATTGAAGTTTGCAGTCGGCCTGATCCATGTAGTCTGCCTGCTATTGTGGTCCACATAGTAGGTCCTCCCTAAGTTGTCTTCTCGCCGCTCCCAGCCAGGCGGTAGTCTCCCCTGCGCATCTTCAAATGCACTGAATCCTGAACCATCCGCTCTTCTGTTCGCGGACGTGCCAGTGCCGTTGGTGGTGGACGGAGGAGCTGCTGACGGAACGCCTCCCGTGTTTTGTCGAGACGGAGCCACTGGCCCGGCGACGCTCGTCGATGGTGTCTGTAGCGAGGCAGAGGATTGCGCACCGACAGGGGTCGAAGGGGTGTGCGCACCGTTAGTGGAAGGTCCCGCGGAACTGCCATTCGGACGAGCGCCAGAGGCTATCGGCGTGCGTAGATTCGTGGACAAGTTTAAGATGAGCTTGCCATTCACCACCAAGTTGTCGTTGGACTTTCTAAGATCACGAGTAATCATCTCTGCTTGCAGTCAGCATGCAAGGCCGTCCATAGATGCAACCTAGCGTACCATCACCACCGGCATCGAGGTCGATAACACTTCCAATGCGCACGTTCACAACGCCGAGGAAGCCCTGGTCCTTCTTCTTAAACTTCTTCTGGTCAAAGATTTGAACTGCGAGTAGGCTGTCCTCGTCCACACGCCTGGCGGGCTGTCAGCACGCTGCCGGGAGTCTAATTCATGCCACGCGCCAGAGCCCCACATACATGTCGAAACTCTCGTTCCAATACGGATTGAGCGTCTTCTTGATCACTCCGGTCGTCTTTGTCTGCTCTCCACCTATTGTTGCGACAGCGAACGGGTCCGGAAAGCCTAACCACCCGATCAGTATTCGTCTGGCATCACAGCCGATCCCATAGCTCAGGACGTACGGAAGACATCACGCTTGTATAGTCCATCTGCGGCAATGACTGCTCACGTGTCAGCCTTATCCAGACACCATATCTCATTCTTTCCACGCTGTTTGACATACTGGTGATGCGTAGGTTGGGCTGCGATGGGAGGTCGGCCATGGCGCCAGGTGAATGTATGCGGTGTCTGCTGCTCGCCTTGTGTATATGTGCTCGCGCCTAGGGATGTACCATGCACGGTGGAGGACAGCGTCGCGGTCGATAGAGCGCGCTGACAAGCGTGAATATGGCAAGAGGGTGTGAATGATCGCGCCGTCGTGGTGGTATGGGTTCCGCTACCTCGTGGTCGTCGTGGTTGTGGCCGCGGTGGGATGACGATGGCGACTGCGAGGTCAACTGCGCTGCGCCACTTTCTGCGCTCGTGCCGCTCACTTCTTCTCGCGCGCGTAAAGTGCAGATACAACAAAGCGTCGAGAATTGATAATGCGCAACCAACACGGAGCACTCGTCACCCGCACTTTCAAGGTGTTGGTGCTTCTGTTGTTGATGTACGGACGGGGTCGGTGAGATCAGAGGTTCCCGTCGAGGTTCGAGGAAACACGAGCACAGGAGCCCTGACAGGCTGACCTTGCCATGCCTTGCCCTTGCCCCACTCTTACTAGCAGTGAACGCCACCTCTGCGAGATATTTCTGAACAGAACCAGTCGACTCCGCTTCTTTCCGTATTGCACTGTACCTCCTACACCTGAGCGGAACTCGCTGCGTCGTCGGCACTGAAGGCGGCTATGCTGACGAGATCGAGCTGACTGAGCAATACCAGTCTCGGTCGAAGGACAAGGCATGCGAGCTGACGAGTGAGGTGGAATATCCCGTTTCCACGGTCCCTTCGGATCACGGCATCGTGAGAGGGAGATGCTATTAGAACTACAAGACGGCGATGTCTGAACTCTCGCCATTGCTTCGGCGATCAAGTCACTACTCAAGCCTTCGCAATGTCTCAAGCTGCCTCTATCTTGTGACAGATCCATTCCACACTCACTATCCCTACAGCGCTGTGGACGCATATCTTGAGCATGACTTCTAGATCATGTCAGCCACTATCCGCCGTATCAAGAGACTACAATGCGCCCAGTGAGCTAGAGAAGCAACGTAGAAATCGCACCTGGAGGCATACATGCAACTTTCACAAGTACAATTCCGCGCTAGCAAAAATACTGCTCAATAGCCAGACCGACCACACACATATCATGTTCATATCACTTTCTCCGACTCGTGACAAACCTTTTCGGAAAGGATCATTTCGACGAGTACAAGCTGGCCCGGTGATCGGCTGAGTACACACTCTCAGTCTAGGTGTAGACCATTTGAGATCTTCCCACTTCTGGTGACTCGACAGTCTGGGGGAATTCGGGCGTTTCTCGATAATACTAATGCTTCCAGGTCTCGTCGGAAGTGAGAAGATGAAGTCCACTTAGTCGTCCGCGGCCTCTCCTCTAGCGACGTGTCCGTCTTCGATGGCTTGCTTGGTGAATACGCCGCTCATGACTGCGAGAGCAGAGGGGAGGATGGACGTGAAAGACTGTTAAAGTCGCTGAAATTCTGAAGACTATATGGGTGCTGTGTATCTTTGTGTGGACTCACTCGGCAAGAGGCTGAAAATCCCCCATACGAAACCAGAGACTTAGGCAGACTTTTCGCGTGAATGCAAACGACCATCTGATTCGTAACTTCAGGTCCGTGAGCACCTTTGGCATTCACGTGCGCTAGCAGCATTTCATTGAACGGCTAGGTACATGTACTCTTGCCATATGGGCCTGGGTATGTCCCCAAGTCAAGACCCTGGCTGTAAGGCTGCGTCTATGCATGTCAGCCGAAGTCCTTCCGTTGCACGACCATTCTATCAGTTGTAGATGCGTGGTCATGGCACGGAAACAGAAGTTTCCCTCGCGGGTAGCTTGGTGTGCTGGCGTTGGTGGTCCATCTGGTAACTATTTACATAGTCTGGACCAACTGGCCAGCTCGAGTGACTCGAGTGACTCGACTTATATTGTATGCGAAGCAAAAGAGGTAAGTGTGCTGGCCAGGTCCTGAAGTCGTGAAACTACCCAAGGACTTCGCAGCGAAGGCTGGCTATAGCTTCCCGACTAAGCATGGGTATACATCGATTTCGGCAATGCAGATGGTAGACTGCAGATCTTCGTCGGACTGTTAGCTGCGAAGAGATCCTGTGCAAGTAGAGTGCAGGTCATGGCAACATCGATCCCTGCAATCTCAGTCAGTAGACGATGGCATTTGTAGCGAGCATACGACCAGTGTGCAACGAGGAGTACTTGCCACCACCATTTGCCCGAAGACATTTGCATCGCATCGCATCGCATTCGTCGCTCAGGTTGAAGCGTAACTGGTTCACGCACAGCGGCGAGCGCATAATGACTTTCGCGTTACGGTTCATTGTCACCACCTCTTTACCAGTATCACTTTCGAGACTTCAAGGTATGTCACCTTCTGACTCTTCACCGCATAAGCACGTGCTCTTGAACCTTAACTAGCTCTTGAACCTGAGTGAAATGTCTGGAAAAAGGCAGACTGTGGCTCTTACTCCAACATTGAAGATGTTTTGTGGCTTCTTTCTCGGATGCCCCATTCGTCGTCTAGTACTGCTTTGCTTGTCGCGAAGCAACAGAAAATCGCGAGCCTAACACCATACTCTCCACTCTCCTCTTTTCTGGGCCTTTTTAACTGTCATCTTACTCCAGGCACACCGGTAGACGAGAGTGCAGACGCAGCTCTTTCTCGTACTCATGTTCCGATCTCAAGTAGAAAAGGTAGCTGGTATAGGCGCTCAGTAAGGGTTGTATCCGCGTCCGCGGAAGCCACCTCGACCACCGCCACGGTAGCTATTAGCATGTTAGTGTTTCGCCTTAAATGTGCCGAGAATTTCAAACATACCCGCCACGTCCCCGGAATGGTGGAGGACCACCATAGCCACCACCCATGGGAGGCCCATAGCCCCCTCCAAATCCACCGCGTGGGCCTCCGCGACCTCTTCCGCCGCGTCCACCACCTGGGCCTCTAGTCATTCCTGGGAGATTGGTGCGCTTTGGCACGACCTGCGCGCGATGTTAGTATTCCGACTTGGCGAGCGCACTAGCTGTCTCTTTCACGCTCCGCACTCACTTTGATGTTGCGATTTCGGAAGACACTCTCGTTCAACACCAAGGCGCTGGTCACAAACTGCGGCTCACTGAACTCCACATAGGCGTAGCCCTTGGGATGACCAGTGAACTTGTCCAACAGGATTGTCACGCGGTTGATGCTTCCGACGCTTTGGAAGTGAGCCTGGATCTCCTCTGGACTGGCGCCGTAATCCACGTTCCCCACGAAGATACTCCTGTTATCAATGTCCTCTTTGCTTTCGCGCAAGCTGTCGGACTGGTTGTCGATGGAAGCCTGCATCTCGCGCAGTTTGGCAGCTTCAGCCTCCATTTCCTCGACGCGTTTTTTCATCGCGGCAATTTCCTCTTCGTCGCCGAGGTCTTCATCTTCGGCCTGGCGATCGAGGTCGTCAGTGGACGGTTTGGTGTCTTCGTCAGCCATGGTATGCGAGGAGGTGTCGGAGGTTCTGCTGGAGGGCTCGTTAGGATGGTCCGCAGCAGATGAAGTGGTAGCAGCAGCAGCAGCAGCAGTGTGTTGCGCGTCTGCCATGGGTGTCGCGGAAGTGCGGGAGGGCGGCGAGTGATAATTGGACGGCAGTAGTACAGGCGACGTACCTGGGAGAAGAGTTAACAAGGGGTTGAAGCGACGCGACGCGACCGCTGTAGTTGAATGGTAAGAAGTGCAGAGCAGAACAGAAGCGATAAGCGTGGGTGTGGGTGTGTGTGGAGGGAAGATGGGAGGTCGAGTAGGCAGGTGGATGTTCAGGTACATGTATGAGGTGATTTAGGTGCAGTCGATAAGGTAAAATGTTACGGACTAGCGTGCGAATGTGCCGCTAGAGCTATTCAGCTCAGCTAGTAGGTACCTGAGGCTTACATGTAGTCGGGTTGAGTTGACTTTTTGATGACTTGATGTCCTCAGACACCTGTAGTCTCACTTCATTAGCCCATGTATTCATTCTCTCCATTCACTAGCATTCACCTTTACCGAATGCCAGACGGCGGCGAAGGAAGCCCGCACAGGAATATCACTACCATGCCGTGTACTATGCCGCCCATTTGAGGCAATTGAAACGCCGATCATGCTGTCTATGCAACTGTGTCATCTGGAATAATCCTGCAGCAGAGGTACTGTATGTACCGCACCTTGATGCTCATCATCGCGAATGGTGTAGAAGGCGTTCTCATACTGGCGGCCCCGAGCGTCGTGTCACGGCATTCTCCAAGATTCGAACCAACGCGCCCTGCGTTCCCCAGCGCCTGGCGCACACCCTCCGTATAGGTAAGGTACCGAAGGTATCGCAGTTACAACAGCTGTTGTTGTTCGCCACTCATAGTTTTGCTGCTTTTGTATGTGCTACTGCTGCACAACAGCTTGACACGTCTCGCAGCGGGCACGAAAATGGCTTATTTGGATGACCTGCCGGCAGAGCTGATCGAGAACGTCGTAATCTGCCTGACGTTGAACGAAATATGTGCTCTCCGCTTGGCGAACCGATCTCTTGCTTCCAAAGCGTCACAGGATCACTTTAGAGCCTTCTACCGAAGCAAACGAATTGACATCGATGAGCGCGGACTTAAGGACTTCGTCGTCTGTACAGCCAATGCCGGCATGGGCTGTCTGGTTGATGACTTTACCCTGACTGGTCTCGTCTACAACACAATCTTCATCAAGAATCAGCTACGTCCTGGCGATGTGAGAATAAAGTCACAGATTTCCGAAGGAGGCGCAACTAGTATTCAAACCAGCATCGGGTGGCGCCCTTTTGAGGAAGCAGAGCGCGAAGCACTCAGAAGGCAGCTCAATATCCTCCAACGCCGACAGGAAGCTCAATTGCATTTTCTGCAAAGTGAAGACGCTCAAAAACTGCTAAGGAAAGCCTTTCGAAACATCAAAAGAGGAAGAACATCGCCCACTCCGCTTTCGTTGACCCTCAACTTGGCTGTGTACCGGGACGATGCCCTATGCCGCTCAGCGCCAGCTGATGGTGGTAGCTGGAGACTGATTTGGCAGTCGGCGGCTGACACTTTTCAGCTTGTCCAGGACGCTCTAGACGCGAGCACGCTGGCAGTGTCTTATTTCCGATGCTTCCCAACGCACGGCAAGAACAGCCAAATGCGGTCCAGCTTGGCCTGCAACGAGATTGGACCTGTGATCGCCTATTCTGGACTCGAATCATGTCTAGCTAGTCTCAAGGCACTCACGTTGGCGTTCTCCGACACAAGTCTCAGATATGATGACAAAGATGCAGAGCTCCTGGAAGCGGGCGACAGACAGGAACTTTCGAGACAACCCATCGCAGGGAGAGAACTTCAACTTATCGTGCAGGCTGCGAACTCCGCCAACTTCACTGGCCTTCTTAGCTTTGTCAAAGCCTGCCGAAACATACGGGAGCTCGATCTTCATCGATACCAACTCACCAACCATGGAGACACATCTCGGGTCCAGGGAGATAAAGTGTCGAACATGCTCTTCCAACATCTCAAACTCACAGAACTGCGCAACTGCAGACTTCGAGGCTTTCGCGCTGGTTCAGACGATATAATACACTTTCTCCGAAACCACCAGACCCTCCAAAAGTTACTTCTCAAGAACTTTACCCTATCTTCTGGTACGTTCCGTCCCGTCTTTGATCACTGCACCGGCAACCCGGACACCAAATCCGAAAGCATGCAACCAAAACTAGACAGTATCGAGTTGGAGGACCTCTTCGAAGACGCTACAGCCTCTTCGAGCAAGCAGCTGCTCCTATTCACCGGTCCTAAACTCGAAGACGATTCCAAAGTGAGTGGTTGGCGAAGTACCAACAATCTTTCGCGCTGGGCCAGCGGGACGAAACGTTTGATCACATACCAAAGGCAGAACTACAATATTGGCCGAGGATCGCAGTGGCAGAAACAGGCTATGGAGGAGTTCGGTCCTCCTGATCAGAGGTATATCAAGTTTCTCTGAGATGGGCCCATCGCCGACAAGTAGGCTGTCTGAAAGATTGAGGGAGATGTTGGGCTCATTGCTCACAAGAACAGCGTCATGTCACCAATGACAAGGATAGCACCCTCAGGCAATATGTTGAAGTGAAAGATGCAAGGGGATGGAATGTGGAGGGAGCGCGACTGCGCAGATATTCGGCACCACCGGAGGGAGGACAGGCACCAAAGCTCATCAACATCACGTCTGGCAAATTCGAAGACTGGAGGATCTGCCGGATTTTCGTTGGATGCATCTGGGCGATAGCACTTCGTTAATGCCGCCACGACCCCACGTGAATTCCTTCATTCGGTCTGTGTGCTCAACTTCATAGAAAGGTGAAAATCCCTATTCCCAAACAACGCGTCCCTTATCTTGGCATAGGTAGGTAAGGTAGCTAGCGATAATAGTCCACGGAGGTATTCAACCAACCTGACTTGTTAACATGTTGGTATCGCTCTGCGTGTTATAAGTGAAGGCTTCTGCTGTATGAAGTGAATCACCTAGCAAGGGGTGGTTTCGTGATGGTGAAGATTGTGAAAAGAATGGTGATGCATCCATACACCCCCAAGGGTCGCTGTAACCGAGGTACCTAGGTACCTACCATAGCCGGATGTACGGCAAGTCATGTCACATGACCTTTTGGAGGGGAACCGGTGGGTGGCCGCAACATGTTCCTAATCCCTAGTATAGTGGCAGTGGAGGTGCCTCCTACCTCCTAGGAGGTAGTGTAGGTACATACATGTCGTTTGCGTTCACAAGAATCTGTGCGTTGCATTACCTCCTATGTGGCTGGCACCAACGGGAGGAAAGTGCAGCGCCACAATGGGACGCGACAGCTCGATCAAGTGCCAGGTGGGCCGATGGCGCAAGCTTCCCGGAGGACGGAGGTACCTTATCTCCCGTCTTGGCCGTTTCGAAGTTTGACCCTTTTTTTTCCTTGGTGGTGCTTTCTGGGCAATGCCACCTCGCACCAAGCCTTGCCTTAGTCGCATTGCCTACCTTACTACATGTACCTGTACCTTCCAGCTTACCTATGCAATTAGTGCCGGCTTCCTGATGGAAACGCTACAGCAGCAGTCCTCTCTCTCCTACGACGACACATCACGCAGCGCGCTCGCTTCTGGAAAGTGTCCATGTTGTACTCCACTTCGAGGCTGCGGAACCTCTCTGGACATGGGTCGCCAGCTACGGAGCACCAGCTGATGTGGCGTGTTCTCTCCTCGAAGGTTGCAAGACTTGCAGCCACTGTCATTTTCACCGTTTTGCTCGCGCTGCTCTGGATACGAGGTCTACGCCCCAGCTTGATCTACAGCGGCCTTTCGAGCTCCGGTCCGCAGGCGCTTGACAGCCAGAATCTCGTACAGGACTTTGAGCTCAACTCGAATAATGGTTATCCTCCAGGGGTCAAAGGGAAAGGCCGGTTGCATCTGCTGGTGCCGGCCACAAGTACAAATCCTGAACTATGCAAACTCCTGCTCTCGGCGCAGATTCTGGGATATCCCACGCCGGTTCTGATCAATTATGGCGACCACGAGGCGAAGGATGGCTATGTCCAGCATCTGGCAAAGGTAGGGGGCATCCTTAATTACCTCGAGGGGCTAGAGAGTTCAGACGAGTATATGGAGGATCTGGTCCTGATCATAGATGGCTATGATGTCTGGTTTCAGCTTCGTCCGGACGTGCTGATCAAGAGATTCTATGCCATCAATGCTGCTGCGAACGCCAGAACTATTCAGCGTTATGGCGAAAAGGTGTTCGCCGAGCGTGAGATGTTTCAGAGCGTTGTCTTTGGCCCAGACAAACTATGCTGGCCCGTGGACTTCAGCAGACCCGCTTGTTGGGCTATTCCGGAGAGCACGATGCCGGAGACGGCTTTCGGACCAGTCTATGAGCAAGAAGACCGGGACAAGGCGCCTGCGAAGTGGCTCAACAGCGGCACAGTGATGGGCACCATAAGAGACTTGAGGGACATATTTAACGCCACTTTGGAAGCCATTCATGCCAACCACGTGACAGACTCTGATCAATACTACTTTGCCAACCTCTGGGGTGATCAGGAGTTCGAGCGCTTGACCAACCGGCCGGACCTGTTGCAGAAAGCGAAGAGCAAGGTCTACTATGACCATGAAGATGCGAACAATGGCAGCTTGTACCGTTTAGAGCCGATCACGTTTGGTAGGAGGACAGAGTATCACATTGGCATCGACTACGACTCTACCATGTTTCAGACCTTGGCCTTCTGGAAGGGACAGTTGGCCTGGACCCGGGAAGTCGACTCCTGGTCGCCTCCAGCCCAGGCTCATCACTTGCCTCAGAAGCCATGGGAAATCAGCCTTGATGAGGACATATTGGCTTCGCGCCCACCTTTTGACTCACTTGATCATGGATTCACCTACATGAATAGTACGCCCCCTGGCTGGGAGAGCGTGGAATTGGCGTATAACGTCCTGACGCACCAGCACCCGGTCTTGCTCCACGTCACTGGGAACCCGGAGGAGAAGCACTTTCGGCAATACTGGTGGCATAGGATGTGGTTCCAGAAAAAAGCCGAGAGATTGAGGCAGGCAACACATGTTCTGGATGAAAGTCTGATCACAGACGTGCCTATTGCGAACATGCTCTGGTACAATGCTGTGCCCGCAGACGACGCCGATGACATTGTCGATAAAGGCAAAGGTGGCGCATGGACGGATCGACGAGGGTGGCTCAGCTGGAACCGACTGTGCAGAGGCTCGCTGGAAGAGCTATATGCTCCTGGTAACGATACCGCGTATCACCCTATCCTGAATGCTACGTCGTCGGCAAGTCTAGTGCGGCCAACACTTCTGCCCATCACGGATGACATGACTCTGCCGGATTCACAGCCACAGGAGTACGTACCTGACCAGCAGGCACCACCATTGCCTTATGACCAAGTGGCGACGCAAGAAGAGCCTGCGCTCGAGCAATCACCAGAGGCACCGGCGGCACTACCTTGGACGCCAGCTGAAGCGCCAGCAGCAGTAGGATTACCGCCGCCCAGACCAGTGGAAGAATACCAAGTGGCAGACTAGGCAGTGGAAGTGTGTGACAAGAGCCTCGGCGGCGTGAATATGCCGCTGACGCCGCTAGAGCAGAGCAAAGCAAAGCAAAGAATTTGGAGTAGTACAGGACGACGACACAGCACAGCCAGCAGCTCTATAGCAACAGCAGCGTCTCCCTCGGCTTCTTGGCATCTACAACAAACATGATTGGTACATTTTTTTGATAGCGTTCGAAGCGACACATTATGTATTATCATAGAAACAAATCAATCACACAGGAGGCACATCTGTCGGTAGGGTACATGTAGGGTTGTATGTATATACAAGGTAGTGAAATATCAGGACACACTTGATCCCATGCAACGTTCAAGGTCGGACAGTGATGTGATGTGTCTCGAAAGAAACCAACGGCTTCACAAGCAAAACTCGCACAAACCCCGACGAGGCTTGCGGCTGTGAGTTCTTCTTTTGGGAGTAATCAACAAGCCACCACAAACATGTCGTCCTCAGGGGGCTGACGGGGTGGAACAGGGGTACGATGGCGCGGCAGTCGAGAATCCCGACTTTTCCGCCAAGCGTGAAGAAGGAAAAAAAATTCTAGAACGCCTCCCGTCGGACACCGAATTTGCGAATTACTACCTCCTACTTCCTACTTGTACCTCCTACTTCCTAGGAGGTACTTTAGGAGGTACTGTACATACAGTAAGCGCCAAGTGTACTGAGTTTTCGCCGGATTGCTATATACTGTGATGATTGGCTTCGACTCCCCTTTGTTGTAACTTTGTAACCTGTACGTACTAGGTATACGCCTCATGTAGGAGGGACCTCCTAGTACTTCTTGGTAGTTTCGGCAGTGCGCGCAACCATTAAAAGATTTTAGGTAGCGCTTGCCGAGGCGTTCCTGCGTAGAACTACCTGAGACTATTTGAGACTAGTTTAGGAGGTACCAAGAACGAATTTTTCTATTGAGCTAGGGGGTAGATACTTCCTATGTAGGCTAGTTTGAGACGTGATTGATAGAAGGTAGACTGGTTCTCGATAAGATACGTAAATATCTCCTAGCAATATGTGCAGATATGAGGATGATTAGTGATTACTCCATCTTACGGTCTATATCGTGAATAGCTAGGAAATCCACGATTATTCAGGGCGGTATTGGTCCAATTCTGATAGAGGTGTGGCGCGGCATTCACCATTTCTGCTAACATGGACAGTCTATTATCACGATCATCTACGATGCGAGATACGCGTCAGCCGTGAACCTTGCGGTCTACTGGATCTGTGATTCTGTGGTCGTCGTCTCCTCCGGCTATCCTTTCCTATGCCTCTTGTGCACGTGCGTGCTCGTAATCAGCACCACGTCGGAAGTCCGGTGGTGAACCAGGTTACCTGGAACTAGGAGCAGGCCTGTCGTGTCGTGTATAAGCCGAAATGACGGTGCGCCAGCGCTCTTGGTCTTCTGCTGCTGCCGACGCTGCTTCGAGGAAAGTGGCTGAGGCAGAAGCAGAAGCAGAGGCAGAAGCAGAGGCAGAGGCAGAAGCAGCAGCAGCAGCAGGACAAAGTACCTCTGCGTCCATTCCCTTGATTCCACAGGATGCTGCCGTGCTGCTGCACAGAATCGGAACGAGTGCATCTCCCCATGAAGACAAGGTGCCGCGGACAGGCCCCAAGGCAATCGTGATGCTGCAAGGCAAACCGCTCTTCTTCTTGATCCTCACTTGGATATGCTTCGTTTTGTACATATTACATGTGAGTGAAGACACAGGTGCCAAGGCGTGGGGGAAGAGGAGTACTGCGTGCTGATACACCTGTCTTCTTCGCAGCCTTCTTCGGAACCATTAATTGCAGGCACAAGCACGACAGAATCCAGCGGGCCATTAGACGTTTCCAGAGCAAGGCAGAAGCACACCGCCACCAGCAAGAACCCACCAGCAAATCTGCACCTCGTGGTGCCGGCATCCAAAGGCGATGCAAACCTCTGCAAGGTCATGGTCAGCGCGGGAATCTTGGGATATCCCGATCCGGTCATCGTCAACTGGGGCGAGGACTTTGATGATCCCAAGTTTGTGGAGGGTGGTTCTCATCTGGCCAAAGTCACGGGAATCACAAGATACCTCAATTACCTGAACAGCTCTATGGACAATGATCTCATGCTGATGGTAGACGGATACGACATCTGGCTTCAGCTCCGACCTCAAACTCTGATCGATCGCTACTTCTCAATCAATAAGCGAGCAGACGAACGCATTGCGCGCGAACTGGGAAATGCCGCATCAGAGCACAACATTCACCAGGAAGTCATCTTTGGCTGCCAAAAACGCTGCTGGCCTTGGACGCAAGATGACCCACCTTGCTACGCGGTCCCCTTCTCCGACTTACCAGAAGACATCTATGGCCCAGAAACAGACACGGACGTTGGAAACATAGAGAATCCCTTTATCAAATACCGTCCTCGCTACATCAACTCTGGTGTGGTTATCGGCACAGTGAAAGCCTTGCGAAAAATGTTTGTTCAAGCTCTCGAGCTCCTCACTAACGATCCTTTCGAAGCCAACATGGGCTCTGATCAATACATCTTCTCCCACATCCTCGGCGACCAAGAAGTCTGGCGCGAGGCCCTCCGACAGGACTCCCGAAACAACCTTCAAAAGTTGAGGGAAAAGTTCAAAGGTGGCTACGAACCCCTGCATCCTTTCAATCCCTCCCACGTCGAAGAAGTCCGCAAGAAAGCCGCTCGCCGACCAGACAAGAACTTCGAATTCGGAATCGGACTTGATTATCGCATGGAAATCGGCCTGAACACCGTATTTTCCGAAGATGATACCGCCTGGCTCCACTGGGCCAACCACACCGAACTCGCCGCAGCCGAAGAGCGCGAAAACATCAGTCCCACACATCCACACGGCGTGACCTCTCAGAACCTGTCCAGCGACATCACAGACACCGTTCCCCCTTTCTGGACTTTCAATCACGAGCCGAAATTCCCTCGCTGGAAGAAATGGACCGAAATCCCCCTCTTCACCAACATCTGGAGCGGCATCGTCCCCACCGTCATCCATCACAATGCGCATCGCGATGGCTTGAAAGCTTTGCGAGAGACGTGGTGGAATCAGACGTGGTATGCGGGACACACGAGAGTATTGTATGATGCGCACATTTGGGAACCCGTGATTCCTGTCGCATATAGTGGGAAAGAAGAGGCCGATTTGAGAGAGTATTGGCCCGGGGAGAGATGGAAAGGTGGAGGTAGGACGGGCCCGAAGGAAATCTATGAGCCGTGGGAGAATCGGTGGGTGCGATTTGATGATATTTGTCGACCATTTCATGAAGAGGTTTTTCGAGATGGGTTGGGAGAGTGGGTTTTGCCGGATGTTCATTGAGATGTATATGTTGGACTTGTTCTTGGACTTGTTGTTGTTGTTAGTAGGGCCGGGTGGCTGTTGCTGATGATGATATGTAGATGTAGTATAGAAAATGAAGGGGGGGAGATATGTAGAAGTGAAAGTAGGTAACTTGAGGTAGATTCTACCTGATCTGTTGGCTTATGTGTCTTCTCTCTCTCTCTCTCTCTCTCTCTCTCTCCCGTACACATACACATACATATACACCTACTTCTTCCCAAATAACAAAACCCACTTCCCAAACCCCATCATCACATCCCCACCGGCGTATCCTCCGGTTTCTCTACATCACGAAACAACTCCCACTCAAATTCCCTCGGACACAAATCCTGAAAAGTCAGATATTCTCCCGAAGGCAAAAACGCTCCTCCCGTAGACCTTCCCGCCGCGAACACACTCTCCTCATTCCCCAAAAGCATTTCGAATTCCCGTCTCGCGTGACCTTGCATCCACGACATGGGCCACTGCCAGCCACGAGCGCCTTTATCCCCATTATGGTGAATCATGACGGGGATGGTATTGAGGCAGCGATTGGTGAAGAGGGGCAATTCGGTCCAGGACTTGTGGGTGGTGAGTGGAGGGCTGGTGTGGAGGATGTCGTCGGGGAGGAGGCCGGTGACGCGGGAGGGGCAGTCGAAGAGTTTATGGTCGCGGTCTTGGAGTTGGGCGGAGATGTTTTGGTTGTAGATGAGATACTGGGTGTCGTCTTCGGTGTTGACGGTTTGGTGGCCGAGATCGCTGAAGTAGTCGACGCCGATTCCGAATTCGTCTGGTTGGCCTTGTTTGTGCTCCATGGGTTGATGCGTGAAGGAGGGGTTGAGAGGGTCGTCGACGAGTGTGCCTTCGAGATAGTATGGTTTTGGGGTGCTGTGGCCACGGAGTCGGTCGATCACGCTGAGATGCCTCCTTCGCATGACTTCGCGTTGGAATTCTTGTTCTCCCCACATGGTGTTGAAGATGGACTGGTCGGAGCCGTGGTACATGAAGTCGGATCCGCCACTGCCATTGTCCCAGGGATCATGATCTTGCATAGCTTGCACTTTTTCCCATGCTCGCCGAAACATCTTTCGCATGTCCTTGGCGGGCCCGATGATGTAGCTGCTTTCGATGTCAGATGTCATGAACGATAGGTACATGTATTCCAAACACCCCATGTGCACTTACCCGGAATTGAGATATCTTTGCTTCAAGCTAGTGTACTTGTTCTTACCCATCACGGTATCAGTATTGGCGCCATACAAGTCATCAGGCAGAGGAGCTTCTGGAATAGGATAACATGCAACAGTGTGCATTTGATTGGGAGCACACCGCTTGCCCGCGCCAAAGATGATGGTTTGTCGAATATGTTCGGCATCGTATGCGTTGCCGAGGCGAGCACGGAGTCTCTGGTTGGCCTTCTTGTTGATAGTATGATACCGACTGACCAAGACCTCGGGAGGAAGTTGAAACCAGATATCTGTGGTGCAGTCAGCGGTGCCGATCTGCATTGGCCTGAAGGGCTCACACGGACCGTATGCGTCCATCATGAAGATCAGCTCGTGGTCCATGGACTCGGGCATTTTCTCCAGATATTCCAGAACTCGCGAGATCTTGGCGACATGGCTGCCACCTCCCAGCAGATGCTGCTGGTCGAACGTCTCCTGCCAGGCAATGAGAGTCGGGACTGGATAGCCGAGAATCGCTCCCGTCAAGAGGGTCTTGCACATGTCGACGGCCACATTTGAGGCAGGCAGGAGAATGTGGAGCTGGCTGGTGGAGGCGACATCGTTGGGGACATCGTGAGATGGATATGAGATCAGGGCTCCGGCTTTGCGCCGTGTGGGTTCGTGCTGACCAGACTCAGTGGCTGTCGTTGAAGGTTCATTCTTTGTTGTGCTTGCCCAGCAGGTGGTAGGAGGCAGGTCATGTACTCACAAACGTGGCTGAGAGCAAGATCACTAAGATCAGGAACGAGAGAGCAGTCAGCACTACCGGTCTCGTGGGCCGTGCAGGGCGAAGCATTCTGTCACCACCACCGTCACCGCACTACAGAGCTGCTTTGACCAGCAGAGCAGTCTTGGACATCGAGTCGTCGTCTTAGGGGACAATTCGTAGTGATAACACGGCGGGGCTATGGGCAGCCCTTGGATTCGTCTAATCGCAGCCCTAGACATAACTCACCTAACCTGTACAGTAACATATCTCCGCCGCTCGTTATCAACGTAAACCTTCGTGTATTCAATATAGCGCGTTAACTCGCACTATTATCTTATTGTGCTGTCGCGTCGTCGTACTGTCGCGTATACTAACCTTTCGATATTACCGAGATATATTATTATTATTATTACATTTTTACTATTATTACTAAGATACGTTATTACCGAGATACAATGTCTGCCCTACTACGTACATCTTCTCTTCTACGTACTTACGCTCGCGATCGCGCCGGTAGTAAATTTCCTCGGGTACGCGCTTCCTCTCTTCCGAGTATTCCTACTCTCCTTCTACCTCTCTAGTATCTCGTTAGAGCCGAAAACTTCAATAGAGAGAAGGAGGATATATTCCTCGTTAAGTCCGAGAAGGAGGACGGAGAGAAGGAGGATATATTCCTCGTTAAGTCCGAGAAGGAGGACGGAGAGAAGGAGGACGAGTTCCTCGTTAAGCCCGAGAACTTGTAAGAGGAGGATAAGTTTCTCGGTAAGCCCGAGAACTCTAACGGAGAGAAGGGAGTACAGGAGGAGGAGGAGGAGTTTCTCGGTAAGCCCGAGAACTCTAACGGAGAGAAGGAAGAGTAGGAGGAGGAGGAGGAGGAGGAGGAGGAGGAGGAGGAGGAGGATCTCGGTTCTAACGAGGAATTTAAGATACCTCCTCTACCTAAGCAAACCTTTGATTCTATCAAATTGCTAAAGGAGTTCGTTAAAAAGTAGACTCGTAAATATAGTTTTGACCTTGTTATCTCTAATACAAAGAATCGAGGTACCTAGAAAAGAGTACGATATATATACGGTAGAAAAACTCGGAACTATCGAAAACTAGATACTTCTTCTCGTCGACGAAAATCTAGCTTGTATAAACACTAATGTCTTATACAACTTTAGTATACAGCCGTAGATAAAGAAGACAAAGATAGAGTATAGACAATTCGGTATAGACGAAATTCGAATGCAATAATATATAATTA